GCGTGGCAAAGATTAAGTAAACAATAGGTATTAGCGAATGCGTGAAATGAGAGTGACGTAGAGGATGCCTGTGCCGCGATGTCAGAATGTGGGAAAATGATGGAATGAATGAGAAAGTAAAAATTAACGTAAACAGGCCTAAGTAGAGTCACTACAATTGTATTGAATCTCTGTTCGAAAACAGGGACTTCATCAGTACTGATTGCCTACCAGGCGTAGCGCCCCAATGGTAAAAAGATCTCTTTGAAAAAGAATGTTTTCTGGCGTCCAAAATGGTGTCGACCCCCAATTTTGTCTTGCTTAACTTGTCTTTGCCCCCCAAAAATCTTAACACCGTAGCTACACTACTGTTTAGAAGGATCTAATTGTAAGTATAGGTATAATTGTAAGTAATTATAGAATTCTTATCTATAGCCATTTGTTTCGTTGATTCAAACTATCAACAAAACTAGAATGAAGTGGAGAGAAAAGGAGCCGAAAGTAAATTATAATTTGTATAGTGGGCAAAAAATGTTGTCTTCAAGATCAATAACTAACAGTTTCACGTTACTTTTATTTACGAGGTAGCACTGTTGATTACACTCTTTTTTATAAGAACCAGTAAATTTTAGTTCAGGCTGACTGTTCTTAATTTTTTCGAAAATCTGAGGCTGGATTGCTCTTAATTTGTTCTTAAATTAAGAGGGTGTAAGCAGTGCTATTGCTAGCTTTTTCGCTCTAAGGAGGTGTTCAGGCCACATTGGCCAACAAAGTGAGTGAGACAGCCTTAATTTGCTGACAAATTTGAATATTCATCGAAAAAGCACCCACACATCGCTAAAAATCCTCGATTTTGAGAAAAAACGTTGTTCAAAATTGCATTTTGCAGAAGCTCTGCCTCAGCTTGTTCTTAATTTGTTCTTAACTTTTGACCAGTTTTGAGGCTCGTGTTCTTATAAAAATTTTCTTATAACATTACATCAGAGGCTGGGCTGGGCATATTGCTATTATTTGGCAGTTCGAGGCTCGGTGTTCTAACAAAGTGTGTTGTTTTAGAAAAGTGTGCATGCAGGCACATAAAAGCACCAGTCATGTGGTTAGTTACTAGGGTTCTGGGACAGCACTCGGGACCATTCTAAAGTGCTAGCCTGCGTGCAGCCTAGCGGAGGTAAAGTACCAGTACGATGATATTTTCATTACAACACCTTTGCAGGTAACTCTATAAAAATTGGCATCATTTCGAGTTCTAAGTGCCTCCCACCTCTGCATTACAAATTGTTGCTAGGCATTTCTCTAGAATGTCTTGAGTGAAATCCAATGAGATGTTGATAGCACCTCATTGTGAAATCTTATTTGCTTCGGAAGTGAATAGAAGTCGTTTGTTGATGAATATCGTCATTTTTCTGGGGGAGGAAAACGTGATTAACAAGTAATGACGAAGGTGCTAATCTATTTTACAGAACCGTAATAGATGATTCCTTGGAGTGATAATGATGGAAGATGTAGCCCATCGCCACGATTCGTAATTCTAATTCTACCCAGCCAGAACTATAGTTCTATTTTGTCTTTATAAAATATGGTGGCAAATGGCTGGTTCAATTGTTCCTATATCCCTTTACAAACACCACTGATTCAGTTTTAACCAATGTCTTGACCTTGCTTTAAGTATGATTAGCAGAATACAGCTTTCTGAAAAGTCTAAGACAGGGCCGTAAATCTGTCATGTGAATTGGGGGGGGGGGTCAGCAGAGCGAATGAATATTAAGCATGGAGTGAGTCATGTCACCACAAGCGAATTATGGTATGTGTGTATGGAAACAGTTGATGGGGCAAATGACTTTAAAAACAAAATGTCAATATTTTTGGATTTCTCAAGACTTTCTGCTCCGTAGAAAGTATTTACAGATATTCCTTAGTACATTGACTTTTTGTGTATGATGGATAACATTTTTCAGAGACAACCCCAAGAATTGAGCCTTGGAGCTAAGAATCAAGTTTAGTGACGTAGGAGGACCCACCATGGTTGGGTCCGACGCAGAAGGAAATTTTTGAAATTATACCTTCTAGAAAGGCTAAAAAAGCATCCCCCGACTAAATTCAATAAAATACTAGATCACCCAGAATAGAAAATTCGACGTTTCTCAGAAGAACACAGATTATTGTTTACTGGGTGAAATTGTGGAGGGGAAGATTCGTGCTTAAACTTTAGTGACAGACGTTGGGGAAATATGGGACGCTGTTGAATTGATTGGTAGAAATTTACTTCCTGAATAGAAATATCTTATTTTGAGTGCTTTAAGTAGGCCATGTTTACACATAAAATGATTTACTAAAAGCAAATAATAGACAAATAATAGAAATATACGTAAATAAGTTAGTAAATAGGTCAAATAAAGTGACAGTTTGCTCTCTTTTTATTTCATAATCTGTTTTCAAAAATAAAACGGTAGAAACGGTAAAAAACAGCAAAAACTTTTATCTTGTAAAAATTATAAAAACTAACTCTGCTTATAAAAATAACGGCCATCAGTAAAAGTCAACTCACACTTGAAACCAACACAGAAAAACGTAGTTTGGTTCTAACCCAGCTACTAGGGATTTCTTTCTTTCAAGGAAAATGATGGTAATTTCGAAAAACGTCTTGTTCCAAATTTTTGGGGGGGTCCAGTCCCCCCCGTCCCCCCGGGATTTACGGCCCTGGTCTAAGACAAACACCTCAAAAAATTCGACTAATCCAACAGCAATTCTCCCAGCTCACCTGGTCGCTGGCACACGGACGTTTCAAGCGTTTGGCAGGGACAGCAAGACTAATCGACCACAAAAAATCTCAGCCTGCAGGACAATTTATTTCGCTCTTCGGTGCGATACTCTAGAACAGGGCCTAAAATAAGCGTGGATCTGACACACTTAATGGAGTTGTAAATTAAAATTGTGGAACTATAATTGAGAAAGTGTGGATTTGTAAATGTAAATAATGCATGTTCTTAAAAGTGCAGCATAAAATACCAACCGAAACGCCTAAGAAAGAAATGGGAACATTTTTTCAATTCGAAATGAATGCCCAATCTCAGCCTTATATATTGAACTCATTTTTTATTAGAAAATTGCGATAAGAAATAAGCAATGGACAATAAAAAGAATTAAGAATCTTCAGAACTCGAAGCTTGAGTACATGCGGAGAAAAATCAATTGCGCTTTATGATATTGTTGTGTGCTATTTTGAAGTAATATGGACTCTGCATACAGCTTTGATTTCAAGACATCATCTCAATTTAGTTTGCTTTTATGATTTGCTTCAAAAAAGACACTGAGCCTAAAGACCAAGAGTAATGTGTTTTGGGGTTTATATGATATCTTTCAGTAGATTTCAGAAAAAGCTATAAAGCAATTCAACTAAGGTGTTTTAAATTGGAGAAGCATTGAAAAAATTCCTCTCAAGGCTACAGCAGCTGAACGACGATAAGCCTCTCGGTGGTAGCTGGGAGGAACATTCAATTGGGAATGTTGCATGACAGGGACTATAGTCCTCCCCAACTTTTTTGCAACAATGGGTTAGAAAATGTTGTGAAAACTATACGCTAACGAACGCATTAGTAGCAGTTCTGTTGGGAAGACGTTTTTGTTCTTTCTGATGGTGCTTTTTCTTGTGTGGTCAAAGATAAATTTGTATTTTATCTAACTCGGTTTTGTATTTTTATGTTAATTGAAATTTTCTCTAAATCGTTATGTTTATGAATAAGGACAGATAGAAGCGAATATATTCTGAAAGGAGTGTTTTCCGGTGTTTCAAAGGGCGTGGCCGTAAAAAGTTTAGGGGCAAGCCTCCTAGTCCCGTTCCAGCCACTCCATTATGGGCCGGTGCCAGTGTGACCTGATTAAGCATAAAATCTAGCATAATTTGGAATCTAGCATAACTCTGGCATAATTCTGATATTATTTAAAAGAATCATTGTTTCCATTGATCAATTGTCTATCGTTACCAAATGGAAACACTTTACACCAGAATCTGTGGTTTCATTTAGGGGTAAATTGTGACTTTCCACCTTCAGGATTTTGTCAGTTGTTTTGAATGGTTGGCAGCCAAATGCAGCCAGCTAAACGCAGTATACAAAAAAGCTAATTTTTTGCTAATTATTGGGAGTGATGTCGTAATCAAAATTTGCTTTGTAGGTTACAAAAGTTTTCACTTGCTTTTATCAAAACTGTCTGTTATCTTGTTATCTGTTAATTTGTTTCATCATTCATCATTTGCAATTTTGAAATTATTTTAAAAAATTTTGAATATTATCTGTGCAAAAAGTTTTGTTTCCTTTGCATTTTCGTTGTTTTTTAAACATGCGACCAGAATTCAGCCAAATTTTCTTCGGCCAAATCATTTTGTGGCGGCCAAGGGGTTTTGAGAACCTGCCAAAATGGAGAAATTTGGCCATCAAACCATGAATCTAGATTGCCTTTTTGTTTATGAAGAATAAGTACACTGGGTTGTCAAAAAAGTCAAATTGCAACTCTGGCCACTTGATATTCTGAGCATGCATTGGCCTCCTTCTCGAGCAGGGTTGCCTTTGAAATCTAGCATAATTTTTGCAAATCTAGCACAATCTTATGACAAATTTGGCATCATTCCAAAATTTAGATCTGGTGCGTGGTTTCTGCATTACAAACAAGATGCTTTACAAACAAAAATTACAAACAAGAGAGTAAAGGTCATGCTTTCAAGCTGGGCGAAAAGAGAAAAAGAAGAAACAAGCACAATTGTACATCAGTGAGAGAAGAGTTTATTTGCCTTCTGTAACGAGGTTTTCGTTTATAATATCAAAACTTTTTGAAACAAACAAATTTGATGGCAAAAATTATTTGATGAGCTGAATGCAGTTAAGAACTTTCCATATGTAAAACAGACTTGAGAAAGCATCACCCAGAAAGCTTCGTCCCGGACAAAATACTTCATTCAATCATGCATTAAATTTTGAGAAATAAACGACTAAGATCGCAGAGATCTGAGACTTGTTCTCAAAGGAATTCTACCAGACGAGACAATGGCTCGGATTCTTGCAGCAAACCCTAATCCTATCGATGTAGAGATGCTTATTCCCACCAAGATAGAGGCAGGTGGGGAAAGCAGCATAGCTCCAGAAAAATTTAACAAATAGATAAATATTGCAATAAATATGTTTAATCTATTAATATTGTTTGATCAATAATATTGCAATAAATATGTTTGAAAAGATGCAAAGATATGGCTCCCAGAAACCAAAAAAACGAAGGTCTGGCAAGAAAGGCTGATTTAAGGGAATTTTTGAAGGTGAAAGAAAGTAAAATAACTTTGACAGAGATCCGAACAAACCATGTTAAAGAGTTTTCTTTTGATAACTTTTTGCTGACATATTAAGACATCGCTATATGTAGCTAATTTTCATATTAAATCCATATATTGTAAAGAAGGACATGTTATTTGCACTATCATGGGAGTTTCTATATTTGCTACCCCCATGATGCCAATCCCAGCAAAGTACCACGCCCAATTTTTATAGAAAGTGTGGATCTGTAAAAATTTCTTATTTTAGGCCCTGCCCTAGAATGAAGTTCCAAACACTACACCAGATTGAATAATAGAAAAGATAGATAATTGCCCGCAACTCGCGCGCGATAGCGCGCGAGTGAAGGGCTTATAGTCTGCCCCGCGTATAAGTAGCATATGGAAGCTTCAGTTCATAATGTCAGCACTTTTTCAGCAGATTTTGTCACTTTTCTGCTGCCATGACAACTGTCAATCAATTTTATTGTCAATCAATCGGCTTTGTCGAGGAGGTCGTTAACCGCCACCTCTTTGTGCGGAAGGGAATTATCTTCGGAGCGTTGCTCTGCCAAGACTCTGTTAAAGGCCTTCGGTTTTTTTTGCACGAAAACGGTGCTGCATCACAGCTCGGTTCTCCGCAATGGATGGAAGTTTTGATTCGAAGTTTTGGGAATCAAAACCAGTCGAATGCCACACCTTTCTCCCAAAAACTAGACACCGTACGAGCAAAAGTTATGATTGTCGTGATTATCGCCTGTACATCGCTGTACGAATCATCTATCGCAATCTATTTTAGCTGTACCCGTTCTATCACGTGTCCATTTTCATACGTCTTTGCTTCACGAAAACGAAAAATAAATGTCAAACCCTAGAAAAACTTCATGATTTTCAAAAGAGCGTTGGACTTAAATCAAAGGCAAACTGAACACCAAAAATTCTTGATAAAAAGAATAGTTTAGCATCAACTAGAGCAGCTGTTTTTATAAAATTGTGAAAACCCAAGATGGTGTCTTCTTCGAATATTCTGACCTAAATTTTCAAAACAATCATTATCAAGGAACTAATTGTTTGCGGGCAGTACTAGCAAGAGCTATTTCTAGTTATATTTTTTACCTTGCAATGAACCAACAAAATCTATATTTCTTAGCACCTTATGTTGATAATTTTAAGCTGAACTCCGCGTGAGGGAAGGGCACCTCGTCATGTTGCAGAAAAAGAAATTGTTGCTTCTTGGAAAAATATATTCTTTCAAGAGATATAGGGACACGTGCCCTTATCACTCCTCCCCCTTCGTTTTTAACGTCCCTTGAGAAGAAAGAGACTAATCTGATCAATGGTCATGGTTCTTGAGGTCAATAAATGACGTTGGTCCGCAAATTATCAGCATGGCCCAGTTTCCTTATATATGTGAGTCAACACCTTTCTTTCAGACAGTTACTTGCACAGTTCGAAGAAGATGGCTGTATTTTGGTCTTCTGTCACCTTGCTGGTAAGAGAACTCAGATTTGTTATCCACTTAAATTATAGATGGCATTTTGCAAATTTACATTTATCCAGATAATGTAGTATAATTAACCGTCGAGCTACTATATCAGAATTTAATGGATGCCGTTTTTGCCTTGATTCCTGTTTGAACAGGCGTGAACAGGAATCAAACCGGTACGAAACCGGTACGTTTGAAGTCAACATCGATTTGATTCACCATGGTCGAGAATCCTATTAGGGCCTAGAGAGCTACCAAGATGGTATTTGTCCCCAGTGTCCTTCACTTTGTGACCATTTATTTTTATCGTTGTGGAATTTGATAGGTGCTAACAATTCGGCTGATTTTGAACCGCTAAAACTGATCCCCTTAGTTTGCCTATTTCTGTCATGATCATGTTCCATAGATTGACGTCCCTAGAGCTTGCTGCTCATTTGATAAGGCCTCCTGCTCCCTCAGTAAATTTTTCTAATAGTATTAGGCGATTAGTTTTAGGTTTTCAAAGACAAATTGTTTATTTGCCTCCGCGGCAGGGGCTGGGGGATCCAGGGGAACTTGAACTTTTATTTTCGACGGGGATCTCAAATCACGACGGGAAGGGGCAGAGTTTTTACACTCATTCCCTTTCGCTACATAAAGTTCAATCTGGCAAAATTGTTGCGAGCTATTTATTCGCGGATTGCGTGGAAAAAAATTGAATAATATTGACTTTTACAAAATGGTAACCCAAACTTTGCAGCCTCTTATTTGCGGCTTCTCTTTTTACTCCAGAAGTGCAGAGTGATAAAAAAACATAGAAGTTCTTAATGAATTCTTGAAAGCAGTAGTAGAACTACCTTGGTTTGCAATACAAAGTAATTGTAAATTTTTTAAAGTTCTTTGAAAACATTATGAACTCGGGCGTCTTATACATTATGAAGTCTTCTACTGTTGAATCCCAATATAACGAACCCTGGTGCTTTTGATTCTGCCTAACAAACTCCTTAAAAAATTCTCTCGGTATAACGAGTCCCTGATTTAACGACCTCTTGATATTACGAACCAAATTTTGGGACCCTTCATCATAATTATCCTCGATATGATAAACTTTTCATATTTTTTTATCTGTAATTTTATTTATTTATTTTTATGTTCATTTATCACTTCTCTCGGGAAAAGTCATTATTGTCATCGGCAAAACATGCTCATGATACATTGCAAACTCTTGCTGATAGGCTCAGAGCACGGGACGAGATTTTGATCGCTTCAAAAATTAATGCGAATGAGTACATTGACACTACCGAATACCTTTTTACATATGAGACATTGGCAATGAGCTACGATAAAACTTTATTGAGAGACCCAGAGAGAGAAGCAAAAAACAAATAAGAATGTGAAGTAATCGAAGACGCCATTCAGCCGCCAACTAGAAGTGAAGCGATATCAGCTTTACCAATGCCTGGGTACCAAATTGTAACAGGAGCATTAAGATCTTCATTTTCCATTTTCGATGACTAACAATTAGTAAAATTTGAATTCAGCTTGGTTTTTTGAAGTAAAATGTGGACAGAGGTTGTTTTTTAAGGTTTTTTAGGTGTGAACTGTTTTAAGGGTGACAATAATGTTTTTTAAGGTTAAAGGTTCTTTGCAGCGTTCGTCTGAAAAATTCGCGACGACATATGCGCAGAAAGAAAAATCTCGAGAGGAGCGTTCGCACATCGAAAAATTCGCTTGACGAATGGTTGAACTAGGTTCTACTTTTCGTCAAGCGAAATTATTCGAGGTAAACATAGGACAAAGGAACTGTGTGATTTTCACAATAGGCCTTTGCAAGATGACATCCTCACAGCAACCGAAACTTAGTAGCAGTGAAACTGACTTGCGGTTACGTGCGGTGACTTGCGGCACGATTAGAGAATATTTCTTTTCCACAAGCAAACATGATTTTTCAAATGCTGATTTTATTGGTATTCACCTTTCTGATTTCTGTCTTCATGTAATTTGCGTCCCCAATCTTTACGTGCTTTTTTATGTTAATATAACTGAATTTCTTTCTTCTTAAACAAAACTGGTAAATGACGGCCTGAGACAACTTTTTTGCCCTAAGATTCTCGCGCGCGCAGAAATTTGATCGAAAAAAGGATGACCCCTTTTGTTCGGGGGCCCCTTCTGTTCGGGGCTCCTTTTGTTGGGGGGAGGGGCCTTAGTAATTGAACTGCATTTGGCCACTAAAACCCATGCATGTTGAACCACAGAATAATTCTGTGGTTGAACTTAGTCCGTGTCGTAACGATTCCGATAGACCCTGCGGAGGACAAAGCGGGAACAAAATGGTCTCTGCGGAACGGACTTTAAAAATGGGAAGGTACAAGCGGGAACAACATTTTCTCATCGGATTTAGAGGAAATACAAAATTGATCCTGCCGAGAACTGGGGGGGACGTGTCCCCCAGTGGCGCTGCTACTGGCCGCGACGCGCACAGAAGCCCCCTTCGGGTACAGAAACCACAACGGGCTCAGAAACCACAACAGGGCAACAATTTGGGATCACGCCCTGTTTTCGTTTGCTTCATGGTGGTGTGAGGCAAGGCCACAGTGTTAAACACTATGCCACAAGAGCGACCTCGATTCCTGACCTTGTAAAATAAAGGAGTGATCAATTTTAGAAGTTAAAGGTTAAATACATTATTTTGCAGGGAGTGTTTTGTATTTTTGGAATTCAAGCCTTCAAACGTAAGTGAAAAAAGCGCTTGCTAGCAAAGTTTTTTTGTATTTTAGCATCTCTTAATGTTCATAATATCAAAATTTGCTTACATTAAGTTTTCACACTTTGTCGTGTGGAGAGAATACTTTTTTGCTTTACGCACAAGATTTAGAGGCCAACCAACTTTGAAAACTTTGAAAATCAACTGTTACTTTCAGATCAGCAATGTAATGGAATTTTTCTAAATTGAAAGATGTGCCACACCATAGTCCAAATTCGGAGTAACTACATATTACATTTTTAATCTTGCCTTTACCTGCTTGTAGGACAAAATAAATTTTTTGCAACACCAAATTTTAAAAATTTGTTAAAATTCACTGACCTTTTATATTCCATTAATCTGTAATGTCAAATGTTGAACATTATCATTAATGCTTCAAAGAAAATTTTACACTTTAATGGACAATGAATAATACTAGTTTACAGTTTGCTTAAATTCCTGAATCCTTTTCGAAACCTGATCCTCTATTTTTCAATTATTTCTGTAGTTCAATTATTGCACACAGGGTTTTTCTGTAAATTCTATTTCACTGTTATTTTATGAGTTTTATGGTGCAGCCATTTTTTCAAAAAAGTATTGTTATTTTTAATGTTTCTTTTTGATTTCATGAAGTTTTTCTGTTTTATTTGCCAATAAAGCATATATATCTGTTTTTTTCTAGCATCCTGCCCCCTGATATGCACCCAACAATATAAACCAGTTTGTGGTTCTGATGGAAAAACCTATGGAAACCTGTGTATGTTAAGAAGTGCTGCATGTAAAGACGCAAGTTTGAAATTGAAACATCATGGAGCTTGCAAAGATCCAAGTAAGTTTTAAATATAGTAGAACATTTAATAATAAAAATTCTTTGTTCCAGGTTGATATCATTGATTATTTATCTCGCTATCTACAACCCTTTCTCAAAAATGGACTTTAGGTTTGAAATCTTCAGCTTGAAATTAGTTTATACTGAAAACTTCATGTCGTTTGGACTGTTAGGTAGTGAATTATTTTGTTGTGAATATTTAGCAGGCCACTCCCGGAAAAAAAAGCATGTGGGCTAAAAAAACCCCCACTGGTTTGGCTGTGTGGGCTATTTAGCACTGGCAGAATTTGTTGTTAATCTATTTATATTTGAGTATATATTAACCAAAAAATAAATTATCTTGTCTACTTGTAAACATGATTTATGTTAAGAAGACAGTTTTGTGTGTATTGCTACTCTGCAACGTTTTTTGTAGAAACACAGATATATTGAATAAAATCCAACGAAACTAGTCTTTATTTGAAAAGATAAAGAGCAGTACAATGCTATTTAAAGGGTAATCGAAGATTAAGTTGATTGGCATTAAAAGTTCAAGAAAGAATAACTGAAATACACTTCTTTTCTATAAGAAATGAACTTTGAGTACTTCAGTTCCTTAACGGTATAGCAAATTCCAATACTCATTCTTTCTTAAGAGTTTCTTAATCCAAAAACAGCACAGAAAAGCGAATAAATAACATGATAAAGATTGACGGATAACATGCACATAAACCTCAAAGGATAAGGGGAAACAGAAAACCGGATTGAAAGTAACGTAAGAGAGTTAAAAAATGTGGATGATGGTTCTTTTTTTTTGACAAATTAAAAAAAGTGGATGATTGGTTCTTTTTTTGACAAATTACAGGTGTTTATCTCTCACCCAGTTGAAGAGTCAAAGAGCAAAAACGAATTGTTTCTGCAAATTTTTTAATTTTTTCCCATTGCCCAGTTTTCTTTTTTGTGGCGTGTTTCTTATTAAAAAATTAGTGTGTTCATAATACAAATTTTGTATTTGACAGTGTCATGTAACAATTCTCATTCTTGCTATTTTACGCTATCTGTTGTTCCTTTCCTGCACACTCATTTCCTTTTCCATTGCTAGTTTTAACAGGTAATACTATAGTTAATTAACATTTGATGTCAAAAGAAAAGGGAAATTTCCTTTTTATAACGCTATTTATAAAAACCATATATATCGTTATTTGACACGATGTTATTCATAAATACCCTAGTATATAGCGGTAGGTAGTTAAAACATTGAGGAATGAGACAAAAATGATTCAATGAGAGCGTTGTTATAAACAATTGCGCAGGCTGAAAAACCCCTTGCAAAACTTTTTTGCATGGGGTTTGCATGGGCGAGGGCTATAGTCTTTGTCTCCGGGAATGGCCTGATTTAGATATTTTTTACTTGAATTGTTTGCAGCTGTAGTGAAAAAGTTTCACTAACAGCAACAAATTCCATTGTAATGTAAAGAAAAAGCTAAATTTTTAACATCGGAGTAATTCACTGCCTTGGGTAAAAGGTATTTGCCTGTAAAACTTGCAAAAATGTTTAGGGTGTACATTTTTCTTTGCTAAAACAATGCAGCCCAGCATTTTTAGAAAGTTCCAATTTTCTAGTTAGTACAAACAGGCCAACTAACCATAGTTGGCAAAGAAATGATAAGAGTGCTGTTTCCTAAAGTTTGTAACTTCTTCACCCCCCTCAAGAAAGTTGATTGCTCTTTCAGACATATACAAATTTGGACTTATAACAGTTCAACCCTTTTGAAAACCCTTTCGAAATGAACCAAGACATTAAAATTTTGCAAAACTTCTGCCCTTTTCATCTGTTGTCTTTTTTTGTTAAAATAAGAAGTCTTTAGGCTGCAAGCTCTACGGAAATCAACTGATGTCAAATAAGCGAAGAACAGTAAAGTCTTTTGACTTAGAATCAGTTCAATTGGGCCAATAAAACATGGTTATTTTTATGAACTTGCTCTTGAGGCAAAAATAACAAGAAATTCAAATTGTTCTCTTTTACTTGAGAATAGTATTTGCATGTAGATGCCAGTTGTCGATTATGAAACATGCATAACATTTGTGTGGTAACATTTTGGCAAGTCTTAAATGTTCTTGCAAAGCAGACTCAAATTCAGTGCAAGGCTATAAAGCCATGCTATTTTTATATTGTAAGTCTAGCTAAAATTGATTGTTACAAGGGTACATTTATAATTTTTATCATTTTTCTTGCAATATTTACCAACAGCTATTGAAAGGTTGATTGTTTCTGAACATTTAATTGCATCGAATGATATTGGTTTCCATCATTGTGTTACAACACTATTTCTAGACACTGTTAGTAGGTCAATTCTTTTGTTTTGGTTGCTACCATCTTGAGGAAAAACCTTTCACAAAGTTTGCTTCATATCGATAAGATAAATTTTTTCAATGAATAAATAGATTAACAGCCAAGAAAGTTTTAAAAAAAGTATGAGAAAATTGATAAAAACGTTTTCATAAAAACTGCCTTTGAAATTTGTGAGCAAATTTCTCTAACACCAGATTCACAAATGTATTTGTTGCATTAACATAGATTTTGACATCACAGTGAGTAGATTTTCAAATGATAACATAATCACAGCTGCTTTTTTATTTCCAAATTTCAAAAAGGTGTTATGATTCTACACAACAAAGGAGGTCATCATCTGGTAGGCTCTCTGCTCATTAAACAGGCTTGATGAAATCAGTGAGAAGCCCAGGGTTTTTTTAAGTAGAAGGCTCATATTTAAAAGTAGGTGCAGTCTTGCTAAAAGTTAGGATTAAAGTATGCAGCAAATTTTTGGTGAGTAAGCACACAACTTTTGCCAGTTGCCGGCTTCTAATGAAATCCCTAGAGGCCTGATATGTGCATTTTTATGATTTGTACAAATATAATTGAATTCGAATCAAGTTAAGTCAAAGTAAAATGTTCTTTCTAGACAAGCCCTGTTTTGGTCTTGCTTCTCCTTTAAAGAATTCTAAAGGAAAGACACTGTGCTGTGGCAGGTGTTCACAAAGAGATGTTTGTCCAAAAGACTCATTCTGTCATATTCATCCAACTGATCGTTTTTCAGTATGCTGCCCAAATCGTGTCAAAGGTATTGATTTTCTGTTTTCATTGATTTCAAGGATATGTTTTTATATCTGTAAAGTTTGTGCAAAGATTTGATTTAACATAAAAAGAGCCTTTTCTGCTTCTTGAAGTAGTTAGATGTTATGTTGTTCCAAATATGTCTCGTTACAACCATAACATCTGATGAATGGGACAAAAGAATTCAAAAAAGCCTTTCCTTCTTCTTCATTTGCTTTCTCATGTCAATCTATTTATTGAAGAAACACAGCACCTCCAGCTATTTAAGTATAAGTCCACGCAAGTGAGCTGCATTGAAGAAAACTTATCAATGGGCTGAAATCTGTTAGCCAAGAAGTTTGTAACTGCAAGGCTTTGCTTTACTAATGATGTCTTTAAAAGAAGACATTCTTAAATTGTGATATTCCTATGAAATAGAGTCTTCATGCAACAATACTCTTATTAGGATGCAGGAAGCCATGCCCAAGGATCTTGAAACCTGTTTGTGGAAGTGATGGCAAAACGTACAGCAACAAATGCTATTTAGATAATGCAAGGTGCAAGAACAGCCGCTTAAGACTGGTGAAAATAGGACGCTGTCCAAGTATGTTGCATCTGTTTAACACCAGGCTTTTAGATATATATTTTTTCATTGTTTAGCCAAAATTTAGAATAATCTTAGCATGGCAGCATATAAGATGGAGAAGAGAAATAGATAAAAAAGGCTGGTGGAAATGGGACACTGTCCAAGTATGTTGCATCTTTTTTAACCATCTAGCTGCTTGCCCTTCACATGAGGATATGAAACAAACAATATTTGTTAATTTTCCCTCAAAAAAGTTATTTTAGAACTGCTTAACATTATCCCATTGCAAAATCATTTAAAGTAGCTGTTCTAAAACCAAGAGAATCTTATATAATATATTTTCTACATCAATTGCTATTCATTTTAGGATGTGAAAAGCCATGTACAAAAATCTTGCAACCTGTTTGTGGAAGTGATGGCAAAACATACAACAACAAATGCCTTTTAGATAATGCAAGGTGCAAGAACCGTCGCCTTAGACTGGTGAAAATGGGGCGCTGTCCAAGTATGTTATATCTCCTTTTACACATACAGCTGCTTACCCTACACACGAGGATACAAAACAAACAATATTTGTTAAGTCTCTCTTTAAAGCCCCGCCAAAAGTTATTTGAAAACTGTTTAAGATTATCCCATTGCAAAATCATTTAAAGCAGCTTTTCTAAAACCAAGAGAATCCTATATAATGCATATTCTACATCCTTTGCTATTTATTTTTAGGATGTGAAAAGCCATGTACAAAAATCTTGCGACCTGTTTGTGGAAGTGATGGCAAAACATACAACAACAAATGCCTTTTAGATAATGCAAGGTGCAAGAACCGTCGCCTTAGACTGGTGAAAATGGGACGCTGTCCAAGTATGTTATTTCTCCTTTTACACATACAGCTGCTCACCATACACACGAGGATACAAAACAAACAATATTTGTTAAGTCTCCCTTTAAAGCCCCTCAAAAAGTTATTTGAAAGTTGCTTAAGATTATCCCATTGCAAAATCATTTAAAGTAGCTGTTCTAAAACCAAGAAATGCCTGTAAAATATTTTCTACATCCATTGCTATTCATTTTAGGATGTGAAAAGCCATGTCCAAAAATCTTGAAGCTTGTTTGTGGAAGTGATGGCAAAACATACAACAACAAATGCCTTTTAGATAATGCAAGGTGCAAGAACCGCCGCTTAAGACTGGTGAAAATAGGACGCTGTCCAAGTATGTTGCATCTGTTTAACATCTGGCTTTTAGATATATATTTTTTCATCGTTTAGCCAAAGTTTAGAATAATCTTAGCATGGCAGCATATAAGATGGAGAAGAGAAATAGATAAAAAAACAGTTATAGAAGCATTTAGCGGGCCTGATGAAATCGTGTTGCAGGACGGAGTCGGCCTGGGGGCCGAAGGATCTACCAAGAAATTACCCCTCCTCACCTCCACATTGTAATCGATGGATGTTAATGTGCCTTATCCTAAGTCATTTAACCTAAATCACTGCATCTTTAATCACGGTAAAATCATGAGGTTTTTTAATCATGAGGTTAAAAATCAGGTTTTTTAGCTTTGAAATATGAAATAATATTGATTCCCCGAATGAAATATCAAAATAGCGAAATAGCCAAGTGTTTAATTAAATTATGTGTGAGGATTATTAATTTGATCGCAGAAGCCACACAAAACAGCGAGTATTGAGTTTTTTAGATATTTGTCAAATTCAAAACTCCGAGAAATGACGAGAAAGACAATATTCCTTTTCCTAAACTTGGAGTAGTAATGGCCTTCATGACCAGCGAAACCGAGGCGCAAAACTTTTATTTCCAAGTTCTAGGATTATGTTACTTTTCAACCCGAATTTGTTGTCTATTGTCCACCGCTCCATCTAAATAACGTTTCTCAATTAAGGTAATCGTAATTTATTGGAGAGAAAAAAGAGGACACGAGTTTTGTTTGTTTTAAACATTCGAAGAGACTGCGGTATCATTTTGAATTTTACTTTTATTCTTACACTAACACTAATTTATAGACTTAAAAAACCTTTTTAAAACTGAGTTTCTTAGAAATATTAGATTTTATTGGTAAAATGTGTAAATTTTAGGAGTCAAACCAGGGAGATGCCCTCGAGTTCCAAAATGCATAGGCCGTCAATGCAGTGGAAAGAAGAGGGACAGCTGTCAAAAAGATTACGACTGTAGCCATCATCACAAATGCTGCCCGCGCCCGTACGGGAAGCATTGTACAAGGCCTTGCCCCTTATACAAATGTCGTGCTTGCCCCGCGGGATACAAATATGCCGTAGGAAAAGATGGTTGCAGAACATGCAGATGTGGTAATGAACATGATCAACTTATTATTATATATATCGTGTCTTAATTCGGCGGACTTGTCAAATAAGGCAATTTCAGAATTCTCTACACTGTATCGGTCGATAGATGAGACAGCTTGTGCGATTTCAGGTTTTAGTCTGATACTTTCAGTTTCTACCTACACCAAAAAGAAACGAGTAGTGGGCAATCTTAATGTAAAGTTGAGAAACTCCAGTACTGGCATGTATATTTGGACATGTCTTAGTACATCTTGCGTTTCCCAAAGTGTTAGGAGTACTCAACTTCAACCATTGTTTTCTATAGCACAATGAGTGTACTCAGTTCAGCGTTTTTATTGCTTAGCACCCTTCAACTGCTTAGCACTCTTTGACAGGTTGATATAACAATAATTCTTACTTTGAGTCTTGCGCGTAACACTCAAATGATTCTGTGCAAGGAACAATCCATTGGTATCAGTATTCAAATTGTGCACCGTACCATTCTGTATTATTGACCCAGTACAATTTGTTGCTTACTGTAAGGATTTTCTTAACTCGCCTTTGAATGCAGTCTCGATTAAATTTCACCAACACATAGCCATTGTAGAACCACTCAATCTGAAGAAAGTAGCTGCTTTGAAATGTGGTGCTGAAAAATTATTGCTAAGAATGATCAAAAATAAAATTATTGAAAAAGATATTCATTAGAAATTTTGTATGTTGTCGTATCTTATGAATACTATCGAATAGAGAAAATGTCGAGATTATTTGAAGCTGTGACTTGACGTGCATTTTCTACCTTGGCTGGAATGACCCATTGGTCCATTGCCTAGATTTCTACTTGCTTATTGTCATTACCCACATTCAATTAAACATATAAGCAAAACTTGTATTGGATACTGCTTAACATATATTTGTTGCTAAACGTTTCACTTTACTCCCTAGTTTGTATACGACCTGTTCGCTGCTTCGTGAATCCGTGTCGATCTGCACGATGCCCTGCGGAGCCCAAAGCAAGATGTCGTCCTAACTACTGCGGTGGCTGCAAAGCCGAGTTCTTCATTGGCTCGAGGAAAGTTAAGTGCTAATGTCGAAGAGAAAAACAAACATTTCTTGTTGGTTTCACTAATTTTTATTGTTTTTTCTCAACATGGATTAATTTTTTGAACTTGTATGGTATTTTTATTGGTATTTTTTTATGATAAACGTGCATTAAGACAAATTTTTTTCTTTCATCTTCTCTCCCTTTTCTTGCATGGTAATGAATTAACTTATATTATGTTGGCCATATGTCCATTTTTACAAAGTTTTAGCCCTGTCTGCATATTTTGCAAGGAAAACCTGAAGCCCACCTGCCATCATTATTTCATACTTCATGATATCCCGAAATTTACGCTACCCCTTTTGGGGAAGGGGGGACACCAAGAACTTTTGAACTAGAATATTCCGTAGTCGCAAAGCCTTTGCCTGTGTGTGGGCTTTGTGTTGGTATATTTCCCTTGACGTTTTTTCCACGATCAGGCAAATTGTTTGCATTTCAGATTCCGTTTGGCAGTTATAACTCCTTGAAGCAATAATATGCGGGCAAGATCCTTATTAAGCCCCCTAAACTTCTAGCATTCACTACGCCCGAAGTATCCCCCAAGATTCAATCCTATGACTAGCAGGGACCGCGCACCACTCTAAAAGTGAAGGGGCTGAAATGGGTGTGACCGAAAAAATTTTGAGGCCGCGCCCTCTTGAATGCCGGAAAACGCCCCTTTTAGAAAATACTTGCTTATTTCTATTGAATTTTTATAAACAGTCCGGTTCAGAGAAGGTATCAATAAATATAAAAATAGATAGATTTGGCTCAAAGGTTATAAAAAAACCAAGCTAACCACGTTAGAAAATACATCATATCATTAAACAAGATGAAACACCTAGAAAAATTACCAAAAATGGTTCCCAGTCAATGAGAACTGCTACTTCATAACAGTTAACTATCCAAAGTTGCGTTAGAGTAAACCTTTAAAAATATTTTCTAGCCTATTTTTGCAAAAAAGTGGGCGGGCTATAGCCCCTGCTGGCCCAATGGCTGCGCGGTGCCTGATGAGTAGGCAATTGCAATCCTCGGCAATAACAAGCAGGTAGTGGAATGTTGTAAACTAGTTTGATCTTGCTACAGTTCCTGGCTTCACAAAAAAAACAGCTAAAGAAACGATGCTGCAACACAGAAGTCAGGCAAAAATGAGAATACCGTATTTCCAGGTAAAAGAACTCATTGTGGCACACATGCATTTGTATTTTAACGCTACTTATCCCTCGTTCGCTGATTAATTGTGTAGTGAGTTTAACTAGGAGAAGCCTGACGGTAAATCTGTCCCTGAATATCAATTGCTGCAGAATGAAGAGGCACATTGCCCTGTTAAAATATTTTAAATTAGTTCAAGCCTGTTAAGAACCTTTAAAAGTTAAGAACCCTGAGGATCGTTCGTGGTTGGTAGTTTCTTTAGGTTAATTGTTTAACACAGATGTGAAGTCAGTATATGTTAATCTTGAAGCCAGTGGTGTAGTGCTATCAGAATAACAACTGGGCTCTTGCACATAATGGTGCAAAAAAAAACAATAGCAAAAGTAGAAATTGGTTATATTTTGGCATTGACACCGGGAGCTCAACCCCTGGGCCCCCTAGCACTTCACCCCTGCTCCATCCGTTTCAGATGCTTTCTCCAGCTTTTCTTGGCTTTTTCTTTTTCTTTTCTGCTGCCATAATATCTATATCAATGGGTAATGATTAAAAAGACAAAGAATTAAATAGTTTATAATTCTTTTCTTTACCACCTATAAATTTTGCTAGTCTTTTTAAGGAGATTGATTGCACCGACGAAATAATCAACTACGAAACAACAGCACTAATGCTCTTGTCTAAACTCCCAACCAAGATCTATTGTAAGAATGTAAAGTTTTAAAGAGCCAACTAGGACTGAGTACTAGGATTGAGCCCAAATAATGTATCATGGAATGAGTAACTATGCATAAAAATATCAATCTTCTTTTCTATTCTGAATCTAATCCACCCTCTATGTTGCTGCAATATAATAAAGTGTATAGCAAATTTATATGGACAGTAAATTTGCCTATGGAATATTGAGGTCAAAAGAGACCCTTTTAAGCAGCGATCTGTTTTTAAGTATTTTGATTTTTTAGTTAAAACAAAATTTTTAAAGTCAGAAAGTATATATTATCATTGAAACATCACCCAGAGTCCAGAAAAGTCAAGACAAGTTCCTCCAGACAAAACATCCCAGAAGGCAAAACTTCCTCACAAAACAATAGAAAATGTGCTTCGCATCTCTATGGTGTTTCGTGTGAGCTTCTATTGTTTTTCTAGTACCTTCCTCAAGTCAGTGGCCGTGCGACCGTAATGTTTTCCTGACTCTGACATCACCTAGTCCAAGAACCAGTCTTTTATTGTTCCTGAGACCACGTGCAGGGGCGTAGCAAGCGGAGGGTGTAGGGGGTGCGACACTCCCGATACTAAATGTGTTGTCGGTAAATCTGAAGTTGGTACTTAGTTTTTTGGTAGAATCAAAATTCTTAGTTTGTCGGTAAAATCATGAATCTGTAGGAGAAACAGCATCTAAATACTTCTTCATCTATGTCTTCCTAGATGAACCACCACCCCTAGTCTAAAAGGTCTAGCCTGTGTTTCAGACCCCTTTACTTTCAAGTTAGGGGTCTGGAGCATAGACTAGGAAGGTGAAGTTACACTACTGGCCACGCGTACTTTATTCTAAAAACCAAGGTGTCAATTTTTGTAGAATTCAAGCTGTAGAATTTGCCTTTTTCCTATATGGTATCCTTTCCCAATTTCGCATTGTAGACATTGATGCAATGAAAAAACGATTTCTTTTCAATAATTTTAGTGCATTTTCTGCAAAATGCACAAAATCCGAAAAATTTCATTAGAAGGTTATAATCACGGGACTATTATTTTTAGTATATTTATAATTACGGGCCTTTTGTTTAATGAGTCATCGCTTTCAGCAAAGGTCGCTAACAATATGAGGACTGGACATGAATGACGTAGGTTGGTAACAATGAAGCAACCGCTGTGCCGGGGAGCCGACGGTTGTAGTAGCGAATTCCAATTACGCCCTTTTCTAGGGCGAATTGCAAAATGTGGTAGTGCACTGCCTCCAAGGACGCACATTGATGCACTTTTAAGACTATTAGCCTAGTCTTATCACTATTATTACAATGTGATATAGACATATTCACGATATTCCAAGGAAAAGTCATTGATATTAAAGCATTAGCTGGAAAGTTGTCCAGATACTGCGTTTGAACAACCCGCTGCTAGGCCGTTACTTTGTCCAAGTCGAGGAGATTTAAAGATCTATTCATCGGATTTGTCAGAATTAGTTTGAGAGATACACCAAGATGGCACTGCCGTTCTTACCTTCTCATGTCTATAAAGAAGCCCAAAAGAATAACATGGAGGGCAAAGCTGGAAGGGTAAGGAAGTTTTTCCATGCATTTGACAAGTTTAAACTTTAGGAAGGCCTTATTGATAAGTAGATGTTCTTATCTTTACGCCAGACTTTCGTTCGTTATTGCTTTAATTTTGGGTTTGAATTAATAGTATAAGGTAACTAAGCTTAAATAATTTGAAGAAGGCGTGTTATCTTCAGAAATAGGATCGAATTCATTAACACCAGCTTTGTGCAGGCTGAATTTCCGTATTGTTTATATATGTTGCTTTTTACTGTAGTTATGAGTGTTACGCACAGGGAACACAATATACTTTGTATTTTATATGCAGATTCTATCATAATGGTATTTCCAGATTTTGGTGTAGATGGAATACCATGCTATAATGTTGATTTTCAATTTTGACTATAAAGAAATGCGTTGCCATGTTTGTCGTCGTCTCACGCTGTGACTTGTCATTGCACAATAGCCCAGTGGCAGTTGTAACTTGCTTTGGCGCTTCGTTGCAGTTTTTTAGAATATGCAAATATCAATCCAAAATCTGTTTGAAAATTGATAGGGACTTTTTGGTAGTAGCAGTATGAAATGTAAGTTAAGTTGCCAAATTTTGGAATGTTTAGATTTGTGCCTTTATTATAAAGGCAAAAATCACCAACACTTTGCAGAATACACTTTGCAAAAACATAGAGTTTTTATATTATCTAAATATATATTTATTATATATATATATATTATATAACATAAATATTTTTGCAAAGTGTTTTTTGTAAAGCAATGGTAATTGATTCCACCTTCAAGAACAGTATAATAGTGACAGGCTAATTTATTACGCTGAGATATGTTATATCAGGCTACTTTTTTGAGAATTGTTGCTGCATATATTTTTTAATTTTTGAAAGACAGTGACTATGCAGCAACAACAGTTTTCTTTACCTTATTCATGGTTCAAGCCTTGAAAACACTGTAGCTTTGCTAAGATAAGAAAGGGTGATATCTGAGTAAATGTATGCATAGAATGACTAGAATTAGCAGTTGTTAACAATGTTAACAATGTTAACAATTGACCAATTTTTAAAATGTCTGAAACACAATTTTTGAGCCCTCATGTTTACTGCAATGAATGATGTTGGTGTTTGGCCACATTTAATCAAAGTTTGCCTGCTTCTAATAAATTTTTGAGCCTTAATTGATTCCTTTTTTCAAGTAAGGCTATTTAATTATTGCTCCACTTTGCTACTATAACCTCAAATGTTTCATTTTTTATTAACAGATTGTTGTTTCATGGAATCGATTTGCAAGAAGTCTTCGGGAAGCATTTGAAATATATGTGGAAACAAAACAGGTACTTGACACATTTGAAACATTTTGTATGAGTTATTGATAAACAACTATCATAGTATAATGCGAAGAGCAAAACAATTATAAATATGTATATATATATACTAACTAATAAAAATTCATATATAACTATTTTGTCACGCATTTTTCACAATCTTCACAGAAGAGTGAAGGCAGTTGAAATGTCAATAAACTGCTGCTGATGAAGTTGGTTAAAGATCTTTGAAATATTTACATTTTTGAAACATTGCTGCAACAAACAACATAAGTTTAGAGGCAAGAAAACAATCAACTGTAATAGACAATCACCATCATTATGTGTGACAGAACCAGGAAGTTACAAATTTTGACAAAACCAGGAAGTTATATGCAAATTCTGATTTACAGACAATCAAGAATAGACTAGACCATTTATTAAGAGTGTTGTGGGACAAACTATTTTCTGTATAGATAAATTTTTTTTGTAACAAATTTATATTTCATAATAAATTTCTGCATTCATTTGCATTTATCAACTCGAAAGGTTGCTTTGTTTTAATATTTATATCTACTTATTCTAGGCTGAGTTCCATGCAATTGTTGATGAAATACCAAAGAAACTGACAGAAATTTCAGGGAAAATACCAATTCGCAAAGTAATCATGGCCTTTCTTCCCTATACATTCTATCTGATATTCTACTCAAAGTATACCTTGTTCCGTAGCATAACAGGATTGGACAGCATTCGAAAACCTAACATTGATTTTCTACCATGGCTAGAATCAGTTGTATTTCATTGTCACCCACATCGTCTTTTGTCAAAAATCGCAAATCCTTTTTTGGACTGCCTTGCAGCTGTTCCATATTTAATTCATTTCCCTCTACCGGCTTTGTTTTTATTATACTTGATGATACATCCAAGAAAGAGATACAGCATTCTGACATTTGCTTGGTGCGCTGGTTGGGTCAATCTCTGTGCACTTTTTCTTCAGTATATTTTTCCAACTGCCCCACCTTGGTACGTTGACAGTGTGGTTTATGGAACAGATGGACACTTTGTTAAGTCTGCAAGTAATGAAGCTGGATTCCAACGTCTTGATGCGTTCATTGGACTGCATTTTTTTCAAGGAGTTTATTCAGCATCACCATTAAAATTTGGAGCATTTCCTTCACTTCATGTTGCTTGGCCTGCTATAATTTGTGTCAATAGACCTTGGATTGGTAAGAAGTTTGCATGGTTTCATGTTCTGTGGATATCTTGGGCTGCACTGTACTCGCATCATCATTATGGAGTTGATGCACTCGCTGGAATTATTCTTGTTTTTATTGTTAACTTTTGCATGATAAAAATCTGGAATCCTTTTTCAAGCAAAGACTATGTTCTTGATGGGAAAGCTAGTCATAGAAGCAGAGTTAACGATTATGCGCAGCAAGTTTGAGTACAATTTACGGATAAAAAGTTTTTATTCCAGTCATTATTTGCAACAACAGTCTGGATAAAACATTTGTGGCAAGAACCTTACAAAAATTGTATAACATATTTTTGTAACTTATATGATATGTTTTAATTTCAAGTTAAAACCTCTCTTCTCCTTTACTGTTCTCACTCAATATGCTTTCAAACTTCTATTTATTTGAATGGTTTTTTTGAAAAAACTCTACTGAATGTTAGAGATACTGTTGGATATAATATTAGGTTCCTTCATAAATCCAGGTTATCCACAAAACTTAAGCTTTTGTTTTTTATTTTTTTTCGCTTTTCAATAAAATTCTTTAATTATTAAATTAATTAATTATTGTTGTTGAACAAGAAAGCTCATTTTGATTGAATAAATGTGTCCAGGAACCTTCTTGTTAATCCATTCCTTTTTATCTGTGAAGTACAGTTTTTCCTATCCAATCACATGTTTCTTGTGAATCAATTTTACCTCAGTTTATCTTGACAAATTCATTCGTAAATTTGATTTATGAAGATTTACTAACCTGAAACTATTTTGCTTTACAAAAACTAGGAATGGAAAGCATTGTACAAAATATTTAGACTTGTCTAGTCCGTCATTGATAGCCATTCAGAAGCTGGTATTCTGGGAAGGCTTTCTAACTTTAATGGTCAATTTTAATGATTATAGTGCTTTGCCTGTAATTAAAATCAAATCAAGGAAATTGTCTGGTGAATTCAGGAAAATCATGGTCATTAAAGCTTTTAGGGAAATACTTTTGCCAGGACAGCAAAGTACATGTGACTAATGCTTCCTTTTAACTTGTAGCATAACATACAATCATTACACTGCCAATAACTATGAGTAGGCCTTCCCATTTCATTAACAATCAATTAAATAGGTCAAAAAATTCTTTATGGTGTAACTGATTTAATTTAGGTTCATTGTAATTGTGGGCACACAACTTTTGTTTGATGCAACAAGATTTGATTTTCAAGACTCTCTTCGAGAAATTCCCATTATGAATCCAACCAAAAGATGGGTTACTTAAACCAAAAAGTGAACTTTGTCTCTCAAGCTAAGAACCAAACTTTGAAAACTAAGGAAAGAATGCTTCAAAGTTGTGACTGACAATTATTTTTAATGTTTGACTTTCTTCCTCATGCTGACTAATTTTTCTAGCCTCCAGAGTTTCTTGACTAATTTTAGCATTAAAATTAAGTGAATACAAAATGGAAATAGGTGTCAGACAAACAGTTGCTTCAGCAAGATGTGTGACCTTTATAATAGTATATTTCCCACTGATTTAATTTGTAACTCATAGTTCGCTTGTTAAATAGCTGCTTCGCTCCCCAGTTAATTCTTGTAATTTTTTTCCGAAAATTTTGTAAAACTGGTTTATTGTACTGCTATTAATTAGATGTTGTTACCAATCATTGCACTTGTTGTCATCTTCCTCTTAATGTTGACTGTAAATCCTAAATTGTTTCATCACCTTTTATTTATAGTCTGTATGCACATTAAACCTGTTCAGTGAGTTGCTAATACTTTCTTCGTGTATTTCACTATTTCATTTTCGACTCATTTTCTTCAGATCAGTTTTTGTTAGTTTTAATATTGATGCTGTAAGCAGGTCAGGTTTTTTAATTGGAAAGTCACTCTACTAAACTGTCACAAATTGTAATATTTTTGGGAGACATGGAGACACCCTGAAACTCCCCTTGGTTAAGCATTAAAACTTGAATCATTCCATAACATCACGAAATAATTGTACAGTATTATGGCACAGAAATAATAATAATTGCCAAAGTGTATAGCTCAAAATGGAATATTATTTTCATATTGCTAAAATTGAATTTGAATGTCGAGCACATGCAAAGTTTGCTCCAAGACAACCCAGCAAACTAATGAATTTTTTATTCCTTGCCCAAAAAATGAATGCGTTAAATTCCTTTAGGCTAAATAGGATAGAAAATTTAATATTTCAAAATATAGGTTAAAGACATTTGAAAAGCATAAGTACAGCGAATCCAAAATTAACTTCGGCGAAATTGATCAGAGCACGCGCACAAGAAAAGTAATGAAAACCACTCACGTGAAACCACTGCGCGCTGCTCGAGGATTTCACCGATTTGCAGAAAGGCGGAAACTGTTCACGTGTTTTTTCTGTACGCAGTTTGATTGGTCTACCGCTCGTGGTCGAGTGGCTGTAAGCCACTTTTACCTGTGTCAAATTCCTTTAAGACGTCGGAAAGTGTTGTTGCCATTTTGCTTTTGCTAACAAGATATCCATGGTGATTTGATGTATACTCTAGCAGCACAGAATGGTCAGATATCTTTATCCCCCCTATTCATATTTGTTGTGTATGTATTCAAACAGTAGATGTACCAAAAACATTGGGGGGAGGGGGTAGCAGAGAGTGCAGTCTTAACTTTATCAGTCAGAATTATAATTTGACATAGTTTTTAGTTTTATGCTCTCATTTTGTGCTTCCATTTATTGTGGTTTTAGCATGCCGTCATAAAAAGGTGACGTCATTCTACCAGGTGTCATGTCATTTAAAAAAGTTATCTAAGCCTTTACAGGGAAAGGCGAACATGACTTTAGTAGACCGTATATCGTTTACTTTCTTATTGTCTTAAGTCTTTAAATTCATTTGGTAATAAATTCAGTTACATTAAAAACCGGCACATAAAAAACTCACTTATACGAAAAAACAGACTGACTTTTCAAAGTTCGGTACCAAATAGAATGTTGGGCCTCATTTTTTTCAAGTTTCTTGTAATTGCTTATTTTGAACAAAAGCTTCTAAAATAAAATAAATGTAACAGGTAGTTTTCCACAAGCAAACTAACTATCAATTTATTGAATGTAATACACTGCCCTCTTGAAATTAGCTATTTTTTGCCAGAAGGCATAATTGTCACTTCTTATCAGGACGGCCCTGCTGTTCTCTTACGTAAGTTTTTTAAGAAACTCATCAGCCTTTTTTCCGAAATTTATCACTTTTAAAGGAAACTGTACAGTCTGATTCAGTAATAGATTGCCTTTGCTCCTCCTTTAATATGGATTGTTGCTAAATGAATTATATGAACAAATTGTGCATGTTAGTTTAAAGGCAATCTGTCACGACGTTGATTGGTTAAGGGATTTTTATTGTTTCCAGTCCCCCTTTAATTTATCGCATTGTAAAAAATATGGCGGAGCGCTGGAATCGTGTTTAGGCTATTGTTCCAGCTATTGTTCTCGTTAACCAATCCACAACGAAACAGATTGCCTTTAACTTTCCGTTTGATCATCATCAGGAGTTACCTTTCTCGTGATTTATGAATGAGTAAATTTCGTTGATTGCGAATTCGTGATGTGATAAAGCTGCCACTGAAGGTTGTGGTAGACCATGTTTAAAATTTCAGATTTCAGAAACTTTTCCGTGAGACTATCTGTGCAGCTTACATACGAACCTTTTCTTTCGTGTAAACGGGTTGCAATTCCTATAGCATCTTCTTACTATTTATGCTACGATTTGCTACATTTCGGTAACAGCAACTAGAAGACCAAAATAAAACACCAGTGCTCCGTGAAACAATTCTTCTGTGACAGTATCTGTGTAGCTTACATAAGCACATCTTGTTTTCTGGAAACTGGTTGAAATTCCTATAGCATTTACTTGATTCATTTCCATTATTTACACAACCATATTCTAATTTTCTGTAAGAGAAAAAACAAGAGCACCAGTGCTTCGTGAAACAATTCTTCTGCGACAGAATCTGTGCAGCTTACATACGCACATCTTGTTTTGTGGAAACTTGATGAAATTCCTATAGCATTTACTTGCTTCATTTCCATTATTTATACAACCATATTCTAATTTTCTGTAAGAGAAAAAACAAGAGCACCAGTGCTTCATGAAACAATTCTTCTGTGACAGTATCTGTTTAGCTTACATACGCACATCTTGTTTTGTGGAAACTTGATGAAATTCCTATAGCATTTACTTGCTTCATTTCCATTATTTATACAACCATATTCTAATTTTCTGTAAGAGAAAAAACAAGAGCACCAGTGCTTCATGAAACAATTCTTCTGCGACAGAATCTGTGCAGCTTACATACGCACATCTTGTTTTGTGGAAACTTGATGAAATTCCTATAGCATTTACTTGCTTCATTTCCATTATTTATACAACGATAATCTAATTTTCTGTAAGAGAAAAAACAAGAGCACCAGTGCTTCATGAAACAATTCTTCTGTGACAGTATCTGTTTAGCTTACATACGCACATCTTGTTTTCTGGAAACTGGTTGAAATTCCTATAGCATTTACTTGATTCATTTCCATTATTTACACAACCATATTCTAATTTTCTGTAAGAGAAAAAACAAGAGCACCAGTGCTTCGTGAAACAATTCTTCTGCGACAGAATCTGTGCAGCTTACATACGCACATCTTGTTTTGTGGAAACTTGATGAAATTCCTATAGCATTTACTTGCTTCATTTCCATTATTTATACAACCATATTCTAATTTTCTGTAAGAGAAAAAACAAGAGCACCAGTGCTTCATGAAACAATTCTTCTGTGACAGTATCTGTTTAGCTTACATACGCACATCTTGTTTTGTGGAAACTTGATGAAATTCCTTTAGCATCTTCTTGCTTCATTTCTATTATTTACACAACGATATTCTAATTTTCTGTGAGAGGGAAAACAAAAGCACCAGTGCTCCATGAAACAATTTTTCTGTGACAGTATCTGTTTAGCTTACATACGCACATCTTGTTTTGTGGAAACTTGTTGAAATTCCTATAGCATTTACTTGCTTCATTTCCATTATTTATACAACGATAATCTAATTTTCTGTAAGAGAAAAAACAAGAGCACCAGTGCTTCATGAAACAATTCTTCTGTGACAGTATCTGTTTAGCTTACATACGCACATCTTGTTTTGTGGAAACTGGTTGAAATTCCTATAGCATTTACTTGCTTCATTTCCATTATTTATACAACCATATTCTAATTTTCTGTAAGAGAAAAAACAAGAGCACCAGTGCTTCATGAAACAATTCTTCTGTGACAGTATCTGTTTAGCTTACATACGCACATCTTGTTTTGTGGAAACTTGATGAAATTCCTTTAGCATCTTCTTGCTTCATTTCTATTATTTACACAACGATATTCTAATTTTCTGTGAGAGGGAAAACAAAAGCACCAGTGCTCCATGAAACAATTTTTCTGTGACAGTATCTGTTTAGCTTACATACGCACATCTTGTTTTGTGGAAACTTGTTGAAATTCCTATAGCATTTACTTGCTTCATTTCCATCATTTACACAACGATATTCTAAATTTCTGTAAGAGGAAACACAAGAGCACCAGTGCTTTGTGAAACAGTTCTTCTGTGACAGTATCTGTGCAGCTTACATACGCACCTTTTTGTAGTTTAGTGATATATTGATGCCTATAGAGATTTTAAGAAGATTCTAAAAAAGATCTTAACAACTATAAGCTTTGGAATAACTAACATCCTTTGTTGGTATGCTTGAACTGAAAGATAAGTTAGATTTGTTTCGTTCTAATCAGTCAAAGTTTTGTTCAGTTTAACTTACCTAAATTTACATTATAGTTTTTCAGAAATCAAGTTTTGTTTTTAACATGTAGTTTGAGGAAGGCGATCCTTCTGCAAAGCTAATTTTCAAGGGCCCTTGAAAAGCTGAATTAAGTATAAAACTTTTAAAAGCTCCCAGCTAAAAACAACCAAATCTAAAAATAAATCGCTACTTTATTTTTCAGTTGATCATGTTTAGTGCAGGTCCACCGTACCGGCTTAACTTTATGGCAAAGCCCTAAAAAAGAGGGGAGAAGTAAAAAAGATGAGGTAAGATCAGGGATGGAAAATCTTTTAGGAGAGTGGGCCAGATCTTTCAAACTTTCCCTTAAAGCTGTCCAATATCCTGCGTGCAGATTCGACTCTGCCCAACGATAATTTGTCTAACAAATAATGAAAAACAAAGAAAAAGGAAAAAATGAAGAAGAAAACATCAATATGTAAAATGTTAAGTGACATGGTCCTGATTGTGCTTGATGGAATCTAGTGCAAAGCTGTTTTAAAAATTACAACAATGCGTCACAGGTTTTAATTCTCACAATTTGAATGTGTCTTGTGTCTTCATTTCACAACCTAAGCCAAAGAAATGCGTTACTGAGACATTATCACAGCATAGAAGTGTCATTTCTATTCTGTGACACAATGCTGAAATAAGTTTCTAAGAATAACTTTGAAATAATTACGCTTAATTGCCTTCAATGAATTTTTTCCATGTAAAATAGTATAGATCAGCATTAAATTAGGTTTACTGATCCCAACACAATTTGAAGGCGCGTAAACGTGTAATAACAGGCACGTGATGTGAACCAGGCTCCAAATTAATCTAGGGGGAAATGAAAATCTCGTACACATCCTATTGTTTTATTTGAAAATTTCTAGAAATTATTTTATTTTGGTGAAAAACTTGTTTGTTATTTGCAAGAGTGAACTGCCCGTCAAAATCTATTGTGAATAGCCATTTCCACAATATGATTTTCGGATCTGAGTTTTCGGATAGTGCTAATAAAAACCCATAGTGCAAAGAAAATTGATTAATAGTTCAGAAGTGTTGGCATCAAAAAATATATTTTCAGCATTTTGAATTTGGGTGAACAACTTAGAAGTGAAGCATAAACAGTGACGTAACAAAGGTTAGGTGACAATGGACTAATAACTATGGCCGCCGAACAAGAAAGGGTCAACAATTTATATTAATACCCTTGTTTTTAAGATTACGTTTACATTGCTTTCAAAAATTTGAAAGGCTCTTTAAATGCAGCATATAATCCAGCTCCTCTATGTTAACGAGGAAAATTATCATTTTTACTCTTGATATTCTGTTTAATATGCTGTATCCCATCGAATGGGACCTTCATACAGTCCGTAAATGGGGGTCCCCTCTCCAGTTTCATTCTTAAGGCCCCAAGGTGCCCCTTATGCCACTGAGCATAGAACACATGAAAATATACAAAATTAATTGAATATGTCGCAAATGGGCTGTGTTTTTTTTTAAAAGAGCACCGGTTTTTTTTTCATCAAGTCATTTGAATTTGGTCTCGATTTTCAACTTTAGAAACCAAGCCAAAATAACAATCGAAAGACTGTTTCTATTACAAAAACAGAATTCTTCACTTTCATTGTCTCACTTTATCTGCAACAGGTTTGACAGATTGAAATCATTTTATGGATATGCGGCTAGAAGCTCTAAAAATATATTTTTGATTACGTCGTAATTTTTTTCTTTTTTGAAGTTTATATTTGAGTTTGCAAAGAACTGTGGGACAGGTGTGTTAAAAATTAAAACGGATACTGGCAACTCAGACAGAAAATGAGCAGAGTCTCGTAACTGAAAACCAAGGTCGTAGTCAATAACTTGAATATGTTCAAAAACAGTACAAAGAGGTTTTGTTGCAGTCAAGAAATAATGCGAATTGTCAAATTTTGACTGCAGGTAAAAAGAAAGCATACCTGATGACTTGTATGAGATGAAAAGACAAAAATGGGAGTGAAATGTGCTGTTAAGATTGCTTAGCTTAAAAATGTTCGAAAGTTAAGGCTTTTGAAAAGGTATTTGATAATAAATAAGACCTTGTGTATCACTTCATATTTAAATATACCTAGGTTCTTTAAAAGCGCAATACCGCATTGATGGCATTATTGTGAGAAACTTGTAAGTATGTTTTTGCAGGCCTTTGCTGAAATTCGATGGCTGTCGCTGAATTTGCTTTCTACTCAATCTTAAACGCTGGATCATAGCACCATGGATGTACCACAAATCTACTATTTATCTTAAACTGAAGTACCCTTGCTAGCCTACAGTTTATTTGCTAAACGTAATCTGCTCCTTTCGAATACCTGTTTTAAAAAAGTGGTAAAATTTATTCATTTTATACTTTCTTTTTCTTTGCCTTGTTGACTAAAAATGTTGTTTTTGTTAGCATTTGAGCTGTGTTTCTAGAAAGCCGTAATATTGAATTAAATGATATTGCTCCTTGGTACTTTATTGTAAATTAAGATTGTTCAGAGTGATTATTTGACAAACCAAAACATAAAAGAAGTGCATTTTTGGCGATCTTCAGGGATACATATCTGTGAAATTTACTTAGTTTTCCATAGATTAAAAATTCTATTAAAGAAATTATGCAAATTGTACAAAAAGACAAATATTAACTCAATTCTCCTCTTTTCTTCACTTTTCTTGTTTGGTAATCTTATCTTTGTTTTCAATCTTCTGCTTTTGTATAAGATTATTTTAAAATTTCATTCCTATAATATTTTCTCAATTTCACAACAGTTAGGTATTATGCCTACTCAGAAAGACCTTTGAACATTGTTTGACGATTAAACAACTGTCAATCAACAAGCAAATGACAATATGGTAGCTTTTCATTCTCACATTTTCATTCTTTTTTTATTCTGGAACAGTAACGCCGAATTTAGATAAAACCCTCAACCAAGTCTTGTCTAAACCTCAAACGGGCTGATCCAATAGATAAAAACATCATTTTCTCCAAAACACAACTGGAAAGTAATTAGAAATTTCACGATCCCATTCTCCCTCGCCTGCACACTGGCTTGTGTTGTTTTGAAAAATGAAAGAACGAAAAATTGACATTTCCTACATACAGTACAATGCCTCGTTGCGTTTGGTATTGTTTTCTTGCCGATGCTGTTTGTGACTCTAAATCTAACAATCGGTAACCGCCTCTTGTTTTATCATTTGCATTTGAAGAAACTGGTCTCATTTTGTGTTATCAGGACATGCTAATAAAGCATTTTTCAAATGGAAAGGGGAAATCTTTCCATAAAGACATGAAAGATTGGAACACTTTGAATAAATATAGGCATTTATCGCCAAGAAAAATGGTTTGAAAAATTTACTGCTGAAAAAGTAGAGGGCATATGTCTTAGGCCCCGAGAATCTACATTGGCCATCAAAAGTTCATCACATTTGTAACCAAAAACATGCTGTCCTATTCAGCTAGCATTCAATTAGAGGGGCAATTCACTCTTGCAAATAGCGTACGAGATTGTCCCTAAAACAAAAGGATTTCGGAGAATTTTCAGATATAACAATAGGATTTTTACAAAAGGTGTACGAGATTTTAGAGTGATTTGCACCTCGATTCAATTGCTTTGTTGAATGACTGAAACTTTAGAAGCCAGATTTAGCGTTGATTCAACTCATTTGCAACTATCTTTTCTTGTAATTGCTATTGGCAACTGAAAGAATCAATTTAAATGTCGATTTATTATAAACGAACCCTTTTCGACTTCAATCGCTCTTTTCCATAGACGACAAGACTCCATACCTCCGCTGCTGCTTTGCATTCACCGTCAAATTAATTTATTTGAAACGCAGTATGACAGCAAGCATGGGCAAATTCTGCACTCTTCCTTTAAGAATTGTTCAAATTTTCCAGATTTTTCCCAATAGAAACAATTCTGTTGGAACTGGCTGGTCACGTTTTGCAGAACCTTTTTGTTTTACGATAAGCAGCACCTTGAATTGCTGAAGTAAGAGCTCGTTCAAATATTCAAAAAATGACAGAAATGGTTAGACATAAATTAATCGTTCTTATATCATAATAGATATCATAATCGTTTAAGTATCTTATTTAGCAATATTATCGAAAATATCATAAGTATATATAATTAGCAATATATAAGTATTATCGAAATACCTTTAAACTATAGAAACACAACAAAGGTACTTCTATTTTTTAATTGGAAACCTCCCATGCTCATTATTCAAAGGTTGCAATAAATCGGTCAAAAAAGACAGACAGAAAGGCCAATTTAGGCAAACTAACAATCTTAAACGAAAATTAAACACTTGTCGACATTGCTAACATCATTTGTACGTATCATCTTTCAATATCAATGGCTTTGACTTACAATGGGTTTAGATATTGACGGAAAAATGTCAACTGTTAGCAGGGCTTATACACACTCTTGATGCAATACTTTGTTGCAAGAGGGGGTTTTGGGGAATTTTGGCTAATGAGATCCCACATCTGCCACATCTGACCTTTTTGACAAGTCATGCAGTTTTGCTCGTCATTTTGTGTCAAAGATTAGTTTTTATTGCAAAAGAATGAACGCGAATCATTTTGTATTAAAATTACCAAGTTATAAGGTTCCATTTCTTGTTTTAAGAGCAGACAAAGTCGCCTCTCGTTGTGATCCGAAACACAAATGTTTGGGCGGGTACTTTTGCTAGACAGTGCGAAGGAGCTCGGATGGCTAGCCAATTACGAGGTTGCTTTTATTGTTGTAATGCGTAATTTGTTCAGTTGGTGAGGGATGAGGGTTTGAAAGAAGATTTATCCAGACAAAAGACAGACATTTCCAGAAATGTAAGTAATTTAGATTCCAATTTATACGTCTTACATATTATTTCTCTTAGATCGGTTTTTTATTTATGGAAACAACTGGTCGAAAGCGATCGTTCGTTACGATGGCCTAGACGTAACTATATACACACACCCAAAGCTTCCAATGTCACTTTGCATTGCCCGACGCCGGTCAAAGAGTGTCGTATCGTGTTTGCTACCCCAGTTTAAGACGTACTAAGAGATCTTTATTGCTTATAATTACCATATTGACATAGGCCTTGCCCTTCAGCTCAAATAGCCAAAACATGTCATTTATCTGTCTCCCTTCACATTGCGGATTGTTTTCTTCTCAAAAGGAAAACATGGTTTCGGCGTGGGGACCCTAGGTATATTACAAAACTCCTTAATAATCAGTAGGTTTGGGGAAAAATTAGATTTCATTTTTAAGTCTCTGCTGCATTTGAAGAAATTTTTTAATTCTCTTTAAAAATGGCTCTGCAACGATCAAATATAACTCACAAGGCGGCTTGGTGATCGTGTAATCATGTGGCCAGATTTTCAAAGTGGTTAAGGTGGTTTCCATGTAAATCGCGTCTGATGTCTGTTTGGCTGCCCTTATATTTTATCAGTATAGGCAGGGCATTTCAGTTGCAAGGTGTGTTATCATAGCTCCTGCAGACGATGACTGACGGGAAAGTTCTCTCGGAAAATTTTTACAGGTGCTTGTTGAGTGGGAACATGTTATGTAGGGTGAATTTCGAAAATCATGATTTAAATTAGCGGTAAATCTGAGTTCTAAAATTTCAAGTCATTCAACAGAGTCAATTTAATGCTAGCTGAATGGGACACCATTTTGTTGGTTTCAAACATGTTCCTTAATTCAACTGTGCGAAGTTGTTTGTAGCTTCTTTTTTGTTTTGCCAACGTATTCTTCAATCACTACAACGCAGCCACATAAAAACAAAGTAAAAACCAGTAATTATTGATCGATTTGCCTAAATTCCTTTTGTCCATAGATAAAAATTTTTGTTTTATATAATAAGGAAATTTTAATTAATGCCATATACAGCTATTTACTGAATTTATCTAATTTCACACGTGATAAAGGTGTCAAAGCAAGTTGTCACATCATTATTTTATGCTGATGCTTAAGGATGCAATTTGTTTTTTTCTGCTAATTTACACCCCTCCCTCAGAGATCGAAAAAATGGTATGCTAGCAGATAAGAGAATTCACCATATCTTTTGAAGGCACTCTCCCAAAAGGGCTGAGAGATTGGTTTACAAAATATATCAATTAATAAGCAATTAGGTTATTGTTATATTTTGATAACTTTTCCTAGCCCTATTTATGAAGTATGACATAAGTTTGGATGGTGAGGCATGTTTTTGTCCCTACATACAAGCATCTGAGTCATGTGCTCATTGTCAATGAAAGTGAACAATGCATGCCAAAAACAATGAACAAATAATAGAGCACATGATTCTTTGGAAAATCTGCTCATTTTTAAACACCATTGTACTGTTATATTATTGAACAGCTTTTAAAGAAATGAGTCATTTCTATTTCGTTTTCCATTCAAGATTTTGCTTTCACTTTCACCTTCAGTTCTTTTAACATGTTAATATTTGTCTCAATATTTGTCTCTTGTTTAGCTCAGCAAGATGTTTCTATGCTGAATCTATGCTAGCTCAACAAACTGGTTACACATTTGTAAACTCTCAGCAATTAATGAAAAGTTAACCCCATCTTGTAACAGGTGTGTCACCATTCCTTTTTTAATTATATAGAATTTCTAAGTTCATTTTCTGAATGGTTTTCATTTCACTGATTTCTAGAAACTAATAACATCAATTTACTTTGTTTTCTGCTCTGTAATTATTTACAATTTAAAGGCATAAGGTCCCCTGCTCTGCCCATTTTTGTTGGAGTAAAGTTTGGTTGACATTCATGAATATTGAGCAGTGGTACTAAAATTTCCTGCGATCACTGAGGAAGGTAGGAGTCCTTTTAAGGCCTTTTTCTAATGCCTGGCTCATAGTATTATTTAGGTTTATTTGAATTTTAGCATTTTCCATTTTTAATGCATAAGCATGCACATATAGATAACAATATTTTATTGTGAAAGTTATGTTTTTCTTTCAGGCTCATTTGTATTAGACAACCCTAGAAAGATGGATTTTCATTCACTGCAAATGGCAGCATCAGTGTTCATCTTGATAATGATATCTTTCAAATTAGACACATTTCATGCATACAAATTTGAAGCAGATACTGATCTAAATAATATGGCTTTTCAAGGAAATGAAGTATTTATAGGGGCTACAAATTATATTCATAGACTGAACAGCAATTTAGTACAACTCAATAGCAAGAAAACTGGGCCAGTGAATGATAGCAGACATTGTATTACTCCTAATGAACACTGTAAAGATCTCAAGCTAACAGACAATCGAAATACTGTTCTTTTAATTTACAAGAAATCTGATTCACTCACATCAAAGACAATTACAAGGTTATTTACTTGTGGCAGTATATACCAAGGTGTCTGCCAGTTGAGGGATATAAAAAATATGGATTCGGTATTGAATGGTAGTGCAGCTGTGGCAGCAAATGATGCAAATTCATCAACTGTAGCATTTCTTGGTCAAGACAAGTCAGGTAATAACATGCTGCATATTGCTGTTACGCACAATAAGCGTATTGATTTCATGACATTACCAGCAGTCTCTATCAGGCAGCTAGATGGCCTTGGGGAGAGATATTTCTTGAGACCATACAACAAGAATTACATTGAAGTAAAAAGAGACTATGTTATTGACTATGTATCTGGCTTTCTGTTAGAAAAGTTTGCTTTTTTCACATCTGTACAGCCTGTACAATATGGAGGAGGTGCTTCAAATGTCTACGAATCAAAGATAGTCCGTTATTGTTTAGAGGTCCCAGAATTCTATTCCTATACTGAAATTCCATTATCATGCAAGGACTCTGCTGGAACTCAATACAATATCTTGATTAGTGGTATGCTCATAAAAGCAACTGGCAAGACTGCACAAATGTTGAATGTCAGTGAAGGTGATAATGTCTACATAGGAGTGTTCAGCAAATCAGCAGCAACAGGGAAGGCCCAGACTGACAAAAATGCTGTTTGCATTTTTACAATAAAAGATGCTAATAAGGCATTTGATGATAATATCAAGATGTGTGTGCTTCATGGTGAGCCTATAGATGGTGGTTTGAAGTGGATGAAGACATATCAGCCTGGAGTGCTCTGTAAGGTGAGTTTGCTGGAAAGCCAATAGTTTTTTACACCAAATGTATATGCTGAAAGTGACAGTAACAAGTATAACAGGGGAATCATTTTGAAACTGTTATTAACCAATAATATTAAATATCATATTGTTACAAGTCTAAATGTTAACAAATAATGACAAATTAATGCAAGCTATTTATTTCCAGATATCATGCTTGCGCAGTCATGTTTTCATCCCTTTCTAGAAGATACATAAGAAATTTTGTTTGGTTTATATTAAGTCAACGCTTTTTCATCATTTCATTATCACATTTGATTAATGTTGTTAACTTGTTAACCTGTTATGGTTACCCTGTTAACATTTTTATGGATAAAATGAGAAGCAATTCTCTCTTACAAATAACATGCTATGAAAACAAAATGATTTCTGCCAAAGTTGTATGAGATTTCCATGGAATGATTTGCCCTTCAAGTGTAAACCGGTTGGATTATATTAAATCTATGCTTTAAAGATACTATAGCCTTAACAATTTGTGAAAAAAATATTTCTTTATTAACTACTAATGATTAAACATGTAGTCACTAATGCATCATCAGAAATCTGTTTCACGTAAAAATGAAATTAGAAATTAAAACAGTTTTGGCCACTGTAAAGAAGGCAGATAAAATAAAGTTTGATTTTACAGGAAGCTAAAAGAGAGTATCAATTTCGAGTGGTAAGTGACAAATTTAACTACTAACAACTAACAATAAAAAACTCACTAATATCTCAGTTTAAATCTTGATAACATGGATAACTTTTAATGGTTTAACATGTAAATAAATATTTGTTTTATGCTTAAATAAATATCTGTTCATGATATAAAGATTTAACAAATAAAAGGGCCAAACTTCAAAGTTGAATCATTTTTATGACATAGGTAGAACACTTTGAATAGAAACAGTAAACAGGGCATTTTGCAACATTAAATCTCTCAAATGCAGTAAACCTCACCTTTGGAAGACCTTGTGGGAAAAGATTCCGGTGGTTTGATTTAATCCAAATAGAATCTGATAAAATTAATTAGAGAAAAGAGATCTGTTTGAGCAGCCTTGGTCTGTGTTAGTTGATTAAAATTTTTTGAATAACTGTCCAATGCAGTTATTTGATATTACTGATATTGCTGTTGAAACTCCTAGGCAGGTTTCATATACATGACTTTTCAAATCATTGAAGTTAGTAAATTTGAAAATTTTTCTATGTTTCTTAAAACATGCATTTTATAGTAGTGACGTAGAATTTATAGAATGCTTTGGAACACAACTGTTTTAGAACAAAAGGAACAAAAATGATTGTTTAAGACACTTGGTCAAATATTGGGGGGACAATCCTATTGTTTTAGTAAGATGACGTCACATTTCCCATTGTTTTCGAACAAAAGACCATTGTCCTCTGAAGTATTGGGGGGCCGTCGCCCCCCGAAGTGTCCGCCACTGCCTTCGAGGGATTGCACAAGCCCCTCAAAAACAATTGCATCACTGTTTATAAACCTTGCGTTTCCAGTACGATTTATTCTAATACTAGTGGCTATTGTTTCAGAAAGTAATTAAGGTACAGAAACTTTTGGTTTTAGTGACAAGAGATTGAATATTTTGAAACGGTGTTCTTTTATATATCAAGTTACATAAGAACCACAGGCTCAGTTGAGAATTCCCCCCCCCCCCATATTTTTAGGCTATATTTTTGTGCGTGAAATCGTGAAATCTCGATTTTTTATGCGTGATTTCGTGAATTAAGATTCCTACGTGCAGCGCGAAACATGAGTTTTCCTTGCATTATGTCGTGAAAAGGCTTTCCGTGAATAGGATATCCGTGAATTCGTGAATGAAATTTTGAATGACAATTTAAAAAGTTGCCTCATTTTGGTGCGTAATAAAATTTGCAGTTGTCAACGGACGAGAAACAATCATGTTAGTTAGTTTCATTGATGGAAGAAGATGGGCCTACTTTGTCACTAAACATCCACGCCCCTTCAGTGAATTGCTTAGGCTAACATCTGCCCAGATTACCAGTGTGTTTTGCATGAAAAGTGATTCGGTTTTTGATATAATTGAAAGTCAAGACCGTTATCTGACTTGTTTACCAGCTACCAGTCGCTGCTTCATATTAGCTGAATAGAGGAAGAATGCAAAGGCACGCTTCAATCGAATAGCACTGTTTGTTTATGTACATTGTGTCATTGTTATTGAGAATGGTCCCTCTATTGTCAGTTTTGCTAGTGACTGTGGTCATAGATGTTCATTCGCCACCTGTCTTTCGTTTGAAGCCCATACAATGCAAGACACATGGGTTGTAAACATTTTCCTACTTGCACTGCCCTCTTTGACGTCATTATTATGCAAATGACATTACGTTTAAATATGTTGATGTTTTCAAAAAATCCTACCCGCCCAGGTTCAGTGATATCCGTCAAGGGCTATCAAAAAGCTAATTTACAAAAGGTAATTTTTAGGCTATTGTGAAGGATTACAAATAACATAATACAACACAACATAACATAACATAAAACTAAACATATAACATATATCATATAAAATATAACATATAACGTACATATAACATATAACATACAGCATAACATAACGTAACATAACACCGTATATAATAAGAAACAAAGCATTGATCATGAGCTTTCAGCGTTTGATACAAGTCAAGTTCCCAAATTCTGAATTTCCAATAAAGGTGTTTGTATAAGTGAAATGTTTCGTTCCAGTTTAGTTTTCGCTCTTGAGCCTTGCCACATGTAGTGGTCGGATGGGAATGGTGTAAATAGTTTCCGTATGTAGTAACAGATGGTTTACATGTGACAACCTGTAAATAGTCAAGTAAGCAAGTTCTTTTACTTAAAGTAACCAAAGGATCTTATTTCAATTCCTAGTTCGGTACTATTTGATGACTTGAAAGTTTTCACATTTTAATGGTTCTCCAGTTCCTTAATAAAAACTGCTTAGCAGATAATAATGAAAAGCTGGGATCATCACAATCCGCCCAGAAACCACTCTCCTTGCAGTTTAAATGAATGTTTAAATGATACCTAAATAGATATGTTTATATGACTACATTTCTGTATTTTAGCTATCAGGGGTTGTGAAGCGTTTGATTTGCATGGGTGTAAATGCTTTTGAAAAATGCTTTTTAAATTGATGATTTAACTGGAAATAGATGGTCTCAACCCGTTTTTGTGTTATGTATTTCCGTCACTCTATTTCTGATTGTCTGAACTGCCAACCCTTTCTCTCGTGGATCCAGATTACTAGCCGAAACCATGCTGTAGATATACCGTTGCCAGTAGACGAAGGCTTTTGTCATTAAAGTTTCATTCTTTGGAATAAAGCCTCTACCTAGATTTATTTTTTTGCCAAATGGATCAGATGGAGGTTGATTGCACGAATCTGCATAATAGAAGTCTGCGGGAATGTCGCAAAATGAGAAATAACCCTGTTAAAAATTTATCTTGTTTGATGACAAAGGGATTTAACAAGAGAAATGCGATGGGCAATCTGGTATCTATATTTGATATCCGTAGAATGAGTTCTGGGTTTCCGTTGCACTTACTCTTTGTTAAGTACTCGAGCTTTTTGTGTATAGACGTCCAAAGTACAGCAAATTGTATCGTCAGACTTTTGTAATGTGAACACGATTAGTATTATTTCTCAACACAGTTGATCTTCATACCACAAACCTATCAAATGTGTGAGGTAATTAAACATTTCTTGTGGGAGGGGCATTGATTTCTCAGTGTATTGCATAGAACGATTTTCTTCGTTCCGGTTTTTAAAAGAAGTTTTATTTTGAGTCGAATATTGTATGCTGTCACAGGCGGACCTCTCCTTACTTATGCTTACGACCTTTATCGTGACCATTCTCAAAATTCCCATTAAACACTATAAAACTACAAGAGCTTTGACCAGTAGAACTACTTTTTCTTCTGTTGAGCTTCACGTTTTAATCTCCCCCTGTTGTAGCCTTAGTAGTGATTTTCCTAAAGCACGTACAGGGGCGGCATCAAGAAATTCAAAGTGAGGGGGCTAAAAGGATTTATCGCACTATTCTTTTCTTCTATCTCTATTTTTCTCTATTCTTTTTATTCTCTTAAAAACACTATTTTGTAAAAAAGAGTAGGGGGGGGGGGGCTGAAACCCCCCATCTGGCGCCGCCCATGACATAGTAAGATTGCCCTTTTAGAGAGTAGCTCTATTTTACCCTACGGCTTGACGTTGTTTCAGAGAACATTCTGCATGTCCCATTAGGACTTGAACGTGATCTCACGATGAAAATAAGTAAGTATTTTTCGGTTTTTTTCTTATAGTCTCGGCAATCGACTGGAGGTGCGCTGGATCTTTCATGCGAGAACTTCCGCTACGTGAGAGACTTCAAACAAGGCGGTCATATTCCGTTGAATAACACGCACTCGTTTGTGGTACCCGGGAAACTCACTGCCATAAAGGCATATCCACATGCAAGAGGGCTGGCGGTATTTCTTGGGACTTCGAAAGGAATGCTGAATGAGGTTGGCATCTCGTTTTCCTTATATTTGCTTACGTTCTCCCTCTTTCTTTAGGTTGAAGTAGTTTGATTGTGTAGCCGTGTACACAAATTTAAGAAATGTACCGTGCATTAAAGACAACATCAATTACATTCAATTTAATTTGTTATAATGTTTGTGTTTTCTCTACTAGTAATACGTGTGCTTATTAGGCAACTGTTCATCCGTTGGGACCACAGATATCGCATTTTAAATATTTTTTTTTCAAATTGATAAAATGAGTTCAATTTAATGATGTCTGTTTTCCAGTACGCCGTCTTTACTGGCATGAAGACACATCTGTATGGATATGAGGTTGTGGTAAACAATGAACCGATAAGAAAAATGGACATAGATCCAGCTTACCAAGGCCTATACGCAATGACCCGTCGACAGGTAGGGCCAAGTTGATATATGCTGTCAACCTGACTACGCAAAATATTGCATTTGACCATCAGAAGTTGCCTATGGGAGGTGATCTTATTTTCGAAAATATTTGCAAATTGCCTACTCTTACTCTTTTGCAAATTGCTTTTGTCGTGTTAAGGCTGCCTTGCGATGCTGGAGAGCTCTCACTGCGTTTGCAGATAATCATCCCGTTTAAAGATCTGTAGCATTATCTAGAGGAAATAACTGTTGTATGTTGTTCTTTTAAATTGCAGCCATTTTTCTACTTATGAGTGCTTTTGTTAATGTAATGTGTAATTATTTTTGTTATCTGGGCGTTTGTTTCTTTGACCCACTTGTTGTTGTTGTTGTTGTTGTTGTTGTCGTTGTTGCTGTTGCTTGCTACTATAAATTTGCTTCCGTAACGGAAGATTTTGTATTCCTTGATGAATGCCACTGGCAAAGGAATGGCTGCGATGCCGCAAAAGCATCATTTGCTTAACCAACCCCCTTTCCTTCCAGGCAAGGAAAGAGTTTAATTAGTTGCTGAATCTACTAATGTTGATTCTAAAGTGCCGTGATTACGTTATCATTCCAGGTTTCCAAGTATAGTATCCAGAATTGTGGAAAGCGCTTGTCATGTGTCGACTGTCTAGCAGGGCCTGGTTGTGGCTGGTGTACGTTAGAGAAAAAGCAAGTATCATAGTTTTCATTAAACACACAGCATTAACCCAAGTGAACCCAGCTATTTGACTGATTTGCCAGAAAAAAACATTGAAAAACTGCTAATATTGCTATCTGTGTATTGAAGTGTCTTTATAAATAGACCCATTGAAACGGCAAAGCAACATGGTATAGTTGGTCCTTTGATAACGGATCGCAAGAAAAACGTAAAGAGGTTCCGTACTGAAATGTACAAAAGTTTGCGCTATGAACGAGTTAGACGACTCAGTTTACATATCTTGTTCAAATAAATATAAACATTAATGTAAACAGTAAAACATTTTCAGTGCGACTCCTGAATTGCAGGTACTATGACTGAACAAGAGCAGTAGATAAATCATCAATTATTTTTTTATTATAAATGAGTTGAAGTTGCATTGAGGAGAATTCTGCTCATTTTTCTGTGAAACATACTCCTTTAATTTGGCACAAACGACTTTGTGTCTTCGGCAATTACGAAATGGCTTTCACCAGTAAGTAGCTGCTTTTTGGCAACGATGTTACTGCTACTTTAGTGAAATGCAGTTCATCGTAGCATCCATTACCAAGATTATTCATAGCATAAAGGCAATATATTTTGAGGTCAAAGCAGGCTAGAGATTTGTAACATGTTAAAAGAATTTATAAGTTTCACAATTGGACAATAACCTATTTATTCCTTTTTTCTTCCCCTGCCTTGGTCGTTATATCTTTTATTTTTCTGCTCATAGTGTGTTTCATTTATTCAAAATTCCATTCCATGAGCTATCTCTTCTGTAACAGCGCATTTTTCTCCTTCCAGATGCAGTATAAAGAGCGAATGCATCTACTCTCAAAGACCTTTGTACTTTGTTGATGACAGCGTAGACAGCTGCCCTTCAGTTCTTTCCTTCAAACACGACCCAGCTGCAATTTCAGTTCGAGAACAAGCTAAGGTATTCTATTGGCCATCAAGCATTGCATTTTCAGTTAATTTGTCTTATCCGTAGTAACTTTTCAATGATTATTACTCTCAGTAACAAGTATTAAACAATTTGATACTAAAGGCGTATCAATTAACCTTTTAGATTATTATCCTTTACTGAAAATATCAAGTCGCTGAACGAAATTGTTAAAAATAGTATGAAGGCATATTTTTGGGATGGATTCCAGCGAAAAAACTAGAGTCTGCTTTGAATCGTTAAGAGTTGCCAAAAATCCAGTATGTCAAGGGGCAATTCACTTAAGTGTACGAGATTTCAATCAAAACCAAAGGATTTATACGAATTTTCTGATAAAGCAATAGGATATCCACCAATGGTGTACGAAATTACCGCAGAGTGATGCGCCCCTCAGTTTCCACATAATGCTTGAAAAGAAAGTAGCATTTCCCCGTTTGTATTGTGATTTTGAAGATTTCTTTTTGTGGTATTGCAAAAACTGTATTAAGGTATTTAAGTTGTGTTACTGAAAGGTTCATGGTTATCTTTGCGAGAAAAACACAATGCATAAACAGATAATCGATCAAAATACTAGAAGCAACAAAATTTGACGAAAACATTGGTATAGTCAGAATTGTTTTATTCAGGCTTAGTATGGTGTAAAACCAATTGTATATCAGATAACTTGTCTGGAAGCCGTGAGAACCTTTCCTGTTTTGAAGTTCAAACTGTGAAGATGCATTCTCAAGATTTTACTGAGGATAACAAAATATTGGGAATCTTTGTTTAAAAATTTTTCAATTGGACAAGTGTATTGGGATTGGACTTTAGGGTTATACCCGTTGCTTTACAAAAATTCCAGCCATCTTGAGCCCCTCCTTCCTTCCTTTCAAAGACTTTCTTTGGTCTAATGAGAGTGTGAAGGTATTAATTGAAAATTTGGCAAGTATTTGAACCTCTCGCAGTCCAAGCGGCCTTTTTTAATCATCAATCAACTAACTTAAACTAATTTTTTTAACTTGCCTGTTTTGGACACCTGCATTGACCTTTTTACGTCTTAACCGCTCTTCCGCCCTCAGCAAAAGTAGCTCTAAGATTGTGAAAATGCACCATTGACGGTCAGATAAGAAAACCTCAAAACTCTATTTACGCCACAGATCTCATTAGCTGATTGGCAATCGAATCACTCTGACCGGAAAACCAAACTTTTTGTAGAAAAGATGGTGTCTACTGTATTTTCTATAGCCAAATCCCAGACGCCAGATTTTTTTATCATAGAAGTAAAATGCACTGTCTAGAAGGCCACCAAATCGGCACTGCCAGCGAAGGTTTGGAGAAAACCTAAGATCCTCAGTTGAAGGTCTTTGAGAAAAATTGTTTTAGAAGTTATGTTGAATAAGGCTCCACAAGGAGTTCTTAAGTAGTTTTTGTTGGCAACCCTCGTCAGTGGTTTTCTTATACTTGTGTTTGCTGTGTTTTAATCTAAGGGTTGGGGTCAGTACTTCGTCTTTGAATAACCAGTCTCCACACAATGAGCAAATGCTGCACCAATACCCTGCTTTTCCCGCTGAAGCCTTTGATCAGTTTATCATCAAGCTCGAAGTTTCATGCACTTTGTCACATTTGGTTTTCAGTACTGAACTTGTTACAAAAACTTCCACATAAGTATCTATCTCCCTAGCTGCATTGCTTAGAATCAGATTGAGTGTTTGGCTGTTATCACACCCCTCAAGATTGTTTTTAAATTTTGTACACCGTAAGTGTGGGAGTAAGGAAGGTGGTTTTGAAAACCTAATTGTTGCCAAGAGCTTTTTGTTTTCTTGGAAACATCCTTAAGATGAAAGTGTTTTGCGGTGCGGTCTTTCAAAATTCAGTACATAATATAAAAACAAATAGCAGGTGACTGAAATCATTTCAGGTACTTATTTTGGTAAGACCCGTGATAAAAACAAGCTTGAAGTACAAGCTCTTAATCTTAGAGCTTTCCTGTTTTGACAGTGACTAAATCTGTATTCATTATTATCATCATCGTTGATCGTATCTGTCATTGTCATCTCAAATCATCACTGGCGTCGCCATCCAACTGCTTTTTTTGGCGGCGCCGATAACAAATTTTAGGCCACGCCTCTTTTGACCGCCAGAAAACGCCCTTTTACCTAAATCGATCGCCAATTTCACCAATACGAAACGTCCATTTTTAACTTTTGGCTAAGCAAAGGTAGTCACAATATCATAGAATCACATCACAAAGAATACTTCTCCTATTGTTCTATTACTTTCAAATATTACTCTTCTCCTATTACTGTCTCATCGAATTTAGGCGAAATCCTGCCTAGAATCAGCGAAGGAGGGAGGGAGGGTTAGGGGGAGTAAAGATTTTGCAAAAATAGAAAAGTTTCTTTTAAACTATGCACTGTTTATCTGTCCCCGTTGATAGTGTTTTTACATACAATCCCTTATTGCAGGTGTATTGGAAGATCAAGAACATGCCTGTCTTGCAGGATGGGCGAACCTACAAGTGCTCTTTTGGTTCAGCCAATGTCACTACTGTTGTTTCTGGAGACGAATATTCTTGCACCACTCCAAAATTTGGCGAAATCCCGGAAATAGTTGATGCGAGAAGTATGTTTCATTTTCTATTTGGTCTCTTTTGGCTTTCCAGTTTTTATATTTAGTTCAAGATGAGTTTTGACATTCTTGTAGAGTAATACTGGTACTATCGATATCCCATTCTCTGTTTTAAATATCCACCATTCCAACCGAATGCTGACATTACTTAATTTATGCGTTCAAATCTTTTCATCGTAACAAAGAAAGCAAGATATTCATTTGCTTGGTGATAGATTAGTGTTTTGTGGCCCCTTTAAATAAATCCAAGCAAAATCACCTAGCTTTTGTAATTAGAATAAATCAGTATAAGAAACGCAAACCTGATCTCGGACCACACTGACATGAAAATAAGGAGTTATTTTTGAGTTGGCTTAATTTTTATGCTTCCAACAGCATCCACACTATTTTCGCCGCCTTATTCCTTTGTCTTTCTTTATTCTTTATTCATCAGTGGATAAACTAATCTTTTCATCGGTGGAGTTTCAGGTACTGCAAAAAGTCAAAGATATAATGTGTTGGGGGGGGGGGGGGGGGGGGTTTCTTCTTTTATGAAAGTATTTTTGTTGATTTGTAGCGGCCTCTATATAGACGTGGTCACGTGTGGATTACATTACAGCCTCTATTGGGTTTTGGTCAATAGTGTCTCGTTCAGTTCGGTCTCTTTTGAATAGCTTGCAGAATGTTATCTCAACGACTGAATTCTAGATAAATCTAGAGAAGTTGGGCTTATTGAAAAATCTCTGCGTGCTGACACTGTTCATTACAGTAAACAAAACCTGTTTAATGTGTACTCCACCCATTTTTTTTAAAGGAAACGATAGTCAAAGTTGACTACTCTAGTTTCTTAACACTTTGGGAAATTTCAATACCCATTGTTTTTTAAGAATTTCTTAATTATGGCGTCATTGATTTGAATATTCGGGGTCCTATGACAGAAACTTTTTGAAGGGAGTTTTCGCAGTGCAAGCAGTCGCCATTTCTTTCTCGTGACACCTCTGTTTTGCTTCATGCCTAGATTGTGGAAACATATTCTTACTCTTTATGTCAATTAAGTTTTATGCCAATAAGTGCTTGTTTATGCCAATCAGTGAGTGATTAGAACCGAGGTTATCCTTAATACGACAAACATATTTTTTGCCAATTTATAGCAATGAAATAATTCATTTGAATTAAAAAAATTGTGTACCCTGTTGGCAAATGAACGTTAAAGAGCTTGAAGGATAAAGAGCCGCTAAAAGATTTTTCAATAAAAAATTCATTGCTCGGCTGTTTGTCACCTTTGGACTAGTTTGAAAGACTGTCTTCGTTTATTTAGAGAAATTTTGCATCTCAAGCAAAATGACGTCATAACAACATTAAGTGAAAATCAAGTTAGAGTGAATCTTGAAATAAGAAGATAGCCTACCGAAGTGAAAGATTGTTATTTTATTTGTTGCAGAGTTTCATTTGCTCAACGGAAGTATTAATGTATTTTGGTGATGATAATAACAAGTTCTGTACAGTTTGTCAGCATAATCTTTATTTTGACAGTGTGACCCTACGTCTTTCTTTTTTAGTCAGCAAAAACGACGTCATGCTTTAACTATCTGCTCTTTGTTTTAGGTACCGCGGTGAAAGTAATTTTGCGGTCGCCTGAGAAAGATATTGCTTTGTTTCATAACAGTGTAACTTTCTTCAATTGTGAGCAGATCAAAAGGTTTGTTTCTAAAGATAAAAAAAAGATGTGTGTTTCTACATTTGTGTCCAGAGATATTGTCAATCTTCAACTGGTTTCTACCGTAGTCAAAAAACAACTTTTTCCATTCATTTGTATCGATACGGATATTCCTTAAAAATTCAAGATTCCCAGAAACCTAATACGTGTCGAGTTATCAATTATATAAAACAAATCAAAAGCTCTGAAATGCAGAAAACGTTTATTAATAATAACTAGTTTTAGCAGCAATAATTTTTACTGAATTTTCATATGTAACACTTGGCACGTTAACAACATATAGCCTTCCTCTTTCCCTAACTGCGAGCTGCAGTGTACTTATTGCATAAAATAGAGCACAACACTACTGCACCTTTAAAGTTCTTATTGCAATGTAAGCTATGCTTTTGATATTTTGGCTTGAAATCAAAAGGTTTTTGTGGACGCGTTTTTTGACTAGGCCTTTAGACTTGTAGTGACTCATTACCCCAATGTGTGTTTTGGTGTTTTGTCTGATATTCATATATTCAGTAAGTAATTACTTCCAGAGAATCGTATAATATTTCAAGGTGTTAGAAAGAGTCCTTTGCCCAAATTCCTTCAGCACAAATATTTTTTGCTCCATTATTATTTAAATTACGACTAATTTGTGCAGTTGAGTTACAATATGATTTACCACAGTGTTATAACCATGTTACGATAAACTTTTGGCGAACTCGTATTTCCTTTATAGATCTGAATGTTAATCGATCGATTTCTAGAATTGTCATTATCATGCATACTCTCTTCTCTAATACAAATTTACTTTTTTCTCTAATTCGAGTTTCACTTGGTTTACAGCTGTTTGGAATGCACTAGATTCAAGTACACTTGCAACTGGTGCTCAAGTTCATTGACCTGCTTAGACCGCCTTTCTTCTTGCGGAAATTACATTGCTCATGCTGGGGTACACTAATACATTGTTATCCCTTTTTTATTTTTATGATTAAGCCTTATTTAACATGTAATGTGCTTAATTTGGATTTATAAAGTTTTTGGCAATGTATTTATAAAAACATTGCTCTTATATTTCAAATTCCCATACTGCATCAAACATCCGCACCCTGTAAAACCTTTCTCCGTGTTTAGAAATTACAGGCTTTTATAAAATAATGTCTTTTTTAGACCCAGTTTATCTTATTTGATTCCACCAAAATTAGATTACGAAGGGAAATCTGCAGTATGGATTTCTTTGTCTACACTCATTTTTTTTTATAAGAAACTGGCTATAAGAAACGAGTACTCGACAGTCAGAAAAAATTTAGAAAAATCCAGTACTCGAAGCAAAAAAATTAAGAAACTGTTAAATCGTGATAAAACTGAGAACAACGAAATTTTCTAAAATCCAAGAACATGATTGAGCTAAAATTTGAGACACAAGGGATAGAAATATACTTCCCACATCGAAATACACCATCAAAACAGAAGCGAATCTCTTGACGTGATAAAAAGGTCACGAACATTTCATAACATCATTCGTGACATCATAATTAAGAAACTCTTAAGAAATAATGAGTATTGAAATTTCCAGAACATTAAGAAACTGGAGTACTCAATATAGACCTTTGTTTCTTATAAAAAATGAGTGTATGCATTCGATGCCTAGCTTACTTTTCAGCCTTAAATTTATCATTCCCCCCCTTACTTAACCTGGTCTTATCCTCGTTTTGGGCTAAGAATGTTCAATCAAAAACCCTGCATGACGTTGTTACAGCAAAACTCTGCCCATTCATTTTCTAAAGTGAATAAAGAAGGGTAGATTGTTTCCTGGAGTTCGGTTTTTTCGTCGTGATATTGCTAATCAATTGTCACCTTTTAAATCTTTTATTTTTATTCTTATTTTGAAATGCTTTGTTATTGTATATAATTTTTGTCTTCTGTCTGTTTCAGCCTGAGCAGGCTATTGCCTTTAGCCAGTGTCCATTGATTACTGGCATGAAAACCAGTTTTGTATCTGATAGCGTTGATAGAGAGATCCGAATCGAAGGGAAAAATTTACCAGCACCAACGGTAAGGAAATCGAAGAGTGTCATTCTCTCACCATTGGTAGCTATTGTTTTCTATTTTCAAAGTGTGTCTCTGAGTAAGATGTCAGACTGGGAACATTTTGGGCTTCATAGGACGGTACTAAAAGAACAATATACTGAATCAGGGCCGCCGAGAGGTTTTGGAGATCCAGAGGCAAAACCGAATGTGAAGGTCACCTGCAAGCGGAGCGAGCATAAAATCTTTGCGACCACGCCCTTAAGATATTTTAGAAAGATTCCTTTCCATGCAATCTTTTAGAGCGTTTTTCTATTTTTAGGTATAATTTTGCCATCTTTTATCAATTCCTTTTTAAAACGGAAGTCATTACTTTATGAGGCTTCCTATACCTCGAAGCCCTGGGGCAATTTGCCCCCTTCCCCACTCTCGGCGGCCTCACACTGAATTAATGAATTAGTTGAACTTGAAGAACAATAACCGATGGTTTGCATACAATAAACCCAATCAGAGTACTGACGTTAGTGAATTACTATACTAGATAGTCATCTATCCCTGCATTTCGACTGGGATTTTCAGTAGCTACAATATTTCAATTTCTAAAGTTTGTCTGTTATCGTTTACAGGGGTTATTCAATTACGAATGTCTGGTAAGGATAGAAGACCAGGAACTTAAGACCATAGGACGACTAGAGAGTAAGACCTCTCTTGTTTGCACCAAGAGAATAGTAAGTGCACTTTTTCTGCTTGTTAATCGTTTTCATATTTGTTAACCATTATGTTCCGTGATCAGTAATGAGCATCTCTGCTGTCAAGGGCTGTTTAAATGGTTTTGTCTTTTGCGAGCTATCAGAAACAAAGATGACGTAAATATGAAACATCTTTGTTACTCGCACAGCTGAGATAAAGATTGCTAAAGCCTGGTTTCCACTGGGCGATTATCGCGATAAAGGCGACAAATTCAAATATCGTGACAATCGTCCAGTGGAAACATGATTCAATCGTGATTATCGCGCCATGATTATCACGATAAGGGCGACAAACGCGAAAGTCTCGATTAAATTTATCTTCGTGAAGACAGTTTCCACTGCACGAATAAAGCGATTAGCACGAAAACAATTTGTTTGTACAATGGCACCCCTTGCAAGAAAGCAGCTCATTGCAGTGATTAGAGCAGTTTTCCTTTTAACATCGAGAAAAAGGTCTGCATATTTCCTGGCACTTTTCTCCAGGCATTAGAAACAACATTTTTCTAGCAACAACACTTTTCTCTCTTTTTTCTTTTGTTGTGAAGACATGGGTATGGTCTAACTGCTTCTGCTAGCTGTTCTTCTCGTTGGATACAATCGGGATCCATTTTGTCAAGCTACGCTACTTAGTTTATAGGTTTTGATAAAAAGAGTATTTCAAATAAATTACTGCAAAAAATGATTCACCTCTTGAAACTTCCCGGCCATGCCAAGAACGACTCTTTCCTTGACGCGAACTTTGTCATGGGAACCCAGATTTGCCTTTCGAAATCGAATCTAGTGACGTCAATTTTGACGATAAGCACGATTAACGCGACAGAATATCAAAATATTTTGATAATCTGTCGCTATAATCGCGGCGCGATAAGCACAATTGATTTACAAGATTTCATGTTTCCTGTTTCCACTGGCTGATTATCACGATAATCACGATACAAACGAAAAGTCAGTTGAATTTGTCGTTTTTATCGCGGTAATCGCCCAGTGGAAACCCAGCTTAAAAGAAGAGGCAGTTTGAATCGGGGGGATTATTTCGACTGTTCTAAGTCTTGAAATTTTTTTAGGCTTGCGATTATTAGCATATTAGGCCTTTTATTTGACAAATATAGAGTCTTTTCAGTATATAATTTGCAGTTTTTGTCTTCTCCAGTATAAATACGTCAGAAACACGGCAAACTACACAACAGTAGTGTTGATTCGATTTGGCGGTAAAGACTTAGATGTTATTAAAGACACAAGAGGTAACAACAGACCATCTATATCAAAATAACATTTTGTATCTTAGTCATTTTGCCGAGATTGTCTGATCTGCTGCGATTTGTAATTTACAAAGTGATTGCTGACCCTCGTTGTCTGATTTGTAGACTTACTGTGATGCAGCACAGTCGGTTATCCCACACCTATAAACAAGGCTATTGAGAGGTACACTATGGGACATCTATCAAATTTTTGCAGCCCTATAAGTTTTCCATTATATGTTCCAATAACAGTTTTTGCAGTCAAAAGGGATTTCTTTGCGCTTAATCCATTTCAACTTGTAACTTTTCCAATATGCCTTCGTCTCTTTGCAGTCATTCCTCAAATCGGTTCCAAAAAGGCCCATAAGCATAAATTAATAAGCAGCATAACCTTTTCTCGGTTTTCCAACAGTGACGTTTTACAAATGTGAGGTTGAGAGGCACAGCTGTGGTATCTGCTTGAATGCACCAAAAGCGTGGCAGTGTGGCTGGTGTAACCAGAAAACGTGCACTGTCGCGGATGCTTGCAGTGCAACAAAGGACTGGGCCAATGCTACCTGTCCTCGACCCCCAGAGATCAAGCAGGTGAGACTCAATCGCTATGCACTTTGTTTACCGGCACGTAATAGATGACTATATGACATGTCTCGAATATGATTATGTCCCTAAAATGAGTACCCTCTCTTGTTTGTTTTTTGTCATCAGTTTTCTGTGTATAGTGACACTCCCTGTGAAGAACATAACTTCTCTTTTCGTGATCTCTTTTCCACGCATTTCTTTTTTCATACCCTTACAATTTCAACTTCGATTAGCGGAAGTAAACCTTCATTTGCTTGTTTCTTTGCAATGGCGAAGACCGGCTTTAAAAGCCCATTTTCTAGTTAAAAGCATAAGAAGATTTTTTTTCAGTGAATAGCTCTGAAGAATTTATTTTAACCCTTTTATATAAGGCTGTCTGTTGGATCAACTCTTCTGTATTCGTTATGTGTGATATTATTATAAGGAACATGTTACCATCTTATCGAATCCTTTTTTTAATAAATTTTGTCGGCCAATCCTACCTTGTCTATACGACAAATACTCCTTCCTACAAAACAGGATTCCAAATATCTAAGTTTATGGTTTAAGATTGTGTCTTGGACGCATTCCTACCATGTCCCATATCAATATAACCTTGTTCAATAATCGGGTTTCAGTATCACTCTATTTCCTGTACAAAACCGTAGTATGTGTTCCCCCAATAAGATTAATGCCACTTTTTACTTGATATTTTAATTTGTTTATTCTTTAATTAACTCTCTGATGAAATATATGATATGGTTTAATGTCTGGTGGGTATTAAACTCAGTTAAGTGTTGCGGGACTGTAAAGTTATTCATAAGCAAAAAACCGCAATGAAATTATGAGTGAATAAATTTTTCTTGATGATGTTTAAAGGTTTGACTTTGAAAAGGAGGTAAAGATGAAATCCTGTTAATAGTATATCATTTCGAGTCACGAACTAAAAGTAAGCCAATACTATTCAGTAGGATTATAGCAAAGCGTTATGGAATTAGTTATTTTGATTCTGTTATGTTACTGATCCCAAACGACACAGAATTGGGGAATTCGAACCCTTTTTCTTCGTTACCTTCTTAGGAAAATGAATGAAATACTCGACTGTATACGGCACTCGAATCGAATTTTTATTGTGCTTCCCTCGAGCAACATAGCTCTTACCTATTCCGCCTTCGATTACCATTCCACCAATCTGGATCATTTACAATATCGTTTTTCTACTAAGAATCATTTACATAAATCTGTTTTTCTAGTGGCGTAAAACTTGCACAGTGTATAAAACACGTGATCAAATCCATTCAGCTCAACATCATTAAGATCCATCATATGCCCTGCCTCATCCGAAGCCACAGATATTGATTTGCTTTCCACCCCCACCTCATTTCAATCTAGAATTATGCGCATTTTGAGTACCGAAGAATTTGCACCGAGTGTATTTGCTTTTGATTATGCGTTCTTATTGATACTCTCCGGAACGGAGTCATTTGATACCGAACTAGGGGCTTTCGAAGGCGATGTTACAAGTAGAGTCATTCGTTAAACGTAGTCATTTGAAATGAATCGTTTTAATGGAAACAGTGAAAACAGGTTCATTCGAAAACGAAGTCATTCGAATACGGTTTTATTCACTCACAATTTCAGAACGAGTCTGAACAAGGGATATGAATACGGACGTTTAAGGACGGATTAGGCTGGGTTAACTGAAACGCTTCAAGAAAATACGAAAACGAAATGCTCTAAAAACGAGACAGACGAAAGGGAGTAATAGGAAAAGGGTCTGATGGAAATGATAATTAGGCGCAATAGTATTGTGGCAACTTATGATATACAGCAAGTTTTTTAACACAACTTTTTTTAATTTTGTTTTAGTTCTCGCCACTATCAGGAGCGATATCCGGGAATACCGAAGTGAAAATCGAGGGGAGAGATCTGGGTACAATTAAAGCAGACATCGTCAATGTTACCATTGCTGGCCGAAGATGCCAGCTACTTCCAGATTTGTATGTAGTATCGAAAACGTGGGTATCTTCAAATATATCTATGTACATCCTGATTCTGCAAATCTCTTCAAAACTCTACGATTAGATAAAGACAAAATATTTTTCGAGTGTTTTTGTAGCTATTTATTCGTTAAAAATGAAAAATTGAAGTGTCGGAAAGATTTGTTTAGATAAACCTATCGGGAGGAATTTATTGAAATCGTTGCATTCCTGTTAATAAGTTATAGCACTCCGTCTCAACCAATGAATGGCTTAACAAAACTACTATTACAATTTAAGTAAAAAATCTTTCACATTTAACTTTTATTCCATAATAGTCTCGCTTACTTTTTGATTTACTCTTTCTATTCACTCAAACATTTTAATCCTTATTTTCGTATGCATTGCAAAAAATGTTGGCAAGCTGTCGAAATTTTTTGCCTAATTTCGCCAAGTAATCGCTACCAAAATATGCAGCAGTACTGTAGGAGTGTTGTTGCTCTCAGCGGTAGGCTGGTTTTCAAAGCGTTACATTTTGCTGATGGATATAGACACACGTATAATCATTTCAAATTTAAACAGGTTGATATTTCCTCTTCGCCCCCATGTTTTGATTACAATAGCAATGTTTATTTACAAAATGTGATATCTTAGGTGCAATTCTTCTTTGAAACATATTTTTCATCCTATCTTGTACAGGGTTTATTGTAAAACGGAGAAAATCCCAGCCCCAAGAAATGGCACTGTTCAGATGTTTGTTAAATTTGGACAAAGGATCATTCCAGTAAGCTCGAAGACACAATTTATGTATAAGGTAAATTAAGATTTTCAAAATTTTATTCTTCTGTGAGATTTTTGGCTTTCGACAAGAAGCGTTGAAAGTTATCTTTTTTGTTAATAAACTGGTTCCAAACCTGGTTTTCATCATGTCAGCTTTTCATCATGCAGTAGACTAATAGTCATTTATTCATTTTTAAATCTCCTTGGCTTTTTTGTTGTCCCTCGAAAGATAAACCAAGCAGAAACATATAGCACTGTTCATTAGTTTTATAACCCCCGCATCACCACTTTGCATCTGGCCTTGATTGACACGACACTTTACTTTTTACGATTAACGTAGCATACCTGACTAACGTAGCTTTTTGCAACAAGGTACGTTTGATTTGCTCAAAGGACCACCTTAGTGTTTTAGTCTTTCCAACGACTGTTTATGAATTTTCTGTTGGCAAACCAATTCAATTTACTGCCTCATTTTGAAAAATAAGTCAATTTCTTTATACAAAATGCTTGAGCTCAGCGAAGAATCAACTGCCACACTTTTATTCCGGATTAATTTTTTCATATTGTTAATGGTTGTATTGTAGATTCTATAACGATATGAAGTCTGAAAATTCGTAAAGATTTGACCATAAGAATATTTCCGGATGAAACTTTTCGCCCCCAGTCGCTAACAACAGTCAAATTCTTTGTGATATATATATTAACTTTATTCATGACGTCATAAAATCAATGTCACAAGCAATAGCACTATGAAAACTTCCATGTAGACGAATATTCAGGTCCTTTATCGGAATCTGAGCTCCAATATTTAGTACAAAGGAGAGGAGTTGATAGTATTTTCAAAACGAGGCTGTATATTGAATTGGTATATTCAATTCATCCGAATGATGTTATTGATTGAGTTGATCAAAATGCCAAACTCTACGTTTCATTTTCTTCTACAGAAGCCAACGATCCTCCGATTTGAGCCAACCAAGGGCCCCTGTTCAGGCGGTACCAAATTCACGGTCTTTGGAAGTGACCTGCATGTTGGTGGAGCCGTCAATGTAACGGTGGCTGGCAACCTATGTAATGGCAACTTACGGTAAGGCTATTTCTATTTGTGTTTCTTATATATATATTCTTAAAATGGTAGCCAGTTGTTGATGTGTTTGGCTAGGCCTCGCTAACCAGAGATCTATAATGCTATCATTCTATACTCAGAGATATATTGTGAATTCCACCAATAGCTATTTTTTTATAGTTTACTGAACTGATGTATCAAATCTTTGATAGTATTACGTTAAAGTTTGATCTATGTATATGTAAGAATAGATAGTTCTCACCAGAAGCTAAGAACATTGTCTGAGAATGGTCCTCAATATTGCAAATTTTGATCCCACGCTCACTTTTGACTGGGACACAGAACGGCACCTGTTTGCTTTGTTAACTTAGATTGGCCCACATGAATTGATTTGTAACTGCTCAGCTCGAATTAATTCTTCGTTTTCAATAATACTGTCTTGTTATTCTTGTACATCGTCATCATAACCATTTCCGACTTTTAGCGTTCCTTTTGGCGTATTTGTCATTTAAACCAGCATGATTATTTTTTCATAGGAGATTTCCGAGCAAAATTGTTTGCACCATTTCAAGTCGCTGTTCAAAACGGCGTCGAAGGGCGATAGATAGCGTCAAAGTTTCATTCGACGGCCAAAATGTGCCGCTCAGTATCGATGCCGTGTTCAGTGTGCAGCCCGACCCCATTGTTAAAAGTGTAAACACGCACAAATTAAGGACTGATAATAATCAGGCCCTGGAAACATTTGTAAGGTAGGTGTCTTACGGTCCTTTCGAACTGTATTTATCTCGAGTAGCTAAGGCCTGAGTTGGAAGACGCCGGGCTGTGTTCTCTCCGGAGTGATTAACAGTAAGTGAAAACCAATCCGGCGTCGTGTAAATCAAGCCTAAGTACCATCTGGTCCAAACTAACAAAGGCACAAATTTCATCAGTGTTCATTGAATGTCTGCTCAGTAATCAAAGAAGCGGTGTGAATTCGATGTTTTCATTCGAGTTCAAACCAAATCTTCACACGACCGTCAATTCTGAAGCCAATCATTCATATAACACAGGCCCTTCTTGAGCTTAGAGTGCTTGGTGCCACCTTCTACCAAGCTATCATTCTTTCTCTCAATCTTTGCAAATAAAGTTATCGAATGAAACGACACAGAACCTAATTGCACCACACTGTACGTATAAAACATCGCATTGTTTCACTCATTCCACCTTTTCTTCTTATTGCTTCTTGCATGAAATTATAATCCACGTGTGCCCTTTTTAAATTTCGCATAACCCCATTGCCATCTCCATCTACCCTTCTTTGCCCCATTCCTTTTCCGTGCTTCTCTTGAATGCCCTTACGCAACAGTCATTTTGCACTCACAAAGGACAGTTGCTAGCGTTTAAAGCATTTTATATGGACTAATAGCTATCATAGTTATTACTCAGAAGTGGATGAACACTTTTAGTTTGTCTAAATGTTATATGGTACTTGATCACCATCAGATGAATAATAAATACACTGCGTTAATATTTCCTTTCAAATGATCTATTCTTCATTTTTCATTTTCAATATTTCTTACCTGTATGGTTTGCGATATCCTACCTTTTTCTTTTTATAATGTAGGAAATTCTATATTTTGTCGTAGTGGTGGGCAGGTTTTCATTGTGAAAGGAGAACGATTTGACCTTATTCAGCATCCAAGAATAAAGTTTTTGGTTTATCCACAGATGCTACCAGCATACGTGAGTACATAGCTACTGCCATTTAGCAACAACTTAGAATAATAAAAGAAAAGATACTTAATGTCTAGCAATTCTTTTGTGGAAATCTTATTGAAAATATATAGTAGTGTTTGATTGTGGTCCAAATGTAGATGCATTGGAAGTTGTAAAAATGAGGGATCTTTTTTATGGTCTGAAAGAAGAATGAACGGTCTTTTATTTTTTAATCAGGATTATTTTATGTAGGTAATAAATTATTATTCGGGGGAAGGTACATTCAAGCACCACCCTCCTTCCATTGCCCCACTTAAGACGACCCAGTTCAAATGGTACATTTTAAAGTCATCGTCGTAGTGAAACATAAATATCTCTTAGATGACCACAAGTAATGGCCTAGTGTATAACCTGACACGTCATCTCGTTAATCCAAGACAAATTTAATTCTGAACATAGCATTGAGGCCCCAGAAGGACATTTTCTGTCAACATGGCCTTGACAAAATTCATTTATGTCAAATAACAGCACTGCGACGTCGATAATAATATACTTATATTCTTTCAGGGGCCATGTAACATAACATTGCCAACTCGACTAGACTGCATTGCTCCGAATATTACTGGTATCACAGGAGAGATTAACAATGCATCGGTTATTGTTCAACTGGGCTTTGCTATGCAACGTGTCAAATCTGTGGAGTCCATAGAAAACATTACTGTTCGAGGTGATCCAGTTTTTGAAAAATTTGGTATCAAGGATCTTCGAAGAAGGAATTTGTTTTTGAAGGTACTGAAGCGTTCTGAATTAATAAGTATTGTTTTGATATTTTTGTGATGCATAGTCTCTTTTCCGGCTATTAAATATTAAATATCGAAGATTGTTATCAAATTATTTATTGTATTCGTATCTTTTTTTGGAAGTAGATTTATGCATGAAAAGAAGTGGACTTGAATGGTATCATTGAGGTATTCCCGTTGACGCTCCAAGCCTCTGCTTATTTTTACTACAAGCGAACTACTTTCAATAAATTTGCATATAAACGCCCAGACTCTAGATTCCTTTAACAATCTGATTATCGATTGTTGTTCCTCAACAAAGCATCTGCTCTGAAAAATATATTTTTTGTAGCTTTCAATTTAGACAAATTCTCTTATCATTGTTTTTCAGGAATTTTTCTGAAATATCTCATTTTAGAAATTACATTTTTTAAGCTTGAATTTCCTCCAAAATAGGGGTGGAATCTGGATTTGCTTGGAAACGAGGACGTTAATGTGACAGTTGCAGGATTGCCTTGCGTGGTGCAAAATATTAGAGAGGTTTGTGTTGAGATATATGCAGGCTCAATCTGCAAATGCTTAAAAAAAACCTGAACCGCCACCTAATTTGCTTTTGAATCGCTACATCGGGACTGTTTGTCTCACTTAGCTAACTAAAATGACAATTTTGTCTCCACAATAACTAGCAGGTACCTTAAAACTTTGGACGAGTACAGTTTAGAAGATCATGCACATAGAAACGTATTATTTCAAAACCCAATCAGCTGAGTTTTTGGTACGGGTTTGCTTCACCAATGATAGTAGTTTTATTGTCATGAATTTGGTTGATTAGGAAGCTTGATTTAAAGATGCATTTGTTTCTTTTTGTAGACTCTATTTTGTATATCGCCGGAAGAGGAAAAACTCGAGAAGATAAAGCAAAGTCAAAAGGCTCTTGTTAAGGTTGGTAAAATGACCATTCACAAATGCTTCTGGGCAGAACACTTTTAATAGGCTTAGGTTTCTGCATGAGCACAAATCGTACTGAGAGCTTATAACACTGCACTTGTTGACGTTTTAAGTTCATCATTTTTTACGTTAAGGAGGAGGATAACAGAGAAGAAATGACATTAGAAACCAACTGTTTTCATAGACAAAATAATTTATGTTTGACAAAAACAGAAGGAGGGATAGTAGGAAAAAGTTAGAGATAACAGTGCATGGTTTGAGGAACTGATTGTGAGAAAATTGAAGTATTGTGGTGTTTTGAGCGACGCTCGAGATGGTTGGCCTAAGTAACAGCGAAATAGCAACTTTGGGTTGTTGTTTGTCCAAATATGAAATGTTTAAAGTCGATATTGAGGTTTTACAATTTGTTATCATTGTGTATTATTTTTCTCCTTCTTAAAGCACACATACACCCAAGTACTTAAGTAGCGCATTGTGGAGTTTCCCAGATATTTCGTCTTTTTATGGTCAGTTTGCTATTTTGTCCCAGAGGCTGTAAAGTCAGTTTTTTATAAATATGCTATCCAATAAATGGTTACAATGACACATCCATAATTTTACTACTTGCAAACATATTGTACACTGCTACTCAAACGGACATAGAGAGTGAAGAGCAGTGTCTACACTGCAGCCATTACATTAATCTAAAACACCTGTAGTTGGTTTTGAAATCGACTCGCCTATAAAGAATGTGAATTTTCCTGGGAAATTTTGCGTCATCTTTAGTTTGTATCAGCCACTTTTTCAAAGGTGATGAAATATTTTAATAAATATTTAACTACACCACCTGTCACCTAACGATGACAAATTCTTTTTCGTGTAGGTCGTAATTGGGCAAGGAGGACTGGAACAGACTCTTGGTTTCATACGCTACGTGAAAAGCCCAGTAGAGGCAAAGCCATTCCCATGGCTTTATGTCTACATCACAGCACCAATTGCAGCTGGCTTGATTGTTGTCATAATTGTTCTCATTATATTGTATTTTCAACGAAAGAAGAAGGAGAAGAAGTATCAGAAGGTGTACAAAACGAGGCTGGAAAATCTTGAATCGAGATACGCGAGGGAATGTAAAGAAGGTATGGCCTAAATCTATTTTATTGAAATGCAACAATGTCTACAGATTACATTTACTGTTTTGTTGGGGAGACGAGATCGTGGCTCCATTGTTTAGAACAAAAGCGTAAGTGGTTTGTCCGAACCAATTAGCTACGAGGAGTAGGTACGCACGCGCATTAAACCTGCTAGAACAATGCTGGACTACGTTGTTATTTTTTCAAAGTTCCCTCCTTTGCCTATCTGTTGTGAAATGCAAAGTACGCATGTGCACCTACTCCTTTCACGGGGGGGGGGGGGGACCTACACCTTACGGACTTACCCTAACTCGTCTCCCCAACAAGTTATAAATATTGGCAGGTGTCACGAGATTTCTCTTGAAAATCTTCACAAAGATATCCAACTCTCCAAAGGCCAGCCTTCTATTAGAGCCTAGTACGGAAAAAATTAAAGTTGTCAACATTTGACAAAAATCTTTTTTAAACATTTTTTGGTCAAGGTAGTAAAAAGCTCATCGTTAGTTAAGTTAGTGTAATCTCGCAAACTTTTGTGCCGAATTGGAATTGATGTTAGTCGCGAATTGCAATTTGTATCTTGAATTGTTGCCGTACCATCGCAGTTTGTACAACTATTTTGTAGGGGTGTTATGCAATTTTGGATGAAAATTTAACTTAGCATCAATGTCAAATTATTATATGCAAAGAATGACGTAATTAGGTTCATGCAGCATATTCCTATAGCTGTGTATATATATATGGAGATCTTGCGTTGAGTAAGACTCAGTGTTAGTCATAAGTATTATAACAAAGTGAAATTATTTAATTGATTAATTTCGTTTGCTTCTAAAGATCCGCTTTTAAACAAAAAATGTATACCTTCAATAACAGCTAAGGATTCATCCATCCACAAGACACCCAGCTTTGTGAAAACACCACAAGAAACTTGCTTATCAACCAATGCTCCACCGGAGCAAAGCGAGCCCTTGTTTGATTGCAGCCAACCCTGATTGATCCTAAGTAGAGTTTTAAAAGAGCTTATACAAAACAACATTGGTATTGTAATCAAACCACTGCTGATGTTGTCCAGTCTCTAGTCTAAGATATTATTTCACATGGTGATTCTTACAATTTCAGCCTTTGCCGAACTGCAGACTGAGATGACTGACCTCACAACCGACATGTCGTCAACCATACCATATTTGGAATTCGAGAATTACGCAATGAGATCGTTATTTCCTGGAATTGACACGCACCCAATTATGGACAGAGATGTATGTTTATGATTTACGAGTATTTCTCTTGGGATCTCTGTTCTCAGAGAACTGAAATGCCATTTAAATTTCAAGGGCCAACCCTGAACTTTGCAGTGGATGAGCCATAGAGTAGACAAGAATGTATTGATTAATCTTATTAGCTTATCTGTCATCAACAACATATTCTTTCTAAAGTTCGTTTTTGTGTTTTTTGGCATTGATTAAAATTTAGACTTCAAACCATTAATCGTGTTTTCGATACCATCCGTCACCCATAACAATTAAATTGATTGGCCTGAGCTTTAGATAATTTCAGTTCACTTCTGCATACCCTAATGTGCAGTGTTGATAACTGATCACGAAATCGAGCTAAGCTTGCAGGAAATCGAAACAGCAAAATTTTATTGGACTATGATCTATGATCTGTTTTCCTTACAACAGGAAGTGCTTAGATATCTCCAGTTTGAATCAGGTCTTTCACTAACTTCAGCCAGTAAATTAAAGTGATAATGTTTTTTGTACCAATGTACTAATTCAGGCCTTATTCGCAGTAGTACTTTTTACTTAAAATGAAAAGCCTTATCCTGTATAAATATGTTTTATTATTATGATTTTTCCAAATTTTCTAGTGCAACAAAAGTGATACATGGAAGAAGTGTATGTCATCTCTTTGTGATCTTTTGAAAGAGAAGGAATTTTTGTTAATTTTCATCAAAACTCTGGAGTCACAACAGAGCTTTGCGATGAGAGACAGGTAAGCGACTCTCGGCCTTAGTTTGAAGTTGTGAATTACTTACAATAATCCTTTTCAAATGTTTTCAACATTCCATCCACCCTGTTATAACACGATGTTCTAATGTCAGAAAGTTTTGTCATCTTTACTCAATTCCACCTGCTATCAAAATTTGATTCACAACAGCGTAGTGACAATAATGAAGCCAAATAAGAAATATTCTAAATTTCTACTTACGTTGATTCAGAATCGTTTCTTTTTCTTGATCTCTTCATGAAATGTTTTTGTGCCTGATCGAAACTGTGATGGAATGCAGGGCCCGGATGAAATTTGACGCAAAGCAACTTACATCTTTCCTTTAGTTGCCTCATGATGGCATTAAGCGTGAAACTCGGTTTATGCTATGTTTAGACTCGGTTTAAACTGTGTTTAGGCACTGTTTATACTGTGTTTAGGCTTCAGTAAACACCGTTGGCCTTAATATATTTTATGGTTTCATGTTTTTACAGGTGCAAAGTTGCTTCGTTGTTGATGGTTGCACTGCAAGACGACCTGAAATACGTCACCGAGTGAGTGGCTTTATTTCGCATAACTATTCTTCCAAAAATTAAACTTAAGAAAAGTATTTCGCAAATCGTTTTTAATTGTCGTTTAAGGAGAAGAGTTTATATAGGAAGCTGTATGAATGCTAACATGTATGTGGTTGGGTATGGTTGTGGTAGATCTGAGATGCTAATTTTTCTTAGGTCTTGTCAACATTTGTCTTGTTTTTCTATGCCGCTGATCAAGTTTCCATTTTCTCGTTAACAGTATTCTTCAGGAGCTGCTAGCAGATTTGATCCACAAATCAGTGGATTCCGGTAGAGCGAAGTTACTTCTTCGTAGGTACGTTTCAAATGGCTATTTTTCTCTCAAATTTACAGAAATCTTGCTATTTTGGTGAACTCCATTCAGTTCTATTTTCTAAAAGTGTTTTAGCTTGCTGTTGGATGTGCTGTCTGCCTCTTATAATTCACTTTTGATTTTTTCAATTGAACTCGTCTACAGGACTGAATCAGTTGCCGAGAAACTTCTTACAAATTGGCTGTCCTATACACTTCACGAGTTCCTACAGGTATGATATGTCACAAAAATATATTTCGCGCTGTTTGTTGTTATCAAAGCAGACTTTTTAAGCTGGTGTTTTAGGAATACATCTATATGTTGTTCGAACCTCATAGTTTTTATTATTATCAATGCATTCTGATTGCGTTGCTGCTCAGCAAAGCTTTTCAGTCAACAGATTTTTAGACTCACAACACTTCATAGTATGTCACTATAAGAAAATTTCATGTAATTTTTTTGCGTTTCATGTAAACTTTAACTTACAATAACTTACCAATCTAGGCGTGATAATCTTAGGTAAGGTTTTTTTCATTTTTTCTAGCAACGAGTTGGCGAGCCTCTGTTCCGATTATTCACTGCTATTGTGTCGTTGCTGGACAAAGAACCGGTCGATGCGATTGCGTGCGAGGCTCGTAATTCTCTAAGTGAAGACCGTCTTCTGAGACAAAAAGTTGACTTTACTGTGAGTAGCAAAGTTTTGTGGAGTCTAAAATGTTCCCTTATTCTTAAGTATTTTTCATATTAAGTGAAATTAGGAATATCGTTGTATGCTCAAATTATTTTATTTTATGGCGATTTCTTAAACAAAAAAAGGCGGGTGCCTTATTGAAGAAATTGCCTCGTGCTTTCCTTTGGAGAATGCCTCAAAACTCCCTTCTTAGTGACCATCCAGACGAAAAATCTTCTTTCATTAAAAATTTTCTTTTAAGTTGCAATTTCCTAATAAGAGACACATAACCTTTATGCCTATCTTTTTTATTTGGTTTGGTGTTGCAGAATTATTTTTCATGCTTATCTCTCTGTGTTTGCCAGCCTGACTTGCTTGATCTAACTTTAGGCAAATTGATCTTTTTCTCACAGACAATTACTGCTCATGTTGAATACGAAAAAGGTGACATGATACAAGTACAACTTCTCAACTGTGATTCTGTCAATCAAGCCAAGGAAAAAATCCTAAATGCTATTTATAAGGTATGAGAAGCTGCAAATATCCTTGTGATGCTGTAATTATAGATAAACGTAAATATATTTGTTGTGTAAGATAGTGTTGGTGAAAATCATCTTGTATCTCATTTGCTGGTTTGTTCGCTGTTACATTTCATGGCCATATCAAGCATGGCCAAATCCTTCTCCAAGTTGAATGTAAACTGAATGTTTTTAACCACAACATTTGCAAGTGAAAATTGACCTTTTATTATTTAAATGATCAACGTCAGAGTATTAGCACGAAAATACGTGAGTTCCCATACAAATGAAATTTTAACATGCGAGACTCAAAAAAATGTTTTTTTTTAATTTGAACGAGTGGGGTTTATGAATTTTTTTTGTTAAGCTGACTCTTACGAAATCTTTCTACTTTCGAATATTTTAGAATGTTGCCTTCTCGCAAAGACCAAACAAAGACTCTCTGGTATTGGGTAAGTTGTATCAATCTTAGTGCTGAAAATTAGAGAGAGTTTTAACCAACGTCATATTTTAATACATATTTTTTTTAAAAGATGGCACAAAATAGCGGAAATAAAGCATACTGAAGTACTTTTTGTCTGACTATAAGCTACGTATATTGAAAACCGAAAGCAAGCAGAAAATCGGTAGCCAGGTGTGGATCGAAAGCAACGTGAGAGGAAGAAAGGTGCGTTTTGATTGGTTCTTCTGTTTGATAGGTTATCTGATCAACACCACCTGGATATGAATTTTCTGCTTTCTTTCAGTCATCATCCGACGCTTATGCTCTGAGGCGTGTCGAACAAAAATTTCTGCTGTATGCCATGTTTCCGCTATTTCGGGCCATCTTCAAACTTTGTTGTACTAAAAACTCATTGACATGATTTCTTTATTGCTTAGACTTGCTAACAAACTGCTTTTTCGTTTTAGCGTATCAAACACCCGCAGGTGGCGAAAAGATCTTACATCAAGAAGATAGTACTTGTGAAATCGACGGAGAGTGGAAAAGAATTAACACGCTCGATCATTTCCTGGTACGATCAAACGTTGCTATTAGTTCCGTTTTTTTAAGTTTCATTGAACTGAATATTTTTTGAAAGATAAAGCATGAGTATTTTTTTGATGATATACTTAGGTCATATATTTAGTGATAATATGTTTATCTTCATTCGTCTGATGTGAAAGATGCTTAGTTTTGATATATTGAGTATCCTTCATTAGATAATACCATCATGTTTATAGAAATAAACTTTAGAAGCGCCCAAACATAAGATGAAACATGAAAATTAGACGGAAGCTGATTTGAATTTATATAGCATATTTAATCTCTGCTTATCGACATTAGGGTGATCATAGGAGTTTGCCATTTTGTCGGAAATTCTATCAAAATGTCCCCTTCAACAACCCCTCCTCCCCTCCTCCCCTAAAAGAAGTCAACACCCGCTGCGCCCCTGAATGATCCATTTCAGTTGTTTGTCATTAACTTTACCCCATAATGTTTTTAAAAGAGTGACTATCGATTATTCATGCTTGCAGATGCACACAATTACATTTAAACATACTTTTATTTGAAACATGGCTATATATTATTGATTGACCAGGAACTTTTACAACATTGACTTTGTCTTCCGTTTCGCCAGTCAGAAGCTGAGGTCTGTATTAAATGCCATTGCAGCTAAACTGAAGCAAGGCTCCTGTTCAATGGCAAATGTTTCAAATAAAATCCCATTTGCAAGTTAAATACATACTTATTCTTTGCACTTTTGGTAAAAAGCAATGATATTTCATTGGATTACATTATGTTTAGCACGAGATCCTTCTATCTATACAAAATGTCGTATTTCTCTTTATGGAAGACTTTCTCTTATAGATTCCTGACGGATGTCAATTGAAGCTCATGGCGTTTACCGTCTTTTCTGATGGCACTGGCACCCCTGGTAGGTTTGATGGTAAGCCAGTGATTCGTTGGTTCATTGGCACGTTTAAAACCTAATCAGCTATTTCATTACTTATGATATCGTTGCCCAATACCTATTTGCTTTGTTCCTGGTACCGTCTCTTTTTGTAAATTGAGACCAAAATAATTTATGCTACTAGCAGAAGTCTTCCTCGTAACACTAGCCACCTTGATAATGATAGTCATATTGAAGAATGCAGTTGTTTTCGAAAAGCAATTGCATTTCTGATGAAGAGGTGGAATGAAAGAGACCTCTGTTTCTCCGTAGTCGTAATATTCTAATGGTGCCGGTGTATATCCATAACACACAACGACCGTAATTCACTGTTTTCATAATATCCGTGATATATTTTCACGATATTGTCCATATATTGTCAAGCTTGACCATTACAGCTTCTCGACTGCTCCATGTTGATTTTAGGCCTTTCTTTGCAGTTTTTCACGACTCTTCCCTTCCCAATGTAAACTTCGCACCTACTCATAGCAGTACCCCAATGCTCAATAACCACTCGAACAGTGATGACTGCTACAGACTTTGGCATTTGGTGAGTAGCCTTCAATTATATGCCATCTTTACAATTCACTGCAGATTCCAGTCTTAACTTGTATGCTGCTAATTTTTGTTCTCAGTGGGAAGCTCTTTTAAGTTTAATTCCTGCCTCTATGAATACATTTAACTTGTATTTCGTTTTTCGTCTTTTATTGTATAGATTTTCTTTCTTTGTATAGATTAATTGTATAGAGTTTCTTTAAGCCACCTCCTAAAAACAATACCTTTCGTGAAGTCAGCTTTGTGTTACAAAGCTTGATAGCTCCAATCTAGATCTTTGTAAAGTAGCCACTTGTGGGGAAATGTAATTTTGCGGCATTAATCGAGCCTATGTTAGAACCTAGCATGAATTTGCAGTGTTCTTAAACCAGTTGTGTAATATATTCTGAAACTGCATTCATGCTTTGTATTTTTGTTACAGGTTAAAACTTCAGATTATCCAATTGAACATAAAGAAGATGTCAGACAAAATAAAATGATGGCTGAGGTGTATTTGACAAGGCTGCTGAAGACTAAGGTTGGTCTTGTTGTGAAGCATCGCCCTGCGTATTCACATCGATATTTTCTTATTCAGTTAGCGATCATAATAAGGGAAGGCTTTTGGAAAAGCAACATATTTTTTGTAATCTGTTACTATATGTAATGCAATACAAATGGTTATATTTCAGAACTTGGCAGCGATGTTTTGCACTCGATTTAGGGTCTCTGGATGTTTATTCGTTGGTTTTTTTGCGAAGGTGCAAGTTCTGAAGCCTGTAGGCAATGAATTTCAAAGTCTTTAAATTTGATAACGATAAATCAGATTATTAAATCTGGTGTTTGTTTTATTAGCTTAAATTAAGCTGGCAGTGTCTCTTTAACAGGGAACCCTGCAAAACTTTGTAGACGACCTTTTTGGATCAGTGTTTTCAGTTACAAGCAGAAACATCACTATTCCTCCTGCCATGAAATTCCTCTTCGACTTTTTGGATAAGCAAGCAGGGCTCCTGAACATTTCCGACAACGAAGTTCTGCACACATGGAAGAACAACTGGTAAGCATGCGTGAAAAAGTATATGCGTCGTAACATCTTGACATCGGAACATCGTAACATCCTGACATCGTTAGATATATTAACCATCTTGAATTTTTTGCGAATTTCGACGTACATAAGCTAAGGAATATTTTTAAATGCTTGTTATTTTTTCCCTGTCTACTAAGGGCTAATTTGTAAGCAGTTTTCGGAAAAGCTTTGTACTGTTGCGATTCGTTCTTCATTTGAAAGAGTATCAAAGTAGATCATTTAATTTTAAGATTCTTCCAAACCTACATTGCAGATTGTTGGTTTAATATTTTATGTCCAAAATTTGTTTGCAAAGTCTTCTTGTGACGTAACGATAGAGGAAACATATTGCTAACAATAGAGTGTCTGCATGTTTCGATGAAGGTCGCTATATTTTGTATGGCATACCTATGGTATTTTAGTCTAAATTCCTTTTTTCTATGCTTAAATTTGCATAAGCTGTTTGCTTTTTACAGCCTGCCGCTCAAATTCTGGATAAACATAATCAAAAACCCAAACTTTGTATTTGACATTCATAAAACAAGTATCGTTGATTCTTGTTTGTCAGTTGTTGCTCAGGTGAGTTCGAATGCTGATCTTTGCTTGTAACTGAACGTATTTGTTGTCTGGTCCTAAGCCTAAGGATCTCTCAAGCCTTAAGAACAAATAAGGATTTTCTTGCTTCGTGTAATCGCTAATGGTAATTTACACTAGCAAAACTTGAAATTAAACTAATGAATTTATTTGTATTTTAAAGCATTATCTTGTGGATGAGACTTTTAATATATCATTTTTCGAATAATTAAACAAAGGATGAATTTTAAATGGGCTGCCAAAATCCAGAGTTTACCTTTAAACCAAGGCTTGTATAGGACCCTTATTTATAACCATCGAGCGAGGTAGGCGTTTACCCGAACCTTAGAACTAATCGTCGCCCAGCATTTGCGTATGTCGTATCACCCTGAATAGATGCAGCAAGATACAGCGAGAGGTGTGGGCGGATCATGTACAGGGTAGTGTCTTTTTGGGTGGTTATTTCGGTAGATAAGTGTTTTTGTCATTTATGAATACAAACCTCATTTTACTCACTTGGATGTATATTCTAATGCACTTAAATATATCCAAGACTATTATCAAAAAATGAAAACTCTTTTACCTACAGTTTGGGACAGACTTTGATGTCACTGCTGATAGAATGATGACAGGTTTTACTTAAGTGTTGTTATACATATATATAAATATTTTGTTTTTGCCTTTCAGTTGTTCATGGATTCTTGCTCTCCTGAAGAGCATAGGCTTGGCAAGGTCAGTTTACAATCACACTTTCTTTCTTTGATGTATCTTAATGATATTTTGTTCTCAACTATCCAATTTTTATTATTCCAACTTTCAAATTTTAAAAAAAGCATATTTTTTCAGGATTCACCTTCAAATAAGCTGTTATATGCGAAGGAAATTCCAGATTATAAGAAGAAAGTTGCACGGTAGTTACATGTTTTTGTTCCTTTATCTATCAGTTCAAAACTTGTTAGGAATTGGATGTTTTCTGTCAAATTCTTAACCTATAAGGAAACATAACTGTGGAGAGGTCTCCTGAAGTATTTATATGATAAATAAGCAATTACACTTTGAAAACTAATTTAACTTTGTAATTAATTATCAATTGTTAAACTTATAGATTCATAAGATAAATTTGCAGTGCTAATTTGGTTTTGTATATATTAAAGTATCGTTTTATGTAATGTGTTTGTGTAACTGTAATAGGAAAATAAAAGGAAAGATGTGATAACTTAAACCAGCCTTTTCCCACCTAAGTGTAATAAACTCAATTAGAACTAGCATCATCCCTCCCTACTTTTTCAATCTACCGAACAACTTAATGGGATATCTGTCAATGCTTGTTTCCATTCGCTAATTTCTTTTATCTTTATGTTAGATTCTACAGTGAAGTTAAGTTATTACCTCCAGCTACGGACAAAGAGCTCATAGAAAGCCTATCAGATATATCCGATGTAAGTATCATGTCGCATGCAAAAACTTTTTTGTAAATATTCCTCATGGCTTGCTCATTTGCTTGCCCTTCATATTCTTATCAACTTCATATTCTTATGAGCGACCCAGAAAAAGCAAAGCTTGTCCAATCTGGGTTGCTTAGATTAAGATTATAACGTAAAAAGAAACAACAGGCTAACCATTCTACAAGCAAGCTAAAAACAGCGCAAAAACATATGGATATGAGATTAATGAAACTTATATGAAGTCTATAATATACAGAGCTTCCACATCGGTGCAAGGTGCATATAATTCTGGCCATTAAATTTCACTTGTTTAAGCTATTCACTTGTTCAGTTTAAATTTTCTTCTTTTAGCTACCCATTTACCTAATTTATCCACAAATTTGTTTATCCGGCTGCGATTGACTTGTTTATTGGAGTAAAATGCTTAAGAGTATTTATGTTGCAATGAATTGGTGTCCTTCCTCAAAGCTTGAAATACTATACATCTCTGTAATAAATAAGGCATTTGGGCACATCGCTAAGTGTCTATATTCGGAGCATTCATATTTTATTTGCTACTCAGCATCCGAAGGTAGTTTTAGGACACTGAGAAGCTGTGCTTATCGAGCAGTACCCTGGTCCTTCCTTTCGATGTGACCACACCTGGTGATTCTTATGCCTGGAAATAAGGAGAGCTGATAACTCTCTTTACTCTAAGTGGACTTTTCGTCATATCAGGGGTCTAAACCACAGATACTTGGATCTGTAGGCAACGATACTTACCACTAAGCCATCTTTGCATATTTAGTCAGTAAACATGTGATATTTATGATCACTTTTTAGAAATACGGGGATGCTTTCAATCATTACAATGCTGCTATTGAATTGCTATCATATGCTGTGAAATATAAAGTGAAGGTAAAATTTTATAACCTTTTTTGTTTTTGTCTTTGCTAGCGGTAGTTATGAAGTTTTGTGTAAATCAGATTTGGTGTACTTTCTTCTTATTCTCACAAAGATTAAACATAGACCCTTTGATTTATGATGTTTCCCTTTCAAAGAAGTCGAAGGCTTGTTAGACGTCATAGTTCCAACTCTACGGAATCAGCAAAAAAATGTTGATTAGCACAGAGCTCATTGATTTTTGCATTCGTTTTAATAGATAATGGATACATTAGAAAGTGAAGACTTGGAAGAGTATGCAAAGAAACTGCAAGAGATAATGGAGACTTTGCCTGACGATTAGGACTGATAAAATCTTTGCTTCATTTAATATGAAGTGAAAACAATGCTACAGTCATCTAGAGTAAACCCCTTATGATCCCAAGATGAACACAACTCCCGCAAACAGACTGCATTGTGGGATCAACATCCCATGGCCAAGGACGATCGAGAACGACATCAGGTCTTTATGTTTTGATTGCGCAAAAGGATGCAAGCCCCGTGTTGCTTTGTAGAGTTAAGCAGTTCCAGTGTGACAGTGTATTTAAGTGTTAGAAGTTTTCCGCTTCTGTGCATAAGATGATAATTGATAATTACACTATTATATTATTAAGTAATGCTAATTTATGCAATGGATAGGTCATTTGTTTAATTAGGCTGATTAGCCGAGTTACGAACTGCTATCGAGCTATCGTGGTATCTTGAATAAAAGTAATCTGCTACTGCTAAAGTAATTTGACACAGTCAGGTTTGCTGCTAAAGGAACTGACTGAAGACTGGTCCATGAACTATTTCCCCTGTCTTCGTTGGAAATTGTTTTGCGAAGAATCTCTCTTGTATAGTAACTTGTATAGTAGGTTCTGGTAGCAAAACACACGATAGCCAAGCTATTTGGTGGGAATTATGCTTTACTCCTTACGAATGGAAAATAAGACATGCAGCACAACTGACTTGGACAAATTAAAAAAAAATATCTGCCACATAGGTGCGGGATAAAGAAATTAGCTGTTGTCACTTAGTCACTGTTTATGTCCAAAGCCCTTTTAAGATGTGCTGTTAATTATTTTAGTTTTATGCTGGTGTTTGCAGCGTTTTAACTTTTTTAATTGTTAGCTTTTTATGTTGATTGATCTTATAAAAGTGTTAATTACGACAATAATGAAATAAATATATCTTAAAAAATATGGCACGTGCTTTAGCGTATACTTGAACATTACAAGAGTTTTATTTTAAGACACCTGTATGTATTTTGAAAAGACTAGAGAATTTTGCTTCTGGCTGTCGATCTAAGCAGGTTATTGCAAAAATCCCCCAACAAGTAGCTCGGTAGGACTAGGTGCTTCATGGACACGAAAACCATGGCTAATTCCCGTTGTCCATCATTCAGCTTTTATCAGCCAAATTAGTTTTTCGCTTCAAGACAGTCTGATTGCCTGCTGACCTCTAAAACTTCAGTGGGGATGCGTTCAGCCTATGCTTCAACGATTTTTTCTGTCAGTATAATGACGAAGTAATGCAATTATTTTTATTGAACAGTGCTTCTTTAATTAGAAAAGACTCGATGGCATCGTGTTCCTACTATAAGATCACTTACCATAAAACAATGCAGTTTTCACATTTCTATTTTTACTTGAAACAAGGTAGTTTCGAATGCAAAAACCAAAAGCAACCCATGACTAGTTTTAATTATTTTACAAAGAGGATCACGAAACAATGCCCTTTTCTATGGATTAGCAGAACCAAAATCTCCATAATACGAGCTTGCTTGAAAGAAGTCTATGGTCACTAACATTTTTTTCTAAAGACAAATATGAGCAATCTCTTTTGACGTTGCAAACTTGTAAGAACGTGGTAAAACTACACTTTTTACGTTTTAAACTTATTTATGCTATCATTTAGCACTAGTTGCAATGTTCAGTGTAGTAGTATATTTAAGACTCGGTGTTATTGTCACATACAACATAGATAATCGGTTTCATAATAAACTTGTCTGTTAACCGTTGTATGAAAATTAAAGTGCTGTATTAAAATGAAGGTAATATCCAAACTTGAATTCTTGTCTTGCTCTGAATTATCAGAATGCGTCTTTGTCCCTTATATAATGCGAAACCATGCATAAACCCCTAAAGGGCTTGTGATTTGAGACATTTGTCGGTGGCTGCTAATTTGAAGGGGGTGCTTAAACGAGGATTTGGGTTGGCAAGAATTATCTAAAAGTTGTCATACAAATAGCTATTTTCAAAGCATTTTCTACTTTTTTCAAGTTCGCCCAGAGAAACAAAATACTTTGCAAACCAATGTGGACAATGTCATGCTTTATTTATTTTTCATTACTTTGTTTATTTTTCATTTACCGCTGAAAATGTTAATCTCAATGAACAGAAATATAATCTATGGTAGCAAATGTTCCAAGGCTTATACAAATTTTCAATTCAGTCCAATTTATTATAATTTAAAAGTTCCAGTACATGCAATATTATGCTCAACAAAAAAGATTACTAAGTCTTATTCTACTATTGATACAAAATAAATAAACAAATAATGGAATTATACTGCTGCATACAGATAATTTCCTCTAGAGGGAAAGAGCACTCCCTTTTTCATAAACATTTTGTTACCTGCTTGCTCATTATTTATTTTCAATATATTTATATCAGTCCTTTACGATCGAAGTCATTTTATTCTCAGCACTGATAAAATTATTCAATGAAAAATGCTCTACACTTAAGATGAAAGCAGATTTTGAGATTTTTATAGAAATACTTCTCAGGTGATCGTTTGCTGTAGTCTAGCCCATTCTTACCTCAATTTGACATTTCTGCTATCTTTCTCTGTTCACTAAGTGTTCTCGCACGATACGAAACAATGTGGATAACTTTATAGATAGAAACAATATAACTAGATGTGATAATATATGCAGTAAATTTGATATGTATGTTAAATAAACAATCTTATAGTTATCGCGTAGTTATGGGTTATCATGAAATATATCCTAACAGAAAATAATCATGTCACACGATAAAGCAATGCAATAAAATTTGAAACGATAATGTAGGATGTTTTAGGCCTTACTTTTACCAAGCAAACGCGCAGAAAAAGATGGGGGTTGGAAGATTAAACCACATTGGGGAAATTGCTAATTTGGGGCATCAGTACGACGGATCAACTTTGTTTTGATACTTTCGGATTGGAAGTGCGCATGCTCACTTGCGCCACTCACAAGATCACATTCGACGCTGGCCTAAGAAGCTGAGGATCGACTTTTGTCACAAGAGGACGGTTTATAAGAGCTTATTGCAAATAATAATTACGATTGCATAGTATGATGCATCTGGTCACAACTGAAGTTGATAGGAGACGTATTTTTTAACTACTTTCGCAGCTGGCGATGTGGGACCCCTCGTCTTGAGAGTCATTTTGGGCCTAAACTACGGCTTGAAATTGTTGTCAGATCAAATTTAGCAGAGAGATCTTTCCATAGATCGTAAAATATCACGTTCAAGATGTTGCAGCAAAGACTACAGCATATCGTTGTAGGCCTAAGGAATAGAAATGATGAAATTCGGACGAAATTCGCACAAGAGCTTCAACATTTTGTCACCACCGAGCTCAGAGAAGCATACGCGGAACAGCAATACCTCCAACTGATGGACGATTTGATACACCAAATTTCGGTTTTTGTTCAAAGCAGTGATGCAAATGAGAAAAAAGCAGGGATTCTGGCAATAGGTATTGTTTTATGCTACATACAATCAAAATTATACTTATTGTTTATAGTTTTCTGCTATGTTGGTTGTTGTGATTGGGAGACCAACCAAAATTGTATATTGAAAGTCAATTTTTTCTGTAACGTACTGGTGTCAGTCTATGAAAAAATTCATCGGCCAGCATAACAAATACAGTAATATTTGCAGCTAGTTGAGGTGTTATGTTATGCCTATTATGCAGAAGAATAATGAAATATGTTATACTTTAATGAAATATAGGTACTTTTAGTAATGCCTGTGAAATTTGGTTCCTTTAAATAAAAAGGGTTTCTGTTTTTAGGCTTTCACAACCCTCTACCTAAGGCATTGCCCCCATTAATTAGTTTTCTGAGAAGCAAATGCTGTCAGAATCAAAACAATTGATATACTGCTGGATATGGTTAGAGGCTAGTATCACCTCCTTCTCCTTCAATGGTATCCAGCTTCTGATCTGTTTTCTGCAATATATGTCGAATTACCTATTTCTCTCTGCCAAAAGATTTGGAAATTACTAGCAATTAACTATGTATGACTAGCAACTTTGAAATGGGATTTTATCAAAAAATTTTGAGATCCTTCCAAGTAAGAACACAAACTGATTGTCTGATTTAGGGCCTTTATGAAGTTTAAATAAATTTGAATTTACTCTGATCTACAAACTTGAACACAGTGGTTCAGATAACCTATCTCTATCACCCTCCTCTAACATCTATATCATTGGCCTTCCAAAGCTTGTAGATTTGTGCTTTAGTAGCATAGATATCAACATTGAACTATGAGAAAGGAACATTGACTGTATGGTTTTTTGAGTTGCTTGAAGATTGTTTTGGGTGTTGAAGATCTGAATCTTGTTGTATAGGCTGTGTAAGATCACACTAACCCAATTATAAGCTTTTCGTGTGAAATGTTGCATGTAAAAGCTCTATGTATTGATGGAACATATGACATAAAAGCAGTAATAAGAAGTTTTCAACAAAGCTTTCATTTTGAGAGTGGCCTGTGTAGGTTGAAGCTAAACAATAACATGATCAATATTTCAATGTGGAAGCCATTCAATATAAGAGGTTTTATCGCTCTGATAGCAGCAATGCATTTTCTCTGACCTTGATCTATTCATTTGTGATTCATTCCAGTTTTACTGAGGACTTCAAGTAGAGTTATTCTGCAGTTCTACAAATATTATTTTTTGATAATGCATTTTATTCATAGTGAGTTTAATTGGGGTGGATGGAGGAAATGCAAACAGAACTTCACGTTTTGCAAATTATTTGCGTAATATGCTCCCTTGCAATGATGTTGGTGTGATGGTAATGAGAGCAAAGGCAGTTGGAAAACTTGCGCAAGTTGGTGGAACATTTTCTGCAGATTATGTTGAGTTTGAAGTCAAACGAGCTCTTGAATGTCTTGCTGGTGATAGAAATGAAGGAAGAAGGCATGATGCAGTAAGTAGCTCTTCCAGCTTTTGTTGTCTCTGTTGCAAGTACCATGCTTTTATTTTCTCAAGTTCTCATGCTATCCTTTTTTCTTGTTTTTTCTAAAGATCAAAATATTCTGTATTTTTCATAGTTTTTGTATGTCTACCCATCTCTTCAACTTGCCTGATGATCACATCAAGCATGACACTTCAAGTGGCGTGTACATTTTAAAATATATATTAATGACATGTACCTTTGCCTTATGACAATTCAATATGGTTAAAATGGGATGATTGCTTTTTGTAGGTTCTTGTGCTGAAGGAGCTTGCTGTCAATGCACCTGCTTTCTTCTTTCAACATGTTCAGTCATTCTTTGATAACATTTTCAGTGCAATCAGAGATCCAAAGGTAGTAATCATGTTATACATTCTAGGAAATATATATGAATGAAATATGGTGTTAATGTTGATTTTCTTAAACAATTTTGTGGTTTTTACCTCGGATAAAATTTATTGTTTCTTAACATCTTTGAAGACATCAAATTGGAATTTTCATAATCCTCTTACTGTTTTTCTGAACATCTGGCAAATCTTGAAAAAGATTAGAAAATGAAAGATTAAGCAATTTTTGAAGATTGAATATAAATAGTATATGAAAATCAGCAATGTCACAGTGATTTCCATTTAGTTGTAGAAAGTTTTGCACTGATTGCTAGTCTATTTATCATGTATGAGCAAATTTTGTACTTTTTTCTTATATGTTGGGTCCCCTCAAGTTGTGAAATTATATTTTTGAAAAACAATTTTTTATTGTAGCCTGCAATAAGAGAGGGGGCTGTAGAGGCACTTAGAGCTTGTTTCGCAATTATCACTCAGAGAGAGACAAAAAAGAACCATTTTGTTCATTGGTATCAGGTGAGTAATATAGTTGGCTTGATTTGAAGATTGAGAAACAATTGACATTATATGTTGGCATGTAACAAACAATTTGCAAATAATGGAAAAGACTAAAGTTGCACAATAATAACATGCCACTAAAGCCTAATGAAATTGTCCCATTTTATCAGAAAGAATTATTTATAAAGATGCATGGAGAAAAAGATGCAACAAATCAATTCAGTTACTAGGTAAAACACTAATCTAAACCTTTATAGCAAAAGGTTTGAGAGAGCAACAGCCAGATTTTTTCAGTTTCACTGTGACAATACAAGTTTATGAAAACATAAAAATTGTTTAAAATGCATTTTAGCTTGAGCTTGTTATGATTGTGCTTTTGAACTTTCAAACCCTAAGAGTATATAACTTCAGTTCATTTTGAGCACATGTGTACATATAAGATGCCAAACTTAAGCTAGTTATGCCAGGTTGGGAACATTGGGCAAATATTATTGCATCCTATCGTTGGAAAGCTCATTTCATAGTTATTTTGAATTAGCTATTACTTTACAATCAAAGTAAGATTGAAGAAACAAATCGATAAAAATTACACATACGTAAATCTACTGTGCTCTGAGCAGATTTCTTCGACTGTGGTGCAACCTTTTCACTCAAAACAAGAAACTAAATATGCCAAAAAATAATTGCAGTATTTGTGATTCACTGAAATCAGTACTTTTAATATTAGGAAATGCTTGCGTTTCTTTTCAAGACAGGCAAGGTATCCAAGTGATCGCGCAATTAACACTAAGCCAGGTCTGCGATGGTAATATGTTAATATAATAAAATGGCTTTAATTAATTGTTACAGCAAGTATACGAAGAAGCAAAGCGTGGCTTTGAAGATACTTCTAGTACAAGAGAGAAAGGGGTCGTATTGACTAAGGAGGACAAAGCTCATGGCTCATTGTTGGTTATACAAGAACTTGTGCGCAATGGCTGTAGCGAAGGAGAGGTATGTAAATAGCAGATAAAGTTTGTTCTTCAATGTCCTGTGTTTTGCTTAGGCCTTCGTCGTTGTGAAACACTATTTTCATGGTCTTCTTTGATTTAAGTTTTTATTCAAATTTATGTTATTCAAATAATCTATTAAAATAAATACAAAATGTAAAATGTATTAAGAGGTGTTTATAAACGCCTGAAAGTTTTTCGAAAACCCATCTAGATTGCTTTTGAAATGACACCAGGTGACGTCAGCTTTCTGAGATACGATATTCGGCCTTATTTCACGTTCGCCTACTATACATTTAGTTTTTTCTATCCAGACTTAGAACCTTGACAAAAATCTATGCATAGGATTAACAAAAAGGCACCTACTCGATTCAACTTTTTTAGCCTCATGTTTTCTACAATAATTTTTACGTAATTAAGGCGATTTTCATTTGTCCTGATCTTGACCTGAATTTTTTTCATTTTTATGTTCTTTAATAAATATGCTGTTTCTTTTGACATCTTTATTTATTTCACACAACAGCGACTCAGACAGCAAATGGAAGAGATATACAGTGATAATCCTGTACGAAATACCACTGGTCCTGAAATTTCATGGTCCTCAAAGAGCGGAAAGTTTCTTTCCCAAGGAAGCCAACATCAGCGATCATTGCTGCCTTTATGGAACAATCCCGCACACAACATGCCGCATTCCCACAGCCGGTACTGCAAGGAATTCATGGATGAAAAGTTCGTCGAGGTAATAGCTTTAACGTTGTTTGTTGCAGGGAAGTGCCTTGAAGAACATAGCTTGAGATCTAAGAGTCATCGCGAATAAGTCTCCAAATAGATACAAATATTGTACCTGCACTAGTTACGTCAAGACTGATCATAAGAGATACGCAGTCCATGCGTGAAAATTGAGAATATCCAGCATGTGATTGTGTTTTAGTTCTTATTCGGTATGATTAAATGTCTTGGGAAGCCATAATCGATAAAAATTCTACCATCTTCCTTGAGCAAAGTTCCGTCCGTCCCAAGCTCCCTAGTAAGTTTCTCCTTTTTTTTCTATCACCTCTTTCCAGTTTTCTGCAAATGATCCTCGACAACGCTTGTCTCCCTCTAGGTATCGACACTCGTCATGAAACACAGAGCTTCGAGAAACATCCTTGTCCAACAAACGCTACTGACACTACTCCCACAACTGGCTGCATTCAAGCCAAGCACTTACGTCAAATTGTAAGTCACTTTGCCTTCTGTTTGATACCCCACCACCACAATGTGTACCTTGGTTAAATTTTTCTGGAGCCATCTGTTTGCTCGACAGTTGTACTATTCATCAATACCCGGAAAATTTCCAGATTAAGGCAGGGGGAACTCAAGGGTTCTTGAGGCTTTGGCATATTTACCGGACGTACGCCCGACGGATAGCAAAGGACTGGAGACAAATAGATTTGGACCTTCTGTAGAACCCGGGCACTCGGTCTACGTCCGGTTTGACGTCCGGCTTTCTTGTTTTCCAGGGTTATAGTATGATCAATATTTTATGCAGCTACCTGGTCATTTACTATCTCTGATATAACGTGTAAACTTTTTATGCAAGAAATAATGGCAGAGCAAATACTGTTTTACATTGCTGTAACTAGTTTATTTTGCGCGGTTTTTGATTGCTTCATCAGTCTTCATCAGCTGCAAAACACGTAGCACCATTCATATTTTTTCTCTTTTTTTGAAGGCATCTTAGCGATACAATCATTTATATGAATCAATGTCTGAGTCGAAAGGTTTGTAATTAGCTAATGCTTTGTAGAAATGTAGTCATTTGTTGAAAATTAATTTGAAAAAAGAAATAAATCAGTCAACCATTAAAATGTCTGCAAATCTTCTTGTAGCCGAATCACTGGTGCCATCTTTCCTGTATCGTTCCTGCTTTGCCCTATTATCATACAACAGTAGAACATGTAATTGAAAACATTTAGTCGGAGGTGGAAATTGACCATTTTCCATGAGGGGGGGGGGAGGGGGGTGGGTTGGTGCATAATGTCAACTGGAGCGACAAAACATTTTCTCTTGAAGTAACTGATTTGATGATATGTTCAGCTCTTCATTAGGGCAGAGATAATTCCTTCGCTCATATTTTATTTTAAATCATGCTTAGCTTTTACCAAGTTGTTGCTTATCATCTACGTATTTACGAGGTACTGTTTACATCTTTTTGTTATGTTTTTGAAATCTTCTCATACCAGATATGCTTTTGTATTGCTTTTGTCTTGAAACAGGAAAAAGAAAGATCTGCTGCCTTCGAAGCCATCGGTTTACTTGCTGTTGCTGTCAAAAGTGACATTATTAGATTTTGGAGGAAATGGAAAAATGTTTTGGAGCATATCAAAAACTCGTTGCCGAGCAAAGATTTAGGACACAAGTATGCTTACTTCATAGTTTTAACCTGACTTAACTTTAGAATTGTTCCTCAGTATAAAAAATATATTGCATGGAAAAGTTTCGTCAATTACAGCCAATTTCTTTTAGTAATCTGTTTGAGAGTGAAGATTTCCTGGTTTAGCCTCTTTTTGCAATGTTTCTTAGGATCACTTTCTCATGTCGAATTTTTCATCGCTATGCATCACATAAATATGTTGAAATATCTTTCTTTCATATTTTTGTTCGCACTATCGTTTTTAATCGTGAGCTTTGACTATCATTGTGAAGTTCTAACACACTTGGATTACTGCTTTGTCGTGTACATATGCTAAAACTGGGCCTTCGAAACTTCAATAATTACTTCTTTGCTTTCTAGACGCAAGCCTGCCTCCGTCGACCCAATGATATTTGCTTGTGTCAGCATGATTGCCAGAGCTGTTGGACAAAAAATGGCGACAAAAGACTCTATTTTCAAAGAAATCATCGATCAAATGCTGGGTGTTGGTTTAAGGTATACTTCCTAATGTTTGTTTTGAAGAAATTTTTAAGAATTTAGATGTTTCCTTACAAATAATACGGTAGCGAAGTCCAATTGATTAGAAAATTCACTTTATTTAAAATTTTTGTGTTTGCTAAACTTAACCTTGTGCATTTTTTAGACATGTAATGATGTAAACTTTGCTATAGTTGTGTGTAAATTTCTCAAAGCATTTTCGAGAAGGAAGATAAAAGACTAAAAGGATCCCATTCATGTCCTCGATAGTTCCTTCTTTGTAATATTGGTGTTGATTTTACCGAAACCAATACATTATATTGTCTTCCAGTCCTGCTCTTACCGCATGTCTCAGAGATCTTGCTGGTCTCATACCAACATCAAAGAAACATATTCAAGGTACAAAATTACATTTATCAAAGTTTTTGTTGAAGTAGCTCAATTTCAGGGTACCATTTAGTGCCGCCAGCCTAAAACTTTTCTATTTCATCGTCGTCGACAACAAAATTGATAGGATGAATAGAAACAAATTTTATTTGATATCTATCGACAATGGGCTCTTGATTTAAATTATATTTCTTTTTGGGTCTGATCATCTTATTCACACGTATGCATGAAGTGTACGTTTACATATAAATTTATAAAAAATTTGCTTGCAATTTTATTGTGTTGCAGTCATTGAGTAACAGTGAATGTATCTCTTTCAAATAAAATGCTGAAGGCAGATGTTTCTTTAAATAGGCAATTTGGGAATCACGTTTTGATTAAGTAACTGAATTTTCTTGCAGATGGGCTTCTAAATATTCTGTCAAACATTTTGATGCATGTTCCTCTGCGTCACCCTGGAATGCCAAAGAATACTGCACCGACTCCGACGCCGTCGAGTAATTTTAAATCTTTGATACTTTTTAATTCTTTGTAATTAAATTCTCAGAATTTGGCAATATATATTTTACGTACTCTTAAGAAATGTTTGAAGCATTTACTGACCATAATTCATTCTGTCAGATCTAGGTCTTTTATATAAAGAAATTACAAATTATTCATATATGCGATGTGCAAACATCATAAGGTTCTATTTTTGCTAGTTAATTCAATTTAATGTTGCTGGCAGGATAAAAATTCCATGTACTTAAGATCATAACATGTAAAGCTACTAACTTTTGTTCACCATTAATACAGTTATTAAGGGACGACATTGTGAAAACCTATTGTGAGGATTTTGAAATTTGGATCATGTAGGCCTGAAAGAGACCAAGAGATACCTCTAAATATGCAACAGAAGTAAAATGTGTTACAAATTAGCTGATATATGGTCACATATGCACAAGCTATTTCAAATCACAAACTTTAGAACCAATAAAAATATCAGTAACCCATTAGCAAGTCTCAAATCTTTCCTTGATTAAATCTCACCCAATTTTTTAACATATTTTTAGTCGATTTTGCACTTTTAGAGGTATTCCATCTTTTAGTTTGAGGCTATGTGGGCAAAAGTAAAAAGTTCCAAAAGTAGATTCTCTGTTTTGTCGCGCGAAAGAATTCCATTAGTTTCCGTTTATATCATAGCGATTACATACAACGAGTAAAGCAGTAAAGAAAAAATGGAAATAAGATCACTCTATGAAATTTGCGATAAATTATGTGTTGCTCAGTTTAAGTGAGCAAGATTACGACTAACTGAGTAAATGAACACGTCTTCATGCTTACAAGGCTCTTTATTTATACTCCAGGCTCCTCTCACTTCAGTTTTTCTGACGATGACATCACCATGACAACTTTAGCCCTAAGGACACTCGGGACATTTGATTTTGAAGGTATGTCATCAATATATTTAATACTTCAATTGGTGTTTGTTGTTTATCTCTTGTCTATTTTTTGAAAACGGAATATAAAGCCCGTTGTTGCTAATTTCAAACAAGGTTGATAGAAAAAATAAGAGAAGACTCTCCTCGAGACGTTTCCAATGTTGCTTTGACGTGGTCGTTTATAAGAAAATAGTGGCAGTTAATTTTAGTATTAATTGTAAGAAGATGCATGCATGAAACGCCATGTGCTATAATTATAAACCGTGTTTTCTCTTTCTTTCCCCATTTTTAAACCTAATTACATAGAGAATTTTGTATGTGATTAAAATGATATAACCTATTTTCGCATTAGTTGCTATTTTTATTTTGAATATTGCAGGACACACCCTGACAAAGTTTGTCACGCATTGTGCCGACAATTTTCTATCCAGTGAACACAAGGAAATCCGAATGGAGGCCGTGAGAACCTGTTCATGCTTGCTAACTCCAACGCCACATGTAAGTTCTTTTTAGTGGCAACTTTTGAGAAGGTTCTTAAATGTGCATGGCAAGACTTGAATTCATGCTGAACTATATTAGCTCTTTCCCCAAAAGTCGTCCCCAAGCATGATATTTTTAGGTCTTTGCGTAATACCATGTTTTTAAATGCTTTTGCACTTTTGAGAGGTACCTCCACAACTATTCTAGATGCAACAACAATTCAATAGAAAACATCAGGTTACGAAAAGATAGTGCTAGCAATTTTGGTTTGAAGCCTTTAGACATAAGATATGAAGCATGCTGCAGTCCAAAACATAAATCAACTGTTAAGCACCAACATCAGATACTTTGTCCAGATCTTCTCCTTTGAAGCTATTATTGTTTTATGCTACTTTTGTCGTCTAGCCAATGGTCGTGCCAAGCAAAAATGTGCATCAGTATCCGCTAAGTGCTGCTAGTACCCAAGTGGTCTCCGAGGTGTTAAGCAAGCTTTTGACAGTAGGAATCACAGATCCCGGTAAGTAGTTTATTTAATATCCTGCTGTTGAATACGTTTCCTTTAACCTGCACCATTGTTTCTAGCATACAATGAGACAAAATGTGAATTTTCACTATGTAAGGACACTTTTTCCTTGAAATTCAGGGTTGACATTTTGTAATATCATGAAATGTCTATTTTATTATTTATACTTAGGTGAATTGGAGATAATGCTGGAATGGGGAAACGGCATTATTGGGAAATAAATAGGCTCAATAAATCTCTTAGATTTTTTATTTCTTTCAAACATGAGCTCGTTTGTTGGAGGGGTTCTAGGAACCTAGAAGCCAGGCTAAACTTTCTTACCAGCTGAAATTCTTGTGTCTAAACACAAGCTCGTCAGGCAGCTAACGCAAGGAATTGAAATTTATTCTTTTCCGTTGCATTTAATTTTGCTGTTTAAATTTTGTTTTTAGATCCAGATATCAGATACTGCGTTCTTGCTTCTTTGGATGAAAGGTTCGATGCACATCTTGCTCAGGCTGAGAACCTTCAGGCCTTGTTTGTGGCTTTGAATGACGAAGAATTTACAATAAGAGAGCTTGCTCTTAGCTCCATCGGGAGACTTAGCAGCTACAATCCAGCGTACATCCTTCCCTCCTTGAGAAAGACTTTGATTCAGGTGTGTTCTCCTTAATTTGCATCCTTGAATAATAAAGTATTGCTTAGGCCATCAAAAAAATAGTTTGCAAAATATCTCCAGGTGGTCAGTTGAATGCTAGAGATTTCTGTACTTTTTTCTAAAGTTAACATATTTCCATCAGTATCTATGGCCTTAAGTCCACCAAGGTTGCTGAAATTGGGTAAAAATATAATTTCTTTTTAGCTTTTAACCGAACTTGAGTACAGTGGCATTGGACGAAATAAAGAACAAAGTGCGCGGATGTTAGGCCACCTTGTAACAAATGCCCCAAGACTTATCAAGCCGTACATGGAACCCATTCTCCGGGTAAGTTGCACTTAATGATAAGTTATACTACTAACATGGTCAAACATATTTAATTTTTTTTGCTATGCTGATTTCAATGCCCTAATGTGTAAAACGGAAGCTTATTGCTTTAATCACTGTGTCAAGAATGTCAGTATGTGATCTTGTTCTTCCCAATTTCCTATCGTTGTTACCATGATATCACCTGAGACCCTTTCTACGATTTTCTCATGGTTGAGAAGCCATGCTAATGCACTCATTTTCACTCATTGTTCGGCAGCACACTAGATGAAAGACGGTACGGTCACGTAATTGGTCTAAAGAACCTTTTATAATCAACCTATTAATTGTTACTTGGAATGATTTTTGTTTTTAAATCTTTGTACTGCAGTAGTTGTTCGAAGGAGAGAATATTGATGAGGAGAATAATGAGATCTGCTGAATAATGAATAGGAGAAGAGAATAAATAATGAAGAGAATATTGAGATATGCTGGTCATGTTATGAGGGAATCGCCTAGGGGTTATCCAAAGCTTGTTTTTAAGGGCATAATATAGGGGTAACGTGACCGAGGAAGACAGCGAAAACATGTGAATATGTGATATTATGGAGTGGGTTTGACAGAAGTGGGCAAACTAAGTTGATGTCTGAGGCAAGGTGTAGGTTGCATGTCATAGTAGCCAACTGTCTTATAGAATACAGTACTTGATGATGATGATAGTGTACTTTAGTAGTATTCCTTAAATAAAAATCATACACTGAGTGGATATAAACAAAGTGAAATACTATGTTATCATTATTAGGCCACAACGTGTCATTATGTTGCATTGTGGGTTGGTTGTAAGCCGTGGGATTTTTCAATGCAAATATGATGCCATGGCTAAAAATCTGAATTTGTCGTGCTAAAAGTCTCTTTTTGACAACTGCCTGATCTTTTCTCCACTTATTTTATTCAAGATTTTGAGTTTCTCTCAAAACATCCTGGACGGAACTGAAAAATAATTGCAACCAGAATAGTTGTTATTAATATAGAAAAGTTCACAATACTGTTGTAAGATCTTTCTCTAAAGATATCCAAACGTTGTAGAAAGATGAAGACAACTTAAAATGTATAAGTATTCTTGTTTGTTCAGGCCTTGATTCCAAAGCTGAAGGATCAAGATCCAAATCCTGGTGTGGTTACCAGTGTTTTGCAGACTATTGGAGATTTAGCCCAGGTACCAGCAAAGTATATAATGCAAAGTAGAATAATGGTTTTGTATGCTGATGTATGAGCTGCTATTTGCAGATGGGAAACAGCATAGCACTGTCCATTAAAATATTATATCAGTGTGTCATATACAACATAGCTGACATACACGCACCGTATTTAGAAATAAATGGTTTTTAACTATAGCATGCTTTGCTAAAAATTGCAATGTCAAACTATAATTTAGGAATGGTGAACATGATTTTATGAAGAGTGATTCGGGGCATTTAACTCTCATCCCAAAAATGCTACATTCGACAAATTATAAATATATTTTGTGTGTGGTATCATATTGAAAATCTGAGTGTTTTTATTATATCATTTAACTTTGAGCGATATTCTTTGAAAGTCTTCTTGTACAATTAGCCTTTTGCAGGACCATTGAATTTTGCATAATGATTTTTTCTCCCTATCTTTCTAGGTTAGCGGATGTGAGATGAGAAAGTATGTTGACGAACTGTTCACGGTGATAATTGAAATGCTGCAAGATGCATCATCATTAGTCAAAAGAGAGGTATGTTTTGTTCAGATTGGATACCTACAATGCTTCAGGATCAGCGAGGGGCTATCTTTTGCTGTGACTGCTGATGTCCTACAGTCTTTCCAGAATACGAACGATAAAATATATATATCAAAAGCTTTCAAACTGTATGCAATAACTTTCCCTCAACCAGCTTATCGTTCATTCAAAAGTACTTACAATAAAGCTCTTTAAAAGCAATCGATAGATACTTTCTTTATTTCATGTTCAATCGACACGTGTTTCTTGATTACAAACAACTAACTCGTCATGCCAATAGTCTTATGCTTTCTTTTCAAAATATAAACAATTTATCATGTTTACTGTCCTCCCAAATGAACTTCATTTATGTACTTGGATTTCTTTTATTTTTCAGGTAGCACTTTGGACATTTGGTCAACTGGTTGAAAGCACCGGGTACGCCAGATTCTTTGCTATTGTTTCTTGAGATCTATTCGATTGTTTCAAGCTAAATGTTCCAAGAAATCGTTGAGGTATTTGTTTATAAATTTCACAATGTTTCTTGCTTTTGCAGATATGTCATAGAACCGTACAGAAAATACCCAAATTTGCTTGAAGTTCTTTTGAATTTCCTGAAAAATGAGCAATCTCCTGGAATTCGAAAAGAGGTTCGAATCTATGTATATGTCCATTTTCATTGCTTAAAAAATATTTTATGAATTTATGCTGTCGTAAATTTAATTAAAATGGTTGTAGCTGTTTTGTAGTTGTTTTTTCTTCGATCAGAAATAACGTTGTTGAAAACTCTGTAGTCAGCTTGTCAATGGTATAATAGTTTATAAGTTGTTCGGGAATTTGCTAGCCAGCAGTCCTGCTCCAAACCGTACAAGTTTACTGCTGCTAGCAAAGTTGATTCGCCATGCCTACTCAATTGTCTTTGAGTAATTCTGCTATCATTCATCCTGCTGTAGTTTCAATTTCATACCTTGTTAAGTTTCCCAGAGATTTGCTATTGACATTAAGCTGTGACGCAGTATCACTTTTGGTGCCCTGACCAATGATGTAGAGCATTTTTTCGCATTTGTGTTTTCCGTAACACAGTTCCAATACTTGCTTTTGTTGACCAAAACCTGTGGATGTAAATTTGTTTTTTATCCTACGATAGGCCATACGAGTTCTTGGGTTGCTTGGGGCACTCGATCCCTACAAGTATAAGCAGATTCAAACCGGAAGTATTGTTGACTCATCATCAACTCCAATCAGCTCGCCCATTGGAAAATCGGCCGATGCAAGTGACCAAGGTGAGTTTTAGTTCGAATTTCAAAGTCTCTTATGTTTAGCGCCTGTCATGTTTCCTTTGCGTTGGGTGTTCCAATGAACCTACTGCTGTTTATTGTAGCAAATACAAATTGCCAGGCGCTAATATAAAAATACGCAAATACAAAATACAAATAAGTAAAAGAAGAAAGGCGTCACCTGATTATACATAATGATTTTGTTTTATTTTTTGAGTAGAATATTTCCAATTTTCCTTTTGCGTGCATGCCTCATAGAGATCAAGGACCCAATATGCCAACCATAACAAGCCTGGCTTAAATATATTCAAGCCATGCTACTGTTTCTCAAAACTGCTAAGACATTTTTTATTGAAAAGTTCTGTAGAAGTCAGATTATAATGTATTTTTTCCATTGCAGACATTCTGTATAGAACCTGATGCACAATCCTTGTTACTCAAAGAAACATTCTGCATCCTGAAACTAATGTTTGTTCTTGTTTTATTTGTAGGTGAAACAAGCACAAGTGAAATGTTGGTTGCCCTGGGAACAGCTCAGTTAGACGAGTTCTATCCAGCAGTAGCGATTGGAGCACTGATGAGGATAATGAGAGACCCCGCCCTCAGCACCCATCACAACACTGTGATACAGGTAATTGTACATTTATTGCTAATAGAGTGGCGAAGTGACACAATCAAAAAATCATTTTTAGAATTTTGGAATCCTGACCTAATAACCTGAAAGAACACCAAAATACCACTTAATTTGCAAAATCAGTCCAATCTGTTGCAATTTGACTGAGATTCTGCCTTATAATCATGGGCGATCTCCCCATCAGACCATTGTAAAAATTTGGCTCTGCTTCTAAGAGACAAAAGCAACAGCAATTCATTAGCAAACTCATGTCTTTAACTGGCCACATCTCAGGTAATTTTGAACAGATTTATCTGATTTTGCATGTTTAGAGGTATTTTGTGGTGAACTTTACGGCTATGGGGTCAGAATTCTGAAATTCTAAAAACAGTTTTTTTGATAACAACACTTTGCCACTCAATTGATAATTTTGATGTCGTCACAATGTTAAGGAACCAGTGCCTGCTAATTCACGATTTTCACTAAGTGATCACTAAGGAGTAACGGACACATATTTTTGTACAGCCTTTAGTACTACTGTTTTCCTATTTGCTAAGGTAAATAGGTCTATCATGCTCTCTGTGACATCGTCACTGAAACTTTGTTGCTATCAACTTGTAATTTTTCAGATTGTGTATAAAATTTCCACGATTTCAAAAAGGATGCGTTTTTCTGGTTTGGTGAACTGATGCCTTTGAATTTCCTTATTGAATCTCCCTGTATTTAGCTTCATGTGCAAAAGTTCTCTGCTAGCAAAGATGCGACTTTTTTAAAAAGTGAAGTATGTAGAAATGAAGCATATAAGGGCTTTTTTGGGGGTGTTTGAGCAAAAATTATGTATTCTTTCTAATTAGTTAACAGAAAGAGATAAAGATAAAAAATGTAACAATACATTGCGAGAAACAGTCTTTGGAGACATAATTTGATGATAGTTTTTCTGCAATTTTCATCAGTTTTTACCAATTTTATAAGGCTCTCCGAAAGCACTAGCGATGCTTTTGCTGTTGACTTTCTTGTGAATATAAAATATTTTGTTCATACTTTCATATGAGTTCTCTGAAGTCTGCTATCACGTGTTGTCTTTTAGGCCGTACAGTTTATCTTCAACAGCCTCGGTATGAAAGGTGTTCAGTATCTGCCACAGGTAAGGGTGGTCTCGTTTGGTACTGGTTTCAGTTGTGCTGTTGTTGTTTACATTGTTAAGAACATTTCTATGTAACTTACACCCAGGGTCAATTTCTAGGAAATTATTCACCCGCATCTCTTAACTTGCTTTGACGCAGTTTACATCAACCTTATATCTTAACTTTATATTAACTGTTGATTTAATTTCAAGGTGACTTTAATTAAAAGGTTTATTGCTTCGTACAAAATACATTGTTTTTAGCTAATACAATATTTTTCACCGGCCTTTACCAGTTCTTAGAGCGTACGTCTAGTCTTTAAGTGAGTCTAGGTCTACCAATGGAGAACAGACTGGGTAACTCAGCTGGTAGAGCAACGACGTACAGCGTTGCTGGTCGCAGTCACTCGCTCATGTTTCCTTTAAGTATATTTATTCTACTCTATAATATTTTGTGTGCTTCAGTGATCATAACATAGTCGATATTTTTCCTCCAGCTTATGCCTTCATACTTGAACGTAATTCGAACTTGTGACACAATTTTCAGAGAGGTACGTACAACCAAAGCACGATTAGCAAAGCCAATCAATAAATCTTAACCATCCTGTCTTCAGATTAAATTCTTGCTAGATCGTTATTATAGAATGCAAATTTTGAATTGTTACCATTTTTAATGGAAATTGTAGTAAATATTTTTGAGTTTCAATCAGCCTTGATATTGCTTTGTCGGAATGAAATTTAGATGACGTTGATACTATCAATTGCTTAGTATGTCGTTAAAAAAGTAGAAATCCTGATTAGAGAGCTGGTGTGGTTTATTTCACTTTTGATTTGTATTTTAATATATAATTTCGACAGCGGATTTTGTGCATCATAAGGCATTAGCAGTGATTTGATAATTGCAATTAGCTTGAAACCTGCAGTTGCAACTTAGAATCTGTTATTTGCACTAAATCGCGAGATTTTATTTTCATTTTTTCTACCTAGCATCTGAAGGATGATTTTAGGACGAAAGTTATCTAAGAAAGAAATAGATGTTTGATTTCTTGTCTCTGTTTCTACCTCTGTTTAACAAACTATTGATTTAGTGAATGCTTTTTTCGTTGTAGTACATGTTGCAGCAGTTGGGTAAGATGATTTTCGTTGTGAGGCAGCATATCCGCAACTACTTGGATGAAATTGCAGCCCTTATCAAAGTAGGTACAATTCCATACCCTGGATGTTATTTTATTACCAAGCATGAAATGTGCTCCTTGCCAGCTCACGTTGGAGGCATGTAAGCCTCAAACAATAACTGCATGTTATAAAGGAGTTTTAATTTCTTTTGTAATGCACAAAATAGTGTCTTGTATATGATGACTCTGGTATTAAAGAAAACATTTTGTTATTCAGTTCAATTTTTAAAGTCATGGTCTTCGATGTCCTGGCTGTTCTTTCCAATTCGAAGTTAGCTGCCTCTTGAAAGTGCAAAAAAGAATTCTTTCTTCTCTCGTTCCTAATTTTGTGCTACTTTTATTCGCTCTTTACATTTATTTTTTTATTTTAAGCTGTTTTCTTATTTTTTTACTAGTCTTTCTTTCATTGTTTACTTCCTCTTTATTTAAAACATCGAGTCGTGCGTAAGTATCCGTACGTAAAGATATCAAACCTTACTGTATTCTTTTTCTTGCTTTCTTTATTAATTTTCAAAATCTATTGCCTGTTACTACTTGTTGCCTAAGGCTTGATCCTAACTTTATTGGCTAATTTGCAAGACTAATATTTCCATTCTTTTCATTCTACTGATGCTGAATTCATTTGTTCTTATTCCCAACAGGAGTATTGGACTGTCAACAGTCCTGTGTCATTGCAAAGTACTATAATTTTGTTGGTTGAACAATTGGCGGTGGCGTTGGGTGGAGAGTTCAAAGTAAGTGCTCTTTTAACAGCACTCCCATCCTTGAATTGAATAAATCTCGCTCAATCATAGTTATTGTCCTTAACTATTATACCGAATAAATATGTTACATGCTTATATATACAGTATATAATATTTTAGACTTCTCAGTTACCTAACCAGACATTTTGCTTAACTAGCCGGAACGCAATGTGACAAATTGCATGAAGGCTTTACTGAAAGCTTTGTTTTGTTTAACAACTGAGTACTTTATGGTATCTTTTTAGCTTTATCTTCCACAAATTGTGCCGCAAATGTTGAAGGTGTTCGTGCATGACAACAGCCCCAAACGAGTGGTTACTGGCAAGGTATGCTGTTTATACATTGAGATAAACGCGTAGAAAAGCCTTAATCTTTGAAGACAGCTGCCTTTGCTGTCAATAACAGTTTTTTTGGTCATTTTATGTCAATCGCATTAGCAAATTTATACTTAACCCTCAAATAAGTGTGCAGTTAAGGTGGTATGCAGGTATAAGGTGGTAAGACTGTAAAGCCTATGATTACTTCTTTAAAAAAATGCCACTCTTACAAAAAGGGTTACATGATTATTTTTAATAAGTCACTTCCATGTTTTTCTTTTGTGTCTCTGATGTATTTAAGATGCAGCTTTTAAGTCCCAAGCTTAGTAATCTGGAAATGCACATCATTCGTTTTCTGCGTAGAAATTTCCCGTAGAAATCACGTGGTATAGTTTTGCCATTGTACTGATCTCACTGCAACTCTTGTTTTAGCTGCTAAAGGCCATCCAGAAGTTTGGGCCTAGCTTTGATGACTACCTTCACCTTTTGATTCCGCCTGTGGTAGTGTTATTCGATTCAGTTGATACACCCTTGCAAGTTCGAGAGTGAGTACAAATCAAGTTCTTTATTTTCTTGTATAAGTTTTGCGTTTATTGCCACGTCGAATTTTTGTATCATCACGTTGGTTCACCATAAACACGTTGGTTCACCGTATTCAATGAAGTATTTGTGCTAACTTGTAGCATGTTCAATTTTCAGAGAGTAAAGTCGGGCTCAGGCTCTATACAAATAATAAAAATAAAACAATAATACCAATGAAAAATCTGCCATTGTGTAGACAGAAGGAGTTCGTTTTCTCTCTTGGACTCCAGTGGTAATTTTTCTTTAGGCAAGCGGCACTGATTGGTCAACTATATCGGTCTTGTGCTTGCGTTTTTCTGATTGGCCTATTTCGATCTACAACTGGGTATATATTTTTCATCATGTTCTTTCGGACCCTTATTCTGACGTTTTATGCTCCGAGGAGTGTCAGACGAAAAAGCTTTTAGCCAATATGTTGTAAAATGTTTGCTTATTTCAAAGCCATTTTCAAAACAATAATAACATACTTGTTTATACAGGGTAACTACCTTATCAGTAGAATGAATGAATTTAAATTCATAATTCTGAGGCTTATAGCCTCTGTTGCTTTAGAGATGCGGGTAAAATTGAATGCAATATTTCAGAAGGCCACAAAGAAAGATTTTTTCTTTGATTAGAAGTCAAAATCTGGGAATTATTTTAAGCGTATGCTATGCAGAAAGTCAAACCTTGAATAGTTAACTTAAATAATGACATCTTTTCCAACAGGGCTGCTCTTCAGACATTAGAGAAGCTTTGTGACTCGGTAGACCTTCGAGAATTTTCATCACGTATAATCCACCCGCTGGTCCGCGTATTAGACACTGTGCCTGAATTACGATCAATTGCAATGAACGCACTGGCAGCTTTAGTGATGCAGCTTGGAAGAAAATACGGAATATTCATCCCGACAGTCAGTAAGGTACGTCTAATGATGTTTTATGCAAAACCTTTTTATCCGTAGAAATGCTGAGTAGGGTTTTACGGAGCTCTTTACCTACTTTATGTTTACCTTCCACGTATCAAATATTGCCTTTATTGAATGTTTACTGCAAAACTGTTTCATTTGTAGAGTGATTTAGTTGGCTTTTTTCCGGCCTATTTATTTTGTATTTTCGCAATCTTTGAAAAGTATATCCCTACTCAAATCGGAACTGAAAATTTTTGCAGCCAAATTGCAAGTAGCTTAGAAAAATCACATCATTGGCTTTGTGTTTAAGAAACCTCTCTCTTTTGCTTTACTTAATATATCTAAGACAGGCCAAACTGACTTTATAAACCCCATTCCTCCATATTTTATAAACTCCATTCTTCTCAGGTTCTCGACAAGCACAAAATTCAGCATCAGAGATACGATTGCATGGTGGCCAAGATCCAAAAAGGCAGCATTTCGCTCGACTATGAAACGGATCCTCTGCTACGTCACAAAAGCGCCAAAGCAGCGGCTGCGGATGATTCTTCAACTCAAAACCAAAGTGAATCCGTCAGACGTTTGCCCATGAGCGCTAATACTCTGCAAAGGGTCAGTACGTTTATGTTTCTCTACATTTAATCGTTAATTAGGGTGGAGTTGCTTGTCATGTAGCAAGTCTCAAGTGTCAATCATTGATAGCAAATTTACATGCAATGAAGCGATAGAAAGGGGTGCAATAGAACAAGCCCAAGAATTCTGCAGAAAATGGTTATTTTAGTGTCTGTTCAGGGTGATGTGTCAAGAGGTGTCCATCTGATTTTTCATGAATTGAGTTTTTTCTTGAAAGCATCCAGAGAGATTATTAACGTTTCCTAGCTTTAAAATTGGTGTATTATTTACAGCTGGAGTTTTCTTTACAAATAACAATATGCTTTAGCAAACGGTCAGTCTCAATCAGACAAAATTCTTTTCTGGACTAAAGTTACTCCTTGATGATATTGAGGAACAGAAGTTGGAAGCGAAGTCATAATATTGGCTGCAGTTTATTATAGTATCAATTTCAGGTCTTATTGGATTGAAACAACTAATGAGTTGTATTCCAGAGGTAAAGATTTCAAATTGGTGGAATTTAAGTTAGACAACCTCAGTAAAAGTTCAAAAGTAGCTGACGCCTTGCGACTTTGATCTGCTGCTTTAAGATAGATTTGTCTTACAGAATGTCTACTGTTTTTAGGCTTGGGTGGCAGCTCGCCGTGTTTCTCGTGACGATTGGACTGAGTGGCTTCGTAGATTGAGTGTCGAGTTGCTTAAAGAATCGCCGTCTCCAATCTTGCGATCTTGTCAAGTGCTGGCTCAGGAATATAACCCTTTAGCAAGGTATATCGAATGCTTTCGGCGCCTAATGTTGATCTCTGCATGGATAAAGAATTCTAGCTACAACAAGCATTAGCCAGTGTTTCTAGCGTTGATGATAAAGGTCTCACGTGCTGTATAGATTTTCCTATTAAAGCAATTCCATTCTCCCTTTCTTTCAGGGATCTTTTCAATGCAGCTTTTGTATCATGTTGGTCAGAGTTGCAAGAAGATCAGCAGGTTAGTCACTCCTTCAACTGTCTTTTCACATCTTTACATAAAGCCATGTATAGTTTTATCGGTGTTCTCTTAGACATGTGTATGTTTCATTCATCATCAGGACCAAAATAAATAAATGTCCTCCCTTAGTTTTCAAACTAAAGAAAACATGCTCTTCTCTCATATATTTGACGTAACCTTATCTGCTGCCATCCTAAAACTTCTATATTTCTTTAGCTAGTCATAACTAGTAACATGGAGGTTTTTCATCAACATCTGAAGTCTGCTGAATTTGTTATGTTTTGTTATAATTGTTAATCTAATTCTATTGTAGGATGAGCTTGTCGGAAGTTTGGAACAGGCCCTCAAGTCGCAAAATATCCCAGAAATCACCCAAACGCTGCTCAACTTAGCAGAGTTTATGGAACATTGTGACATCAAGGTTTGTCGCCTTCTTCGTCCTTTCCTGGCTGCAATTTGAAATTTGTTTCGTTTTTTGGCCAGCTAAGTAAAACATCAACTCGTGGAAATTTATCTCCACTTTTTCATAATATTATTGTCTGGGGATTTATCGATAATTGGTAAGTTATTGTTGCTTGTGCTATTCTATTGATTTTATGATTTGTGTTCTGGTAAGAGGCACAATGTTACCTTTATTTGTGTCTATTGTGTCGGATCAATCAAAGTAATAGATACATATCATTGTGGGCACGTAGAACAGAATCAAAAGCCAAGTCTAGCTCTACTCGTTTGTGACAATATGTTTAGACTTTCTATGTATACAATACTTTAAATATAATTGTTTCTTTCTCTTCATTCCAGGGATCCTTTACACTGAATATAGAATTGCTTGGTCAATGTGCCACAAAATGTCGTGCATATGCCAAGGCTCTTCATTACAAAGAAGAAGAATTCATCACGAAGGAAGCCACCACCGACACCCTGGAATCTTTGATCAGGTTACACAGTAGTTAATGTGCAGTCACATTTCAATGAGTTCAATTATTTTTGCTCTTTTTTTATAAAAGGGTATTATCGTGCCTTTCAAGATCAGGTTTGTCGTCGAAGGTCCTGAGATATCTTGCTAAAATTACTTAGGATAATGCAAAATTAACAAAGTTAAGAAATTTTATGTGATACTCATACCCATCGCTGGTTCAGTTGTCAAGAACGCTTTGAGTCAAGAGAAGAATTCTCTGTGGTGTTTTCATTTTGAGAGTTTTCAAATTTGTACTGTGGTGTGTTACGAATTCTTTTCACATTGTATCGAATTTAAAAGACTATGTAGACTATGTCAAAAGCAGGAAGGTCATGCGCGTGTACATCTTTCCGTGCTATCCTTCAGACTTTTATGTAAAATGCGAATCCTAATGTATTTTAATTTTTAGCTATTTTTCACAACAATTTTAAATTGGCATATTGACATTAAAATGTTCGCTTTTAGCATCAATAACAAACTACAAAATCCAGAAGCTGCACACGGCGTTTTGGTGTATGCCATGAAAAATGCTAAGATTGATCTGGTATGTCAGCAACTTTGCATTGCTTTCTTAAACGGAAAATCTGATGCATTCTTAAACTCTTTCAGTAAACGCCTGCATTATCATAATAGGAACTTAGATTTCACTGTTTGAGCTGAAAAGAACAAGTTTTACACAAACTCATAGAAGATCAATGCTTAGAGGCTTAAAATATTTCAAATCTGTAAAGTTTACCCTTGCAACTTTTTATTGCAATTTACTTTGTTATTTATTACATTTGTTATTATTTCCCTTACTAGATTAAGATTAAATAAGAAAACAAGAAATCAGCAACGCTTTTTACAACACTTAATCCTTCTCTTTATCTTTTCACCAGCAACAACCTCATCCAAATTTTCTCATTTTGTAATACTAAGAAATTTCAAAACCTGGCTACTGATAAAATAGCCAAATAAGGTATCCTTATGTTTTTAGTGATGTTCGCTGTTGATTTCAATATTCTAAATAATCTCGATATATTCCATTCGCAGAAAGTTCAGCAAAGATGGTATGAGAAACTGCACGACTGGGAAAATGCCTTGAATGCATACGAAAAGAAATACCAGCAAGATCCGAATGACAGCGATCTTTTGTTAGGAAGAATGAGATGCTTGGAAGCTCTTGGCGAATGGTAAGATTATCCTCATTCTGGAAGTATGTTAAACATTAATAAGCAAACTAATAGATGGGGACAAGGCCAAAGGCTCAAGGGGGCTAAACCCATTTTGTTGATGCCGACAAGAAGCCCTTATTTACCTCTAGTTATTGTTTTATGAAGTATATTTTTAGAAGCTGCCCTTTTTTCCCTCGTAACGACCCCCCTGTGATGTTCCTATGTACTTTTCTCTAAAGTCTTACTTTTTCAAAATTTATCTTACTAATGTATCATGGCATTTATTCATGATTTTAACAAATGCATGTTCTTTTCTTAAGTATTGTTTGATCCGTACGATACCTCACAAAATTCACTTATAGCCCTCAAAAGACATTCCATCATTTGCCTATACGTATGGGTATAAATTTCTACCTCAAATCTTGGTATGAAACCCATTTCTATTTCAAGGCGGTTTTTGCATTTCTTACATAGAAATTCTCTGCCGTTTTACTTTTTTTCTAAATCTTTTTTCATAAAAAATTTTTATAAGCCAGAAACAGTCGTTCTTTTTTCAGTCTGCAAAACTGCAAGCCTAAGTCTTACAGTGAATTGAATGCTACATACGAGAATTACATACGGATAGTTATTTTTTCGTGAATCCTACATTAAATTCGTCCTTTTTGATTGCTTATTGCATTCTTTTCCTGTTTCTAGGGGTGAGCTGCACAAAGTAGCATGTGAAACATGGCCTAACGTGAGTGATGACACACGACAACATATGGCTCGTATGGCTGCAGCCGCTGCCTGGGGTTTAGGTATTAGATGATGCTATAAGCATTCAATTCTTGTTTTCCTTAAACAAATATTTCAAAGGTGTTTGACTTTTATCTTAATTGAGATTTGTACCATATAGAGTTTGTTGGTTGAAGGTCTGTCCTTAAAAGCTTGACTCGATGACATGGAAGCATAGTCTTGGGATGCTCTTGATATAGACTCTGCCTTTGAAAAAAGCAAACATCCTACAAAATACTGAAAGCTTGTCGTATGATACTCGTCAGAGTTTAGAACGGCAGAATCAGGACCAAAAGGTTCAAGGTGAAAAATATATGTGTTCTTGTCACGTAGGCCTAGAATTGCACAAATATAGTGCATTAGCTATTTTGCCATTGCAGCGTCTTGGTTTTGTATATGCTTTTTGTTTGCAGTATATAATTCGTTCCCACCTGTCTTTCCTTCCAGGTGAATGGAAGAGTATGGAAGAGTACACATGCATGATACAAAGAGAAACACTTGATGGGGCGTTCTATAGGGCTGTTTTTGCACTGCACCAAAGCAACTTCACACGAGCATCTAGCGTAAGAAATGCTATGTTTCTCAAAGTTTTTATAATATGATCTGAGTAAATGTATGTATTTGAGTAGAGATGAGCTGGCTTGCCTAATTTTGATTCCGCTTTGTATATGACCCAGCCTAATTTGCATTGGTTTAAGTGATGCATGGCTGGGAAAAGCTGGTAATGAAAAATAACACAGATATTATTTATAGCTTTGTTGTGATGACGCATATTTATCTTTACCCCTGAAGCGACAAGCAGCAACAGGCCAAAACTCTCTGCTACATTTACATCGCTCCGACGCAACGCTGTAGCATCTTTTTGAAAGAGAAACGCTTCTTGTATACTCATTGCAGATTTTCCGATTATGACTCTCAAAAATTACCTACAATTAAAGTCTGTTGTCCTCATAGAAGTATGAAATAATTCAGTTCAATTTTTGTATATCGAAACAATTTAAATTTGTATATAAAAGAATTCAATTTTCTTTCTTATAGTGCATCGACAGTGCCAGAGACCTGCTCGACACAGAGCTTACAGCCATGGTCGGGGAATCTTATAACAGAGCTTACGGGGTGAGTCAAATGAATTTCCAGCATGTCTATTGTTGCCGCAATTGATTCATGTTTATTTTATGATATTCCCTCTGGAATTTTTGTTTTTTTTGTTAAACGTGCGATTTCTCAAAGGAATTGTTTTAAAATGGAAATGAAAATTGCAATGATAGTTATAACTATCAATGGCGAAAAGAAAGATATTAAGGGCTTTATTTGAGTGGCCTTTAGGATAACATAAATAAGTTTGCAGAATTTTATGTTGGTTAAGAAAAAGAAATTGCATTGTTTTTTCTAAAAGTTGATCTTTCGTAGTTATATTAGATTTAACAATCAACCATGTTTTGCACTCTTCCAAACCTTTAATATATTATGAGATGTGTGAATAGTTTTAGAGATCATACTGTATGTGGTAAAGCATTCTACTGCAACGCCAGTCAGTTAGGCAATTTTTTATTTTCTAATAAAAACATGGCTCATAATGTTTCGAATATGCGTTCACAACCCAAACATGTTACATTTTTTATGCGGAGTCACTTCTCCACAGGCGATGGTTACCGTGCAAATGTTATCCGAGCTTGAGGAAATAATTCAATACAAATTGATGCCAGAAAGAAGAGAGGCGATAAAACAGGCCTGGTGGTTCCGTTTGCAGGTTAATTAACACATCTTGCTTCCTTTCTTGTCGCAGCAAACATTTCTGTGTAGAATTTTTTCAGCTTTAGTGGTTTCGCCACGTTTGTCAACCCGATTTGCAATTCTTTCATTTGCCTTTTTCACAAATAACCTACCCAACTGTGCAGTCTTATGTTTGAAATGACATTAATCTTGCTAAAAGATCAGGAGGATGTTTTTCAATAATTTTGAGAATGGAATTTACTAAGAAATAAGCACTTTTATGTTAAAGGTTTTTCAGAATTATGGCAGTTACTCATGCAACCACCAAACTTTAATGGGGGTGTACATATAACGAAAAGCCAACATTGCAACCATTTTATTCATTTCGCGCCATTAAAAGGCTTGGGTTCATTAGAAAGCTGGCTGGATGATAAAAACCTATGATAAGTTTTTATTTTGTTTATCTCGCTCACGATAAGGAAAAAGTTATTCAAAGTTTCGTTAAATTTTTAGAATTTCTTTCATTAGATTTCCTGGCAATTAATTATTGTCTTTGTCGTCTTTAGGGTTGCCAGCCAGTTGTCGAAGATTGGCAAAAGATTATTCAAGTTCGCTCTTTGGTTCTTGAACCACAAGAGGACATGCAGACTTGGCTCAAGTATGCAAGTCTCTGCCGGAAAAGTAAAAGATTGGTAGGTCGACATCATGCTTTAAACAATGAATGTACTGAAACACTATGTACTGAAACTTACGGTGGCAATCTCTTTAAGAATTATTGATGGCGATTTTCACCGTAGCGATAACTTTGATTGGAGTGGGGCCTCTAGCCAAAGTCAGAGAGAGGTATGAAAGAATTGGCTTGATTTACTAGCTCCAAAAGGATAGCAAACACGTGGTTCTTCCAGTCAACTATGTTAAGTCCAAAAAATCAATATGAAAATTTAACCATTTTATTTCAATAGATAGCTCTTAAACTCTTACATTGACTAAAATTCATTTATCTTGAAACAGAGTGCCATTCTAAAAGGTAACCGGACTTCGTTTTTTGAGGTATCTGGTAAATATATTTTGTTTTAAAGGCTGTTGTTGTCCCGCTTGAAATAGGTTGACATCCAATCGTGTCCCAGTTATTTTTAGAAGTATCTGACTCAACTATGAAGATGTTATTATGTACGTATGGACGGCATAAAATTTGTTTCTGTTATGTACTTATCAACGACACGAATTCAATCTATCTCAGTAGTTTACAGCCAGTATTTGCATCTTAGGCCCTTTCCCACAAAACGCTCGTCATGCTGCTTGGTGTTGACCCAAGTAAAAGCCCGGACATGCCGATACCCGCCACATACCCAGAAGTGACATTTGCATACATCAAGCACATGTGGAAAAATGATGAAAAGGTTGGCAGTTTATAATTCCATGTCTCGACTCTTTGTTGATAGGCACTTCTGTAAGCTTTTGTAATGTGATATGTTGGAACAACTTTTCACCTAAAACTTTCGCATAAGCGAAAAAAGCCAAAAGTTTTCCAAGAAATCAAAATGATCTGGAGAGCTTTCTACCTGAAAGTTACCTGCAGCGGAAATTTGACATTTAGATTTATATCTCCTGTTCTGTATCTTTCTGCCATCAGAAGTTCAGATTTTTATTTTCATTGAATGTTAAAATCATCAGCGCTATTTCCAATATAACCTGTTGGAAAGGAAGCTCTTTCCTTTCTTTCTTCATCACGTTCCACTCTGAAGTAAGAATGTCTACTTAGGCCTTCACACAATTTACCAGTAGCAACTCCCGTTTGTTTTTAGCAAGAAGCATTTCAAAAACTGACTCACTTTGTCAATTCGACACTCCAACAACATACAATGCACGCAATTTCTCCCGACGAGAGAGACCAAGAACAAAGACAAGCTTTGCTTAAACTTCAAGCACGGTACGTATGATGATGTTTTCATGAATTTTTGAAATGGAAGCAGAATTCTTTAAACCTGCAATCGTTGGCTGATTAGTATGACGATAATAAGGAATAACATTTTGTATTTGATATTTTTGTATGCAGCTTACAATCAAATCTAATTAGCAAGATCGATCATTATTCTTGTCGTACAACCCTCTTTTGAGCAAAACTTAAGGGTGTCAAGAACTTTTTTGTAACCCTCTGCAGGTGTTCTCTGCATATGATTGTACCAATGTGGAGTCTGGTTATTTGTTTAATGAAGTCTTTGAACGGTTTCGTTTCAGTTGTTACCTGAAAATGGGTAACTGGATGGTTGCACTTGAAGGCATCAACAGTCGAACAATACCCCTCATAATGCAGTATCATGGCAAAGCAACTGAAAGTGACAGGAATTGGTACAAAGTGAGTGGAACATAATCTTCTAAGCAATGACCATCATGTTATGTAGTATTTTTAGATTTTGGCATTTTTAATTCCCAGACAGACGATTGATTCCTTAATGCCATGCGTAGTTAAAAAAAGCCTTAAAAATTGCACAGGAAAGCTGAAACATAACATACTAAAGTACTTTTCGTCAAAAACTCTCCAAGTCTAAACTTCTGATAATGACAAAAAACCAAGCGAAATGTAGGTCCATGTGCAAATCCTAGGTGACCTGAGAGCGCTTGCTTGACTGGGTTCATGCTTTAACCAATCAGCGACATAGTTGAAGAGAAAATAAACTCTCTCTACTAACATAGGTAGTGATGTTTTGTTTTTATATAGACAGATTCCAAAATGGCATAAGGTGGTAATTTGAATATGCCTACTCAATACTTCAAAACTTTTGTTCCTTCATTTTATGACTGATTGGGTTCTCAAATTAATTTTGAGTTTTTGTCAATTCGTATCGAGTTGAATCGAAATTCTAGTGCAATATTTTTGAGAGAAAGATGGATCGCACTGACTTTGAGCCTTTTTTGCTTTTAAAGAATTCATATTAAAGTAAAAGCCTTCTTACTGAATTCTTTGAAGTAGCTACTTATGCTAGTCATTTAATCTTAATCATTGTCCCTTGAATGAATTCACATTTGAAAAATGTATAATGGTTTTGTGTTTGCTTTTGTGAAATTGATATTATTGATATTACTCTTAGGAAGAGATGATGTCCTTAGATTCGTATCGCTTCCTAATTTTTCTTCCTAATTATGCACGTATATATTTAGGAGCAGGTCCTTTTCACCATCTAACTGATATCCATTGTATTCGTTTGATTGACTATCGTTGATAACTGAATCTGCTGCTTTTGTTACGACGCTATCCACATCTCATTGATCCCTTGTTTTGTAGGCCTGCCATTATTGGGCTTTGATGAATTACGAAGCTGTTCTGTACTACAAGCATCGCAGTTCCACAACCGATCTTAACCAAGCTGCTCAGGCGCAACCAGGTTCTCCAAAAGGAAGCTTGGTAAACATTGCACAACTTCGTCTGTTTACATTTGACTTTTGAAGTCGTGATTTTCCTAACATCACAATCCTTGAAATGATTCCGACGCAGAATGTCTATTCATTACTTATATTCACCACTTTTAGCCGAATAATGTGAATGTGGCAGCGTGTAGATATCGTTTTGTTGTTTTCACAGACTGCACCTGAAGTGGCCCATTCGTACACTGTCCCAGCTGTACATGGTTTCTTCAGATCAATTGCCCTTTCCAGTGGCAACTCGTTACAAGATACACTAAGGTATAATTTTGCGATTTTCATTGATATAATAATAATTGCCAGTTTTCGTGATATTTGTTTCTTGTACCAGATACATAAATCATTGATATCTGCCATCAATTCATTTTTTTTGGATTTGTTTCTACCTATGCAATCAATTTATCTCAATATCCCTATAAATCTGGTAAACGCTTATGAACATACATAAAATTGAACGAAAATCTTCTTGGTGGATAACATAAGTTTTTAGGATATTTTGGGACATTGCAGGCTGTATTATTGTCCGTTCAAATGGATGTTTGTGACTTAAAAGGTAAAATGTTATGCATTTTGCAACATTTTAAAGGAAATATAGTTTTGAGAAATCAATATGAGCGAAAAAGACATTGCCTGATTAGGAAAAAGAAACAGTCTGATGTTAGCAGATGCATAATGACTGATGTCTTGCTCTTCGGCGAAGAATCTTGTTCAATTTTGAAATTGACTGCAAAATCTAAATCTTTTCAGGTTGCTGACTTTATGGTTTGATTACGGCAACAGCCCAGAGGTCTACGAGGCATTGGTTGAAGGGATCAAAACTATTCAGATAGATAACTGGTTGCAGGTTGGTATGGCTGATTCCTTCAATTCACAACCCATTCCTAGTCACAAAAAGAACGACAAGGAAATACTTGCATTCCTAATATCTGTGTGATATTTTACTAGTTAGGCTACTTACAGAATACGAGCCTCTGTGTAGCGTCATCAGAGATTCTGTTTTATGATTCACTCGTATTATACTTCTTTTAATTTTTAAAGGTCATCCCGCAACTAATTGCTCGCATTGACACCCCAAGACAGTTAGTTGGCAGGCTGATTCACCAGCTTCTATCTGATATTGGGAAGCACCATCCACAGGTAATGGCCTTTGCTTTTAACTGACTATAAAGTTTCTTTTTCTTGGACTGCGTATTTCTATAGTAACGAGTATGTTTATATTGGCTGAGGTGGCATTTATGAGCCGTGTTTAAACCACGCAAACTAACGCTGGTACATCCTACTATCATAGCTGTTTCCAAATTTTCTTTGATATTGAAAATGCATAGTTAATCAGGCTATCCTTTTACAACTGTTTTTTTGGTAACTCCTTTAAACAGAGTGTAGCCATCTGTTTGGTATCTTCAGCCATTGTCTAACGAGGCTCTACATATGAAAGTATCTAACGAGGCTAATACGTATAAGCCTTCCACTCTAGCTCGTTTAAAAGGAATCCTTATATAATTACCGTTGCTTTTTTTCATTTAAAATTTAAACTCTTTACCCTTTTTGTTTTAGGCTCTGATATATCCTTTAGCAGTAGCCTCGAAATCTGCAAGTATTGCCAGACACAACGCTGCTAACCAGATACTCAAAAACATGTGCGAACATAGTCAGATTCTCGTCCAGCAAGCTATGATGGTCAGTTACACTTCACCATCCATTTTTTATATATTTTAAATAATATCAGATGCTGTTTTGATCCTTTCTTGATGCTTCTGCTGGGCAATTGCCCTGTCTTCTGGTTTAACTAACGCATTTATGTTGAAATCAGTTCAATTGCGATGCTATAAGGCAACTCTCTAGCAGAAAAACAGATTTGCACGGAAGCTTTTTCTGCGAGCCTTAGGCCAAAGATTTGAAACAAAACTATCTGTACACTGTTTCAAGATGTCAGTTATTTTAAGGGTTTGTTAATGAAGGATTGGTGTATTTATAACAAAGAAAAGGAACCATTTTCATGTATAAGATATACCCAACAGTTTATTACCGCTATTTCCTAAGGTCATTCAATCGTTAGAAAGATTTAGTGCATGGTTATTGCCTTAGTGCAGTTCCTACCAGCCTGTTATATCGTTTTATTATTTAGCCATCCCCAACACAGTATGAATAGCTGTTTGTTATAAGGCATGGACTTTTAAATGTTTTATTCAATTTCATTCGAAAGGTGAGTGAAGAACTGATTCGTGTTGCCATTCTTTGGCATGAGCTTTGGCATGAAGGTCTTGAGGAGGCATCTAGATTGTATTTTGGTGAGAGGAATGTCAAGGGGATGTTTGCAGTTCTGGACCCTCTGCATCAAATGATGGAGCGTGGAGCGCAAACATTAAATGAAACGTCATTTCAGCAGGTGGTTTGAGTTTTATGATATTTTGGTTATCACCTTGTACCTTGCTAATCTATAGGATTTCCTTAGATTGGATCACTGCAAAATTTTTGCAATTCGTACAAAGACCCAAATATAGTTTAGGTGAATTGTTTTTTTAAGGCAAAAATGCAATAAAGAAATATCCCAATTCCCAGCACGTTGTTTGTTAAAAATTGTGAATGTTTATCAACAGTTGTTAGTTCTGATTTTTAATCTTGTTAGACGGCTCGAAGATAACCTTTTAGCATATTAAAATTGGTCAGAAAGAAACTTGCATTGAAAGTTATCATTAAAGATGAGAAGTGGAGCTGGTCAATCTATGTTGGTGGCCTGTTTAAAATTTGTGATATTAGATTTAAGCCTTGATTTAGCAATTTCTTTAAATTTTAAATGTCTGTCGTTTTAAAGGCATATGGAAGGGAACTAATGGAAGCCCAAGACTGGTGCAGAAAATATCAGAGATCTGGAAATACAAAAGATTTAACACAAGCCTGGGATCTATATTATCACGTGTTCAGGAGAATATCGAAACAGCTTCCTCAGGTGATTTCTGCTATAAAGCCCCTATTTCCTTTGATTTTCTTGTTTAATTTATAGAACACACCTGACATAAGAAAGTTAGAAAAATCTTAACGAAGAGAGTAATTTGTATTCAATGTATTCAATAAAGTTGAATTTTTGTTTAGGAATTTCTAAGCTGTGTGTTATAGAATGTAACAATTTTTTGATGAAGCTATTAATTTTTATTTTATCATCAGCCCTTTGCTTTTACTTAGACAACTCTGTATGAATGTTAAGAAAAATCTAATAAATTTTCGAATCCTGCCATGCCACATCTGCAATTTGGCAGTGACCTTGTCCTTCGAGCCTATTGGCACCAAGTAGATATATAAATGTCTTTTTGTAGCTTTTAGTATGTTATACCATGTTTAGTCATATGCCATGTGTCATATGTCGTTATTTCATGTGTCATATGTCATGTGTCATGTGTCATGTGTCATGTTTGTTGTCATATGTCATTCTGTTGTAACAAATATTACTTTTGCATTTGAAGCTGACATCCTTGGAATTGCAATATGTCTCTCCGAAGCTGTTGACTTGCAGTGACCTGGAGCTGGCTGTTCCTGGCACTTACGAGCCTCATAGACCAATTGTTCAAATCAAGCAAGTCAGTACGACTTTGAATGTGATTACGTCAAAGCAAAGACCAAGGAAACTAAGTATCACTGGTAGGTCAACTTATATAGGCTATTTGCCTTTGTCATTACAATGAAAGTATACAATTCAATATTAGGTTGAACCCATATCATAAGAAACCTGAGCCTGTTTTGGTCTGCCACATTCTGTTGCGCGTTCGATACTTTGAAATTGTTATACAATATATTCTTTGCCATTTTCCTTTTTCGCGCTTTGCAATAATCTTACCTAAAATTGGTTTGGCTAATGATAATATATGAATAGCCAGATATGAATTAAAAAGTCTAACATGCTCGAACATGCTCGATGTTTTGGTTACTGATGAACATGAGGATGATAAAATAAAGTTTTTTAAGATGATTAACTTTTGTAACAGGAATTAAAGAAAATGTTATCGATACCACCATTTGCTGTTTGTACAATTGATGATCTCTTCAAAAGTGTTGAAAAGGTTTTGTTTGTTTTTAGGAAGTAACGATCAGGAGTATATGTTCCTACTGAAGGGTCATGAAGACTTGAGACAGGACGAGCGTGTTATGCAGCTGTTCGGTCTTGTCAATACTCTACTTGCAGCAGATACAGAAACATTCAAAAGACATCTTGGGTAAGATACACACCAAGGCTTCTCGTCACCATTTTATTTTATGGATTTCTTTAAGGACTAGGAAAGATAGTCAGCAAATGTGAGCAAGGGAGCGGGCGTTGAATATTAGGAGTGATTTTAAAGAGTTTTATACATAGGTGCAACAAAAGTGAATAAGCCATTAATTTTATATTAAAGGAAAGAAAAGCTCTCTGAAATGTCCGTCCAGGCACATTGATATCGGAACGACTCTAACGTGTACTAAAGGAGTGTTTATCTGTTAAGAGGCATGTAAAAAGTCTTCATGGTAAAAACGCCAATCTTTTGCTTTAGATTATGCTCGCCTAACACTCCTTCTTTGTATCAAGCTCAAATCATAGATATTTTTATAGCAGCTTCTGTTTATCTATGATCATCATTATTCTTACAATCCCCTGTGACTGTACTATATGACCCTTCTTTTCTTCCTACCAAGAATCCAAAGATATGCCGTGGTTCCCTTGTCCACCAACTCTGGCCTAATTGGATGGGTGCCTCATTGTGATACTTTGCACACACTGATACGAGATTACCGGGAAAAGAAGAAAATACTGCTCAACATAGAGCATCGGATTATGCTAAGGGTGATTAATTTGCTATTGTAGATCAACTCTTGTCATAATCAGCTTTGCCTGCCTGTAAGGCTTTATCTGGTCGGTGGCATTTGCGTATGAGAAACACCTGTATTGTAGAGTACTGAAAAACGCCTTGCATTGTGTGGGTCGATGGGAAATTTCCTCAAATTGTCACCACTTTGAGTTGAGATAAACCCTGTCTGATCCACGATAAAACTAGTTAAATGATGCAAGCAACAGATGACTGTGATTGTGAGGGAATTTTCATATCAAAGCCTTTGAAAGCTGATTGTTAAAAATAGAACCGACCGAAGTAGTAGTTTGAAAAACGGAGTCGTTTGTTAAGAATTTTTCCTGTTTTAGGTGCTTTGGTTTCAAATTTGATCTTCGTCTGCAAAATAGATAAAAACGTGTAATAGAATGTTAGATTTGAATGGGTTAAATGTTAGAGAGAAAATGCAAAACTTCAAGATTGTGTCTATGCAAGAGCCTTCATGAAGTTTTGCTTGTAATTGACGATATATCAGAAGTTTGCTATATTCGAATGGATGTTTCACGGTGCGATATAGTTCGCAATGACCCAGAGGGCTTGTGTTTACGATTGGAAATGACAGTTACTTATGACAACCAAGAAATAATCAGTAATACCCTGTCAAATTACCAAAAGATCTTTGGCCGATTATTGAAATCTCTAATGCAGCTTAGAAGATTTCAATTTATTTTGTAATAGCAAAAACTCATCGCATGGATTTAATTTGATTTAAGTTCTAGTAAGAAGATATCTTAAAACGGATTCGCTAAGAACATTAAATGAACAGCGTTTGTGACAATTTTATTGATGGGTTCCATGTGTACACATGTTCATAACAGGATTCTCTTATTCATTATACATTATGTCTTAGTGGTTCAATGAACCCCACGCTTTCCTTCTAATGCATAACCGGTCATTTGAAATCGTTTTAATCTCTTGGTCAGCCATGCCTTCTTGCTCTTGAAGCTCTACTTAAGAATTTCCTGATTTTAATTTAAAGTGATGTTGATATGTTAAGCAGGTGTAATGAAAAACATTGAGTTCTAGACTTAAGATTTTTATGGAGATAACTTAACTAAAGTTTCGGACAAAACTAAGGACATTAGAGCTGGGTTAGAGCTGGGTTGTGACTAGGTTGTCACAACGGATTGCATTATTTTTGTCATCTTCAAAGGTTAAAACGCTTTTTGGTCTTTGATTGTTTTTCTTCAAAAAAAGGTAAAATTCAAAACCTTTAGATGTTTAATCATATGATGAAAAAATTGTCAGATTCGCTAACCTACCGCTTGTCTAATCATAAATTACCCTTTTGGAAGTTTTGGAAGCATGGCAGATTTCTAATAATGGCGTTAAAACCCCATGAAAGCAAAAGAGATGAAAAGAGCAGCAATTGCCTCTGCTAGAATCCACTGTGTGAATATACAATAACAAACTAAATTACAGTGAAACGATAACGGAGAACTGTATAACAAAAGATCTGAGGTGACTGTTGTTTGGAGGTGACCGTTGTATGGAGTTGACCGTTGTTTAGATATGACCGTTGTTGAGAAGTGTTCGTTTTTGGGAAGTTTCCGTTGTAGGGAAGTTTCCGTTGTAGGGAAGTATCGTTGTAAGAAAGTGGTCGTTGTAGGGAACTGGCCGTTGTAGGAAAGTGTCCGTTGCTGTGAAGTGGTCATTGTAGGGAAGTGGCCGTTGCAGGAAAGTGTCCATTTTTGAAAAGAGTCCGTTGTTGGATATTTTCGTTGTTAGTTATTCTTTAGGGCTATGGTCTACTTTGAAAGGCAAGATTTTGAAACATAGATTATCTGTTATGTTTGCATCAATCCATTTGGACTGTCAAATTCCACTCATCTGCTACATTGTATTTCATTTTCTAGATGGCCCCAGGCTATGACCACTTGACCTTGATGCAGAAAGTTGAAGTTTTCGAGCATGCTCTTGGTAACACAAGTGGCGATGATCTAGCTAAAGTTCTTTGGCTCAAAAGTCCAAGCTCAGAAGTATATATATTTGCTTATATTTCCAGCTTTTTAACTTAATCAAAAACTGACTTTAGTAACATCAAAGTTTCAGTAACGTTATTTGTATCAGATGATGGAACATCTTTGCATAAGCTGTTGTCGGCGATGTTTTTTTAACTGCAAAGTTTAACTTCTAGGTATGGTTTGATCGTCGCACAAACTACACAAGATCATTGGCCGTGATGTCAATGGTTGGTTATATCCTTGGACTTGGTGACAGGTGCGTGGGAATGGTTAATATATTATGGTATCTAATCTAATCCTTTGTATATTATGAGCAGACTGCAGGAAATTGTAAGGAATAGATTTTTTCTTACTATCAATTTTGTCAATATTTTGGCTAACTGCTAATTAAATTCCTGTATTACCGGTCTGTCATATAGTTAAGGTTCTAAGTTGCAACTCCGAGTTTCCGAGTATTGCGATTATCTGGCATCAATTCGTAACAGTTAAATTTATCCCAAATAGAAAAACCCAAAAAAAATCCTTCAAATCCGGGGTGGACTGCCAGGTTTTTCGATTTGGCACCTACCTTCCCTGTCGGCATTGCCATAATTTTAACAAACATTTTGCATTATAATTGAGACTGCTCAACGGAGGTTATCACATATTTACGTCATCACTTTTTATGTATTACATGTCATTGGATATACTGTTCTTGGAAGACTCGCTCAACCGCTATTCTCAGAAATATATTGTGTTATACTACGTTTGCACTATGCTTGTCTTTTAGAGACCCTTTTTTCGTTTATCATCTTTGTTGCCTTATTTGTTAACCAGAAACCGAATCCCACCCTTGAAAGATTTGGTTCGACCGTTGCAATTTTGGTTTTTTGACTAAACAAACATTCTTTTCTCTTACTTTATAACTCTTAATGAATTCGTAAGATTCAGAAGAGATCATTTCCATAGATCTACCTTCTTTGAAATCTTTGACAGGCACCCTTCAAATCTCATGCTGGATAGAATGTCTGGCAAGATTCTACACATTGACTTTGGTGACTGTTTTGAGGTTAGTGTCATTGAAATTATCCTTTTAACCAAAATTTAAGATCTTTCTGTTCTTCATTCACGTCTTCGTTTGATTTTTTTACTTTGGTACAGAAAAGTAGCTGAAGCGGTAAACAGGAGCTGAAGAGCAAAATAAAAAGCGCATTTTTGTCTTTGCTGTTTTCTGAAACTTCCTCTTGGATAGGCTATGATTGCCAAAAGGTACAGCAAACTTACATTGCCAAAGTTGAACCACCACACAGAGAAATGTTTAGAGGACGAGAGTCATTGATCTATTACAGAAATTTTCTGCTGCCTGGAAGGTACTTCTGGATGGCCTTAACTTCTGGGTGGGTTTAACTTTTGAGTGAATTTAAACGTGTGAAATATTGTTTTTAAAGTATCGTGGTATTATAATTTTTATTTCTTTCCTAAAGGTTGCAATGACCCGGGAGAAGTTCCCAGAAAAAATACCTTTCCGGCTGACCAGGATGCTAACTAATGCAATGGAGGTGACTGGAATCGACGGAAATTATCGCCTCACGTGCGAGAGTGTCATGAAGGTCTTGCGAGAAAACAAAGACAGTGTCATGGCTGTGCTGGAGGCATTTGTCTACGATCCATTATTGAACTGGAGACTTATGGACAGTAAGTTTCAATCTGCCAACTCCTCCTGTCTTATGACCATTTTGATATTTAGTGACGTTTATTACATTTGTCTACAGGTCTGACACTTGCCAATTTCCTTACATTATAGACCTTGAGTTAGAAATGACATGAAGGAAATAAGTATGGTTGGTCTGTATAGCTTACTTGCAGTGATAATTTGAACTTGTAAACTGCTAAGTGTGTTATAGGTTTAGATAACATTTAAGTTTTAGACCGAAATATGGCAAAGAAAATCATGGTTGCGTAGTCTTATAAGTACAGTCCATCAAATACTTTTTTGGTTTTACGTATGATGAGATATTTTTCACCGATGTCCATGTCATGTTATATAGTTATCAAGTGTGGTAAAAACATAAGTATAACATGTAGTGCAACTCATCATTCCCAAAGTTTCTCTACATTTACAAAGAAGCTCATAGCTGTCAAGTTTTTTTTTATTTTTTGTCTGTTGGACTTGGATGTTTAAGCTCAGTTGGGTTGCTGCGAGGCTTAATCCAGCTCAGTTTAGTTTGCACAACTGAGAAGTGGCTTACCGTTCTTCTTTGAACTGAACAGCTGATGGATTATCATGGATTATTCGCGAAACAGCAAATCACAATCACTGTGTAGTGTTTGTTGAAATTAGTAATTAAGAATTTAATGAATTGCTTCAAAAAACAACTAGTCATCAGATGTTTTTACAGAGAAGTATGGTTATTGTGCTAAAAATTCTTCAAGCATGAAATTATGTATGGGTTCTGCATTTGTATGGAGTGGGGGGTGTCCTTCACTAAATAGCAGCTCGAGCCGAATTTTGAACATATACATAAACTATATACATACATATAGACTGCCAAATATATACATAAACTGCCACTAAGAATGTATCAGAATATTATATACCTAATAATTCAGAATAAACACTTATTTAAATTTGAACCTAAAAAGGGGACCAAGAATATCTTGAAATCTTTTTCATGCTAAACTTATTCAGGAATGTTGTTTAATCAATTACTAACATCAATTATCTTCATCAGCTTCATGCCTTCAATATGTTCCTGTATTGAAACTGTACCCCTAGGCTTTTGACCTACCCTAACTATTCTTGATAAGGCTGAACCCCTTCTCTTGAATTGCTGATTATGTTTCAAGGCATCCAACTTGCAAAGCATTTCTTTTTGTTTCCCAGCTGATTCTTTTCTACTTTGTTGTCAAGTTAAGTCGATGTTTGCGAAAAACCTCAAGCTTTTGATAAACAATGTTGTATTTGACTTTACTATCGCTTCTCTTTTCAGCACCAAAAGGAAAGCGATCTAAAGGAAGATCGGAATCTTATTCTTCTCACAGTGAAACTAACGGTAAGGAATTTCAGAGTTAACCTTTAGACAAATATTTGTTTTTTGACACTGGCTGGTGAGAAGATAATTGTATTATTGGGGGCTTCAACTTTGACAAGCGTTCATTTTTAAACAGCCTCGTTCAAAATAGTTTTCCCACATACAAAAGAGCCCTTTATTTCCGATTTCATTAGGTATCCTTAAATCAAATTTTCGGTGAATATAAAAATCATTTTGAAAATTGAGATTTCAAAACGTTTAGTATTAGCGAATTTAACATCCAATGCAACCTCAAAAAAGCCAATGCCTAGATCTTGAAACACCATGGACAGGGACAAGGAAGATTTACACGATGCACTTTTTTCTCAATTTGCACCTGCGGCACAAGTTCTTTTTTGGAAGAGATATTTCCCCCAATAAATGATTGAAAGCCGCTATGTATCCCATGGTAACGTGCGGAGAGAAAGTTGTCGAAATAAGCATGTCAAACTGTTAACCAATCAGGCGACATAGATCGTGTGTAATACTTATTACATATTTTGTCTTTTCTAAAGCAATAAACAGTCAACTCCGCTTTAAGTCACTCCTCTTAAAGTCACACTACTGATAACAGTCACATGAAATTTAGACCCAAATTCATAAAACTATAAATATTACTCCATTTTCAGTCACACTCCGCTTACTGTCACAAATTTTCAAGCAATCTTTGGTGTGACTATTACCTTGAGTCTACTATATATACATTGAAGTACATCAGAAAGCTCTAGGTGCACATTATCCTTATCTCCTCCAAATCCAGTTGAAGTACATCAGAAAAGCTCTAGGTGCACATTATCCTTATCTCCTCCAAATCCAGCATTTTAGTTCCTAGTTGTATACTGCACCACATCCAGCATTTTGGTTTCTTTGAGATTTCATAGCTGTACTTCAAAAAATCGCTCAGAAAACAAGCATGCAAATTTTCTTAATCTCCGAATTCCTTATGAAGTTCAGTTATGTAAACGACTATCGTGCTATTTGTTAAAAAATTAGATGCTCCTTGATAGCTATTCGTTTTTAAACTATCTGAATGTCTGAAGAAATTTTCCATTTTGTAATTTAGCCATATCGAGATAGAAATTGCCCTGTTCGTACTCTTAACGTAATTGTACAAAGTTTAGAGCTTTTAAAGTCGTCAATTCCTTTACCTAACTTCGAAGTTGAAAGTACGGGTTTACTCCTATTTTTACTCGGTTGTTTTACAATGTTGTTGTATGCAAACAATCTTTTGGTGGTACAAAACTTGAAAATGGCTTTGAAAAAAGCAAACATTTAGTAAACTAAAGCTTTTCGTCTGATACTCTTTAGAGTTTAAAACGTCAGAACGTAGATCGAAAACTCTACGCTAGGAAATATATACAAAAGTACTGTGTAGACAAAAGAAGTTCGTTTTCACCTTAGGACTCCATTGGTAACATTCTCAATAGGCAAACGGCACTGATTGGTCAACCTTTACAGTCATGTGCTCGTGTTTCTGATTGCCCTATTTCGATCCACAACTGGGTATATATATTTCCTAGCGTAGAGTTTTCGATCTATGTTCTGACGTTTTAAACTATGAAGAGTGTCAAACGAAAAGCTTTAGTTTACTAAATGTTTGCTTTTTTCAAAGCCATTTTCAATGTTGTTGTCAATATAAAAATTCTTCTATAGTTAAAACACTAAACCCTCTCTGTTAGCAGCCTCTTTTATCACACAAAGCCTCGTTCTGGTGCTTTCGGCTTCTATGCAGTCATTTTAAGTACTGCTTGTAAAGCGCCCTCAACTCAACTGTTCATATTTTTTGCGCTTAGTAATGTTTCCGTCACTGGATTTTCGTGAAAATCTTCGCATGCCGTCGGCTCTTAATGGGAAACTTCTTACACACGAACTTTCCTGTCTTTGCAAGTTGTAAATTTCGGTGGCTGTGAAGTACCTCTTGATTTATGGCATTCAATGGAAGTGATCTCTTGAGACATCTAGAGCAGCATTGTGTGCCGATTACCAATGCCATTAAACTGAGCAATGCGGCATCCTCCCGCAGCGTTTTCATAGCCCCTTTGAAGTTATAAGCAACCTTAGAATGAATGACTGCATTTTGCAAAGTGTTGCTATTTTTTATATACACAAACTCAATCTTTAATCGTGATATAAATAACTTTACATACCATTTTGTGCTTTTAAAATGGATGAATAGTTAGTTATACACCATATAAGTGTACAATTATCAAAGCAAGGTTTTGGGAGCTCTGTTGAAACTATTCACTGTTTGGTTTGAGAGAAAGAGTATTATATGTGTATTCCCTTAAATGGTAGTATTAACGCTTCTGGAGCAATTTCACACAGCTGAGAATATAAACGATCTTTCTCAGTATCTCCCTTTGAACTGATTATGAGAGAGTATTTGGTGATTTCTGAGTAACTTAACCGTCTAACTATAGGGGACCTTAATGAAATCTAAAAGTCATGCGTAAGATAATGAAGGGACGAAATAATGACGCTATCTTAAGTGTATTGAAATAGATGTGATGTATACGCTGTTTTACTTCAGCTTTTCTGTTTTGTAGATATATTGGAAAGCTTTGAAATGACAAGGGATCGGCCTCGGAAGCAACAGAAGGAAGTTAATTCGGACCAGCCACGTGTTTCGGGTAATTTCTCAATAGGCTTTAATTCATCACATGATAATAACCTTGCTTTAAGTTTTTATCCCCTTTTTTTAACTCTTCATAAACGCATCACAATTAGTTCCCCCAAAATTAGTGTCAAGCTTCAGGAGAACTCGCAAAACAGAGCCATTTCGCCTGCATGCTAATACTCGTCTCTATTCAACGAAGACCTAAAGATGACAATGCTTTATACCCGGATTTTTATGGAAATAAACCAACATGACAAGATCCTTCTGATTTGCTTTATGTAGCCAGCTAGTGTCCTCTGATCGATAACGTAAATGAGAGACCATTATAGCAAATTGTTTTCCTTCTTTTTTGTTCTTGTGCGGACAAAAATCCTGTTTTTAATTTTAGTATCACCTCCAGTGCTAAACAAAATACCGGCACGCCGAGGCTTACTACCGATATTGGTTGCTCACTACCATAGGAGGTTGCCAACTCGTGAAGAGTCGCCCCCTTTCCTATTCCAAATCGTGCTCCGGTATCTCTGAAATAGCTGACCCTCTATATAGCTAGAATGCCCACTAACTGGTACCGAGTTTTCAGTACCATCCGGGATCTTCCTTAATTTCTTCGCCTCTTTTCTCATATTTTCTTGCATTGTTTTGAATTATATGGTTTCATTGAAGGATGCTTTCGTAATCTTTTTTGTTTGCCATGTAACTTCATTGTGTTTCAATTACAGCCCTCAGAGAACCATTCTGCTCATGTTAAATGAATTTCGCAATAAATTGCCTATTAATTTCCCTGCTTGTGATAAATTGTTGGTATAGATTAAATAGGCAGTAAGAGATGAATTGGAGGGCAGGTTGCGATAGAAAGTGCTAAACGAAATGCTCATAAAATCACAGTAAGCTAACTTAGTATCGAAAATGTGACTCTATTTTATTTCCATTGGCATGTCGCCTCGTAGTGGCTGATTAATTTTTGAAATGAGACTATGTTGGAGATAACTCGATACAAGAAGCTTCTGTCAAATTTTAATCCAATCAAGTGATGTGTTTCAAACATAATTCGAAAATAGCTCATATCGCGATCATTGGTTTACAGTTTTGAGTGGATAAAGCATAATTTCATCCTGATTATCTCGGGATTTATACCATATTTCCTATTGCTTATAACCCAGTAGGACATTTGTAGTCTATATATCCGCATCGTTGCAATTGCTAATCAGACGTAAGAGAGAAAACAGGCTGTATCAGGATTTCGTAACACTCTTTCAGATATCCTATAGATATTCTCTTTAGATCCTGTAGATAGCGGCAGTTTATCCAATTGTATCCATTGCTTTTATCAGTTTCAAATATTCAGGTTATAAACGCTTTTTAGATTTAGCATGTACGGAAAATTTTAATCTGTTTAGATGACGATGACAACACTAAGCCAGAAGCTCTTAACAAGAAAGCCCTTCAGATTGTCAAACGGGTTAAAGATAAATTGACAGGCAAGTAATCTAGCATGCACAGCTTTCTATCGCCATCTTTCGATTTATGACATAAATTGTTTTATGATACTTTGTTCTCTGGTAAGGTGCTCTTTGATACGGTAAAACATTTTAAGCCTTAACGGATTCATGCAGCAATGATTCTGCTAATTTCTATCCTCTTTATCTCTATTCACGTAGACTCCCTTTTTATCAGTAAATGTCCATGATGAATCATTATCGATTTCCGAACCGTTAAAACGTATCATGTGCCTATGAACAGACTGGATTTCCGATGCAAAGATGGATATATGTTTCTGCCCTGCCCGTGTCCGAAAACAACATACTCAAAAGCAAGCAAGGATTGTCAGACCTTGATGTTATCAGACTTCATGCGCCACTGTCATTCTACAATTCCACAAACCTTTGACCTAATCTATAATATTCTCGACTCGACTATAACTGAATATTGACCATTTGTAAAAAGTGATTTCCACATAAAATGTGATACACTCCCCAGTCTCATTGGGGCTACTTTAAAAAGAATATTCGTTGTTGTTTTCAAAGTAAACACAAGATAACGGCTCAAGATTTCTGAAATGGCCTTTGAAAATACAGTATGCCCTTTTGCTTGATAATATCCTATTTGCTCCACCGCCCCCCCCCCCCCCCCCCTCCTACTCTGAAAAGCCCTACCAAATTGGTTGTTTACAACACTAGTATGAACAGTTTTGTCGTTTTCAACCGTTCTTGTCAAGTAAAGTCTGTTTTTGGAAAAATAGGTTTGGATGTAGTACGTGTAGGAGATTATAGTGTAAATGGTAGCTAGTGTAAATGTATCTATTTTAAGGCAACGTTGTTTTGTGCAGGTTGTGATTTCAGCAGTGATGGCTCAATCGATGTAAAGCCTCAAGTGGATTTGCTGATTAAACAAGCCACGTCACATGAGAATCTCTGCCAGTGCTACATCGGATGGTAATATTTCGATTTATTGTCTCTTTTTGATTTGATTATATATAACACCTGCACTTTGTGTTCAATAACCATCAAAATTGTCTGCCATGCAATAGAAACTTGGACCCCGTTTACACGGGAGGAACGGGATCGATCCTAAATTATCAAATTGGATAATTTATTAGCCTCGTTTCCTATCCGTGCCAATTTGGGATCGATCCCACTTTTTCGAGCGTTTACACAAGACGGGTTCGATCCCAAAATGGAACGCTTTCTAAAGCGAACCCAAATTAGCACGGATAGTGGATCGATCCCTAACGTTCCCGTGTAAAGGGAAGGCCGATCCGTACCAGTTTTGGATCGATCCCGGCCATGATCGATCGCCTTTAAACCGGCCTTAGGCTGTTCTTTTCAAGCTTTCAGAAGTAGCAATTTGCTTCTTTCAATTTCTGAAGGCAAAGACTTTATTGAAATTACTCAGATTTAATTCTAGACTCCTTTCTGGTTATTGCATTAAAACGTGATCAAACAAGGGTTTGCTCATGTTGTTGGGCAAGATAAAATCTGGATGATATCAGATCATATCTGCCTGATTTTGAAGCCATGCTTTGCGGCAAAAGATTTGGAGTCTTGAAGCTTAACACAAATTTCTTTATACTTTATGATTCATCTTCTACCTAGTATTTCTCCAGTCCTTTAAAATTCTCAATTCCATGGATAAACAATATTTGTTGTAAGAAATTGGTCTTTCTCGTCTTCTGTTATAAATCTAGCCTCAATGAAAAGTCAGGTTTATGAATTAAATGCAATTAGACATTATCTCCAAGACAAATATCTACCTAACAGTTAATGTCGCTATTGAGATATACCTTGGTTTCATCAATAGCTCCATGTATTCAATTTATGTTTCAGGTGTCCATTTTGGTAGATTAGCCTTCGTAAAAGGCTGGATGAATAATTCACAAGGAGAACATCAAATCTGTTATTTTGTAATTATCTTTTCCAGTGTAGAATTTATAGCCCTTGGTATTGAATTATTGAATATGGTGAAATCTGATTAATTTTCTTTCCAAATTTAATCCCAGTACTTGATCATATTTCCTTCGCTTCTCATCAAAATTTTTCATTCCATCAAATAATAAATTTGTAATCCAATACAATGATTAGGTTGTTGAAGTCTGATGTTAATATTATGGCGTGATTATTATTGCGCACTGAAGATTTTTGTTTATAAAAGAGAGCTGGTAAAGATACAGTTATAATTCATTCCAGATGTTATATCAGATAATCTCTTGTAATACTACAAATTCTTAGTCTAGAGCTATGCTATAGATAGTTAAATTGAAATTACCAGGATTTTTACACAAATTGCTATAAACCCTGGAAATTGTATACGCAATTGTATACGCGTCTCTATCATTGAAAATTATGATGATGATTTTCTTCATTTTATATTTTCATGCAATTTGTCTAGGACGTTATTTTCATGAATAAACATTTAAGTCAAAGATCATACAAATACTTACATTTTGAAAGGCAAGAGCCCTGTTAACCTGGTTTCGCCCTAGGTGCGTTTCAGTTGAAACTGTCGATTTGTAGTGTAAATTTGAATCAAGGGCGAAGCAGGGTTAGTTTGATAACGACGCATGCGTAACACACACAAAATTAAAGGTGAGGATAGACAAAATGGCGGCGATCAACGTGTTATTGTTTGTGAACTTTACAGAATACAATAAATTGACTTTAAAACAATTATTCCGAGCGCGGCTTCGTACAATGAGAAAACTTTGCATTCGCGCTTTGCTTTGTTTTGCATTCAGCGCCATTTCTGTCATTACGCATGCGTCCTGAAGAAACTAACCTAGGTTCGCCCCAGGTTTGCGTTTACACCACACTTTATCAAAACTAACCCAGGTTCGACCTAGGGCGAACCCACCTTTCCAGACGGGTTAACTTAACCTCGTGCGAACCTGGGTTAGTTGTCATTTTTTGTGATTTTTAGAACCCGTGAGTATTTTGAATTAGTTACGTATTGTGACTAAATGGTTGATTTGCTTGAGTTGGCTATCTTATATTTGTCCTACCGCCAACCTGAAGTTATAGCCTATACTGATTTTATATACTGATTTGATGTCAAAAAATGCTATGGCCAGCCTTGTATCACTGGAAGTAAGTCTCGCTTCTTACATTAATGACGTCATTAGTTGTGAATTTGTTGTTTGATGATAACAATAAGTTTCGATTCAGTTTCAATTTGTTTTTTAATGGATTAGCTGTCTGTCATCCCCACGATGTGGTTTAAACCTTGTTGTCTTTCATTTAAACTTAAATTGTCTTTTCATGTTTACCGTCAATGAAGGACCATAATTCAGCATAATTTCATCTGCAGCCAAAAAATGTTCTGCTTCTCTTCCTGTAGATGGTTAGTCAATCTTCGTCCTCTTCGTCATCAAGTCCGTCTTTAACCAAAAACCCGTTAGTCGAAAATAAGGTTGCCTTTCTACGTAGGTTGTTGATGCTGCTCTTCCGGAAAGTTGAACCGCTTCCTTTGCTAGCGTCCTTCTCTGCCGTGAGCAAGGCACTTTCTCGTAGTCGGTCTTGATATGGTCCGTTAGATGCTATTGAACGACTAAGCAGTGTCTTATCCATGTATTGTTGGTTAGTGATATGGTATAGACCCTGGTTTTGCAGGCTCGAAAACTGTATTCCACTGAAACCCGTAGTGCCAAGACAAGGAAGAGTTTTCGTACAGCTGTGCCCGAAGTCGCACAATCTGTCTGTGCCATAGGAGTAGGAGGGTGCCTTCTGATAAACTTGCAAGGGAGACAATGGTGCCCACTGCATGCATCCCGGTAGAGTTGCATGATGACTGAGCTGGGAATGAGTAAAATATTGCGAAGGAGAGCATGTTTTTTGGTGCTTTCTGTGTTTGGCTCGACGATTCTTGAACCAAACCTGTGAAAATTGTTTAATAATGATTGCTTTAAGAATAGATTTGCTAAAAGCAGTTTTCAACCCCACTTTTGTAATGTATGGTATAATCTTCTTCGAGATTGATGTATTAAAGCAAGGGAGGAACAAAGCAAGCCCTCCCTCATGACAATAAAGATGTCATTAAAATGCTAGTTCCTAAAACTAATAGTCAAATATAGTGTCGTGTCCACTGTTTAAAAGGAAACTATTAAGGCAAGCGAAATCCAAGTACAACCTTGCCAACCTAAAAAAATTTGCAAATCGGCTGGGAATGAGTAAAAGTTCTGGGAAGCTATAAAGATCTTGGAATGAGTAAAATTTCCTAACAGATTGCAGTGTTACAGCCATTGCCTAGAAACAATGCCTTCACAAGACTTTAGTCGCGGAGTATTGCATGATGAAGAAGAAAAATAGATGTGGGCATTAGAAATTGAAAGGTCACAGAGCGCACCACCCCTGCCCCCAAATAGTTACGGGCCTGATGAAGAGGAAATTGACACCAGGGCCTATTATTTCATCGATGATTAAGAAGGTTGTCAGCTGGGGCAAATGTTTGCTGAGTCCCGTAAAGGACCGTTGGTTGTGAGTGTTATCATCAAGATTCCATAGCCGTTGAAATAAGTACTATGAAATTTCAGATATAGAAATTTACGTCAGATGTGAGCGCTTGGTGTAGCTTCAAGTAGATTTAAACGACCCCGCTTGGGTGCTTTTAATCTTGAAAGCCTGAAATAACTTTTCCTGGTCATTTTGATACAAAAATGATGTTGCTCCGGGAAATATGCATTGTGCATAAGAGAAAACTCTCCTGTCAGGGATAAAGAAAATGCCCTCCAAACAATTATGTAACTGATTATCCTTTGAAATCAAAGTACATGTTATAATGTCCCATGAAAGTTCTTGAATAACTCTACACACACTAGGGAATATGCTTTTATTGTCTTTTGGGCCCAAAAGATCTCTCTAGGGTGAAATAATCTTTGTGAGTTGATCGATTGTGATGGTAGCATCATTTTAGAAACATTTTAATTAAAGCACGAGGAAGGTATTCAAGAAGCAATACCATTAACTTCAAGTTTCATAAAGATGGAAATAAACCTGTAGTTCAAGTTTGCACATATGCAACTTAAGTTTTTTCTTACTACTCTGCCTTACTTTTGAACACACGGCAGTTTTCAAGTTCCTCAACTGGATGTAGTATTATGTCTCCCGTATCTCTGGAGGATGTGCCGTGAAGTTCGAAACAATTTCAGCATCCAGCTGGTATCAGGTAATGCCTGTGGTAAGTGAAAATCTGTTCAAAGCTACTTAACTTCGTGAGAGACGTACTATATCTTCTTATTTTAAAAGAGCGGCTTTGCTTTCAAAGGAAAACGGTCGCATACCTGCACAGAGAGTCTGAGAGAGTGAAGGGGCAGAGATATATACGAGGATGCAAGCAAGATTTAGAAATTGATGTGGATTTTTAGCGGTTAATTTATAGAGCAAAGCTGCAAGACGTCTGTTTTATAAAGGCTTCAAAACCTGTCTGACTACTTTTTAAGCAATTCATAAAATTGACTGAAGATAATTTTCATCTTCTATGATAAATTATACATTTTATAAGAAAGATGTAAAAAGCAGGGCCGCGTTGTCCAAGTCTCGCCTTTTCTCTGACATTTATGTGCCTTTTATCTCACTAAGGACAAATTCATCATCTGAATGATGTCATCTGAATGACAACAAACCGAAGCTGCCGTAATACATCTCCATTTTATTTTTACTTGGAAATTTTGCATAAGTTTTCAAGGGATTGGTAGGTACCGGGCTACGAAGAAAGCAGGGACTCTCCCAAAAAGTATCTATAAAATTGTTAGCAGAGGTAAATATTTTAGCACGGAAATACACCACGGCCTTTCCTGGTGTAAGCTTCCAAACAATAAAAATTATACATTAAAAGAGGTATACCTGAATCCTTGCCTCAGGTAGGCCCGTGTATGCGGCCAGTTGTTCCCGCATCACAACGTCCGGGTAATGGTTTGCCTCGAACGCGTGTTCCAGTGCCGCGAGTTGCTGGTGCGAGAATGCTGTTCTCACTCTTCGATGTTTTCTGCTATGCGTGTGATATCGGGCTTCAAAAATTACATCTGATAATAAAAAGTAGATCCAGACATCAGTGCTAACAAACATAAATTTTACAGTACATCGTGAAATTTTTCTGAGCTTTTTTCACCGTAAAATTTTGTAGAAGCCCTCACTCAATTCAAATGCACCTGCGACCTTTGAAAACAGTATTTTAGCACGTTGGTTTCATCGGATGTTCATAACATAGTATATTAATCATTATCCTGTTATGCTTGTTAGTTTTTTGTTGGTTATAATTTGCCTTGTAAAGCTATTTTGTCGATAAAAAATATAGTGAAAGTTAAAAGAATGCTTCAAAGTTAAAATAAAGGAATGAAAAAAGTGACGATTATGTACTTTATGTGACAAAGGATTTACAATAAATTTTCTGCTAATTCCATTAAATGCGAGGTGGCATGGCAGATGCGAGGTTCGCCACTCTCCAACACAGATTAGTTTCTCTGATGGTTCTGCCTAAAACCATCCTATCTGGCTGATATTTCGACAAGACCTTATTTCTGTCTGGTTTGTCTAACGTCGTGACAGTTTCTCTGTGACCTTCCAAACTTTTTTTAGGCTACAAGAAACATAAGCTCTTGCAAGACCTTTGACGTTAGTTCTTTTTTAGGACTTGGCAACAGCTAAACTCTTTTCTGAATTGTGTTGTGAGTCAGATTTACCTGCTTTACATGATTTCTCTTGAACATGCTGATAAATTATTTTCTGCTATTATAATTTCACCCCAACGTACAGCATATACTTCAAAAGTGCTACTATTTCTCCAACATAAGGTAGCACCGTCTTTCTGGATTATATACACTACAAATTCACATCAGGAGGGATGCCGCAAGCAAAGTTTGCAAGAAGCTGCTTATATTTAACAATTCAGTTTGAAATAATGATGGGAATATCCGTTAATTCTACACCTTTTCAGGACTCTTTAGGATGAAATGGCGCAGTTACTTAAATGCCACAACAAAGGGACGAGAGCTAAATGTATGGGCGTCTCAAACAATTCCAGGTCATTGTGTTGGAAAGTCGTCTAAGGATAGAAAGACTATGGTTGTGCTCGTGGTCGGCGAATTAGCAGCGCTGTCTTAAACTGTGGGACATCAAACAGAGTAGAATTGGGAATTTTCTTAAGGTTGACCCTGCAAACACATTTGTTAATCTAGCACTTTAGAAGCGCTTCACATTAAAAGTCTCAAATTGATGAGAGAAGCATTGAGCTTAATTCTCTGTTGATGAGCCAGATTTTAAGGAAGAAACTATTATGCCAAGCCAAAGGAAATATTCCAAAGTGCCGTAAACTTCCGAAGCTTACTCCTCCGGAATGATTTAAGCCTGTTCTCTTACAAGTTTTTCTCTGGATTCACGTGCATTGCTACCAGGATTGTAGATGAGCTTCCTTGAGCTCTAGCTAATGACGCAGCTTGTGTCATTTGAAACCTTATTTCAAATCACACGTTGGGCGCCAAATTTGTATAATAGTAGGTTCAGATAATAAACGATAATTGAAACAGAAACGATCTTCAGAGAAACTCATTAAAACTACACCCCTGGTTAAACCATTAAAATTTATGACGTTTACAAATTTATTATAATTAATGTTCTCTTTTTTCAAAGTTAACTGTCACATACAAAGACTCCATTTTGTTCATTTCATTTCAACATAAACTAAATCTTATTTCAAAGCATGAATGGAAAACAGCAATTTTTTGGCATGCATGCTATCGAACACTCATCTGACGGTAATCCCATTCCATTCTGAAGGGAAGACAATATCAGTTTTGTAATTCTCTGAAAAGCCTAAAATCTTTTGTATCTATAAATAATAAAAGGAGGCTTTGGACTTTCTGTGGTATGCTTTGCATTATTACGTAAATTTTACAAGCCTGAGTATCTTCCGCGTTAGTAAGCATTTCAGTTCTTTTGGAAAGTAACACCTCAACGTTGTAGACTTGAGCACCATTTTGAAATCCTTTCGAGAAACCTTAAAAAGCTACCCGTGGAATGATACCAAAAGATAGAATGCGAGGCTTGTTTGGAAACTAACCATATTTCTTTTTTAAAAGTATTTCTTTATATCAAAGAATGAAAAAGGAATCGATAATACAAGGGCCTGTTTTTTTCAGTCGATAATTATTACGAGCCAGATTATTGCTGTGTTTTTTAGATCCTTATGAAACATTTACCATTTCGAACTATTCTAAACGTTTGCAGTTTTTCCTATAAATTGCTTGTTTAATCTGCCCTTGAAAAAGTTAACTTACTACCTTGCGTCTATTTAAAAATCTTCCATTATTTTTCGTTATGCTTATATAAACCTTTCACTCTATCCAAGATTGCATTTTTTCTGCATTGTCAAAATTCAGCAGAAAGCTTTAGTCAATGTCATCTGAATGTACAACGGAAACTTATTGATTTTAAACAACTAAATTGACGATTAGTTCTCCACTATAAATGGTTTCATAAATATTTACCTAAAAACGTTGTTTCTGCAACTATATTTAGAGAAATCACGAATTCCAAAAACCGGTTAAACTTTCTCCTCAATTCTGCTCGAAGGTTGCTTGTCAAGATCAGAAGAAGTACACGATAACAAAGTGAGTAATTGCATTGACTTTTTTTTTTCGGCGAATACAAATATTTTCTTTTTCAAAAAATCTTCAATTCTTTTAATGAATTTTTTTATGTATATCGAAGATGTTTCGGCACACCATTAACTTGGTTTTTGAGCTCTAAGTTTTTAAAGTTTGTTATAATCATAATTATTTGTGTTTTCTTAATAAAAGAATTCTGTTTTCAACAACTCTTCAGTCTCAAAACCTCTACTTCTTGAATTTTTACATACTAAACCAATAGGACGTCGTCCACGTTGCTCATCAATTGCAATTACAGTTAACAGAAATATCACAGCGTGACTTTGCGAAAAGAGCTATGATAGACCTAAATGACTTACAGTTACTGGATCTATCAGAACTGTGAAATGCTTTAAAGATACCCAGCCAAAATGCGTGTGATGAGTTCTTTCTTTTTGATGTTACACTTTGAGAAATTTGCGTATAATTTTCATATCGTTTTTCGACAAAAACGCTTCTAATGTTTCTAAAAATGAGGAGCAAGTTCTAGCTAGAGACGTCTGGGCTACAAAGAGGCACAGATGCAGGTAGAAAAGGCCTTTTTCATAACTGTCATTCCATTTCGATCTATGCAGGCATTTAAAAATGCTTTAACATAAGAAAATCTCTAACACGTTTTGAAAAATGGCGTTTGAATAAGGCACTACAGCAGAATTTTATATCAATCTTTTTATCATTACAGAAGGCTTATGTTAAGGGCACTTTTTTGAAATGGGGAATTTTGGCCCCCTCTTCCCCTTCTATCGAAAGTTGGTATTCCCCCATACTCCTCCTCTGTAGCTTTCCGGTTTCTAGCATGCTGTCAAAGCATAGGCACTGAAGAAAGTTGAAAATTAGATATAATTGCCCAGTGAATTCTTTGTCGCGTAGCTTTACACTATACTTTGAAGGGCTTGCAGGCTGTTATTTTCATTAATTGTTTTTGTATTTGTGCCCTAATCATTACAGGAAAAAGCTGGAACCTTTATATCAAAGAATCTAAGCAGGGTTTTTTAAGGAAAATTTAGAGTGGCACATTGTTTTGGGAAGTACTGTGTTGAAAGAATAATTCTAGTATAGACAAAATGTTTCTGATACACAAGTACAGGTAGACACTGGAATTATGCATATTTCATTGCCGTTCCTTTGCAAGGACGGCGGGCGATATTGCAGGGGCTAAAACATTTCGGGAGACTAAACTTATAAAATCGAAAAGCAAAGTAATTGTTTGTATGTGTTTGAGCACATTTTGGAAAGTGTTGGGGGGCTAAAGCCCCCTTAAACCCATAGACGGGCGAATTCGATGACATCAAAGCAGGAAGCTGTCCCTGTCCAAACGTATGCACAAATAATAATTGCACAATCAATTGAGAATTTCGTCGACTGTCTGTGTCGTTTGAACATATAATTGTAGAATTCAAGCTTAAACTTATGAAATGACTTATTTTTGGCTCTGATTTTTGATATTTTTTTATTTAAAAGCTTAAACAGGTTTCTGCCTTGATGCTATAAATATCGAGGTTTTTACATGCGTGACTCAAAAACTAAAATGTTATTAAAGTTTGTTGCATACTATATCTCCTTATTAACTAATGTGATTTTACCTACAACTTTCTCAAAAGGTGTTGTTTAATTTGAGAACCAAATTTTTGCTAACTTTTATTTGTCACAATAATGAACCTCTTGTTTATTTTTTCTGCCTTGTTTGTTTTTGTATGTCTTTTTGCAACAATGCTCTTGACCCTTTTTTGCAATAATGTAAACACTTTAGGTGCACAAAAAGTTTTTAGAACTGCAAATTTTGTGTAGAACTGCACGTTAAAAAACTCTGAATCTAAAGTAAACTAGACGAAGTTATTTTCAGTTTTTTGGCCTTTTTCATGATCTCTACCGATTAGTAGTCCGAGATCTTTGAATTTCTTGACTAAAAAACGAAGTAGTAATTTTAAAGATGGTTTGATTCTGTATTGTTAAAAGCTAGTTTCCGAAGGTAGTTTTTGATAAACTGAGAAGCTGTGCTTATCTAGAAATGCCCTGATCCTTTCTACTGATGTGGCCATACCTATGATTCCTTCACTTAGAGTTACCGAGAGCTGGCATGCTCCTCACGCAAGGTATAAGTTTTGTCATGGATCTAACCTAGACCCTTGAATCTGTAGTCTGCGACAGAAAATATTGTGTTTTATTATTTTCAAGAAAAAGGTTCTTATATCATCGATTCTAGATTAGGGGCGTGCAAATCTGTATCCTATCCTTGGAGTTTAGTTGAAAATTTGGCTTCTACCTTCATGGACACGTTGGTTATCTGTGTTTGCAAAGGGCTTGAAAATGGTAAGAAATCCAAAAGCTAAGCTACATCAATTCCCATATTGATATCGCATAAAAGCCAAGCATTTTTTAGCGTTTGCTTTTTTGAGGGGGCCGGTCTCTAAATCTAACGAATATTCATTTGAAAAAGAACATTTTCAGGAATTTAGTGCTTTATTATTATGGATTTTGCCATTTTTTGCTATGCTTGCATATCTTAAATGACGCAAATACATGAAGCTCCTATTTTGAAGCGAAGCATTTTGACTCTTTGGTATCTTGTTAACTGTTATGTTTTTTATCATTATTTCTATTTCTAACGTCTATTTTGTTGCAAGTTTCTACTACACTCTTTTTTATAAGAACCATTAAATTCAAGTTCAGGCTGACTGTTCTTAATTTTTTTGAAAATCTGAGGCTAGATTGTTTTTAATTTGCTTTTAAACTGATAGGGTGTAAGCAATGCAATTGCTAGCTTTTTCGCTCTAGGGAGGTGTTCAGGCCTCATTTGCCAACAAAGTGAGTGAGACAACCTTCATTTGCCGACAAGTTTGAATATCACCTAAAAAGCATCCACACATGGCTGAAAATCCTCATTTTTGAGATAAGATGTGTTCAAAATGTGTTCATAAGCTTGTTCTTAGTTTGTTCATTAATATTTACCATTTTTGAGGCTCGCGTTCTTATAAAAAAACTGTATTTTCATTTCAAGCAACTTGCTGACATTCTAGTAAAATGTAATAGTTGTCGTTTGTAATAATGGGTAGATCTTATAAAAGATTTTTTGAATTAAATACGAGCCCACGTAATATACCATTAATCGCAAATAAAAATTTGCTTTGTGAATATTCTCGAGAAGGGAAAAGAATTGCTTAAGTAGTATCATGAATCACAGTCTTTTCATTACAGTTTTTCAGTCTATTCTTTCTTCAAAACAAAAATCATCCCAAGAAATGTATCTGGTATAAATTTAAACTTCGTACTTGTATCCTTTTTAATCTCAAGACCCCATCTTCCTTAAGAGCATACAGTACCTCCTTTCGATAGGTAAATGCCCTTTTGAAGGTTGCAAATGAAAGTTTTCTCATTTCCGGTTCAGTATCAAATAAGGATTGAATAAACAAGCTCAATTGCATTTTATTCTAATACCATTAGTGCGATAGGAAAATCGACCCAAACACTGATTTAAGTCGATTATCTAGCAAAATAAAGTTAAGTTCAATTTTTCTAGAAGGAGCCTTTGAGTACTCACGAGATTCCTTAAATTCAATACCTCGAAAAATGCACATGTTAAAAAGGTATTATTTTCTTTGTTAGCGTAGATCGGCAAAGGAGAATGCTCTCACCAGACTTCATCATAAAGGGGATTCAATGAATTGTAAGGAAAACCTATAGAGAGTTCTAAACGCATACTAAATAGAAATTCAGTCGGTGTATTTTTGTATTAAGAAGGCAATATTTTATATCTTTTCCTTTAGATGTTCAAAATTATCTTCAAAAACAACAAAATCACCGCTTCTTGTTGATATTAAAAATTTTCAATCCAATGCAAAAAAAGCTCTTCTCTGGGCAAAAAACAAAACTCGTTACTGAAAGCTAAAACATTAAAGAAGCTTCAATCTCGTTAAGGGACATTATGTCGTCGTTTGTGCCTAACAAAAATTCTTGACAAGCTGAACAAGAAATATTTCTAGCATGGGGTATCTAACGCATTAATGCAAGGTTTCTCTAATGTTTTCACCTGTAATCTGAGAGAATATTTATTTTATATTTACCTGCTAGTCTTTCAGCAAGATTCAGTGCTTGAGAGTTTCGATCACGCTTTGCCGAAGCACCAATTACATGATTTGTTGATGCGGCGGTGCTTCCGTTTTCTCGATGCAAACTTTCAGGGAATCTTCTCGTGTGTTTCTGATTTTCTGAAGCACTGTCCTTCTGAAGCAAGTGGTTCACCGTGAATAATTTGCATGAACCTTTTTTATCTTTTGCAGACATAGCAGTGCTTTTCTTGAGAAAAATGTTCTCCAAGAGAATTTATACCCAATAGGTTACACTTTAGCTTCTCTGTCGCTACCCTAGAGCCTATCTCTCTCTGTCTCAATCAAGTTCTCTTTCTCCAGGGTTCAAAGTTGCCTCCCTTCACTGTCTTGATGAAATGATTTCTCCTATCTTTATAGACAAGAGCCTTGTGTAGATATTTCTTAGAGATTCTGAGGCAGTTTTTCCATTAACTCTGATCTTATCTTCTAATCTTCTTTCTTGATAGTCATCATTAGCTTGGCCAACCAAAGCATAGCAACCTTAGCACCCTTGATTTTTTGTTTGGAGATTCGTCACAGTTGTCACAGCCAACAGCAGTGCATGGTCATTCGGCAATGCAGTGGTTACTGAACTTCCATGAACATTTGTACACCGTCATATACGCGCGCTGACTTAGCCAGATTTCCGACAGCACAGTGGTGTTAGCTACAGGAGTAAATCGCTGTCGGCTTATGTCACCTTCTCGAATGGGTTGGGAGGGTTGAAAAGCTATCTTTCTTACTGTTGCAGTGTATTCTTATTGTAGCTTCTGTCAACAATTTTTATCACGTAATTAAAGAAATGATTTTTATAAGGAGATTAAGATGGAAACAAACACTTCTGGATTAACGCTTTTGCCTGCTTGACATAAATAAAACGATGTGAAAAAATATTTTTCCTCCAAAAGTTTTTCCGTCACCGACCTGTCATCATTTGAAAATTGGAAGACGATTGTGGGTTAAAGTGACTCACAAGATTAAGTACATGAATTATTATTCAGAGAGTTCTTTCAATGGAAAACGGACACAGAATATACTGATTTCTTTAAATCATATTTGATCGAATTAGCATTGTCGTTTATCAATAGAGTCAGAGCATTGATCTAGAACTTTAGTGTGCCTTTTTTGATAAAGTGCTATTTCAAGATATGGTTCATTATTCATTTTCCCGATAAATCAACAAAATATGACATTTCCTGAAGATTGAGTTTCGAAGACATATATGTCGATGTGAAGTATAATTTGCGCAAAAAAATGCGTAGATCTGTGTAAATCAGTGGTGTAGATGAGAAATTATTGATTATCGTAAGCAGGCACCGCGCACTATTCTAAAAGTGTGTGGGCTGAAAAGAGCGTGGCCGAGAATGTTTTGAGGTTACGCCCTTTAGAACGCCGGAAAACGCCCCTTATAGAAAATACTTGCTCTTTTCCACTTTTTTATGAACAGTCTATTTCAGAGAAGATAGCAATTACTATAAAGATAGATTTAACAAGATAAGACACCAAGAAAATAAACAAAAAGGGTTCCTAGTCAAAACGAACTGCTACTACTACTTGGGATCCGATAGATAGAGTAAGCATTCCAAAGTTGTGTTAGAGTAAACTTTCTGAAAATGTCTAACCTATTATTGCAAAAAGTGGAGGGGCTATAGCCCCTGCTAGCCCCATGGCTGCGCGGTGCCTGATCGTAAGCCTTTTTAATGCATGTATATCGGTTTTAGCCATTGAGATGATAGCAATATGTACACGATGATCGACCCAATCAGCTTGTAAATGACGAGGACTTCCTGTACACTGCCTCGTTTCAGGGCCCTTGATCTTCATGTGCATTGTGGTTCTTCAAAACATTGCAAAAAGGCAAGGCAGTCATCCCAGAGTAAGTTTTCCTTTTTTTTCAAAGTTGAAGCTAGATGGAAGGGTAAGATACCTGTCTTTTCATGCATTGATCAGGAGTTTTACTTGCCGGTCAGTTTCGAAGACATTTGTATGCATGAAACGTGAAATAATTCTCGTTTGAGACCATGTTTTACCCATTTTACTACTGTGTTTGGCAATGAATCGAAGATTGTTTTGCATGTTTATGACTTCTATAAAGCACTATTGTTCTCGCTAATTATTTTTCTCTTTGGTTTTGTCAACAACGTTCTACCACTTTATGTTTTTGACAATACTTCAGAATTGTTGATGGACAAATTTTCAACTGTAGTTCTAAAGTTGTATTGTTCTAGAATTAATAAGGGGCCCCGCGAAGGAATTAAGCATATCATATTGGCTAACAACGCTCCTATTTGACAGTCTATATATGGCCAGCCCAAGCAGGCCTAGGTATGCACGCTTGAAAGCAATTGCATTTTCTGAGATGCGTGACCAGGGATGCCGGAGAGGGGAGGCGCGTGGGGTCAACCGCCCCTGTTGCCTTCTGATAAAAATGGAAAGGGGGGCCAAAGTGCCCTTTTCATAGAAGTTCTCTTGAAGCCAACCTTACCGAAGATACCGACAGAAGATCGAAACAAAATGACAGTTATGAAAGAGCTGTGGATTATTTTTTTTATCAAGCCTGCCCCTTGCCCCTTGGTCGTTCCGGTGTCCCTGTGCATGGCCCTCTTCACTTTTTAAAAAACAAGAGAGCTTTTCTGTATAATCTTGTGGTATGAGTCTTTAATTTGCCCTTGCCTCCTTCCTTTTTTATTTGTCATTGACTGCCACTGTCCGAGTCCTTGTATGGCAAAAGGCTAGATTTGAAAAACAGACAATATTTATTGACTTAGATACACTTCCACTTGGTATCAAAGCCGCAAAAAATCAAGAGTGGAAATTGAGGACAAGAGCTCCTCTGCTTCTCTGCTCTTATCTTCTACTTCTACGCTTGAAATTCTGTGGCTCTGGTACGCAGGATATGATATTCTGTGGCTCTAGTCGAAGACTAAAACGATGATGGCCATTTCTCTCCAAAAGACTAATCTACAATGTCTATGAAACTGTTTACCCAAAACCCTGGAAGGCTCCTTCAATATAAAGTGACAATTTGGTTGGAAAGAAATTGACAAATTGATAAAAGGAGGCATGGACATCGCGAAAGGGGGATGTATCGGAATATCACATCCCCCAGTAGTATCTCTGTAGGAAATTTCAGGTAAATATGTGCTGTTGATAAAACATTTAAGGTAATTCAAAGACCTTCATGTTTTAAAATCAATAAAGGATCAAACAGGAAAAGGTAGTTGCTCCGTTGGTTAAATCTCATATTTCCTTGAAAGTAAACAAACCTAGGCAATAATGGTTTCAAGCATTTTTGTTGGCACTTGATCCAAAAAGCCAAGCTCTTTTCAGGAAAAAGTTCGTCTTTTGTCAGTTTTTTCTATAGTTTCTCCGAAGAAGCATCAATGGTAATTCACAATGACTTCCAGATCTTTTCTACTTGCAAAAGGAATTAAAAGATGAAAAGAGGGATCTAAACCCCGGGAGGGGGGTGTACTCTCATTTTGGCCTAACAGGGGCCCAGTCAAGGTCAATGAGGACCAAAGCTAAAATCTTAAAAAATTACCCTCAAATGGTAGTGTTTTTGATAATAACCCTCAAATGGTAGCATAAGGATGGAAATTAAGTCATTGGTAGTAACATCTATTCCTTTGTCCGCGCCTGGTCATTCTTTGACAAATTTATTCGCCTTGTTCATTGTCTATAATAAATCGCAAGCTAAACTAAGCCGTTGGGTTATTATCAAAATGGGCCATTTGGTAGCAATTTAGTGAGAGCCTCAAATCGACTGGACCCCCCTGTCAGGCCTTTATGGGAGTACCCCCCTTGGGATCTAAACTGGCTAAATTGGGATCGCGGCTTGTTATCTCGCTTTATAAGTAACGCGACAAAACTGTATTTTCAAGACATGGCGAGATTTTACCAGTTTTTTGATCTGCTGCTCAATTCGAATGCAAAAATAAAAGAATTTTCGAAGCGATTAGGAGAATTGCTTTAGTGAATTACACCTAAAAAATTGCATTTTCCAGCGAACTGGATGCAAAAAAATGTAAAATTTCCTTTCTATATTCTGTGCCCATTCCGATACGCCGATCTAAAGGGTTGGAAAGATCTGTCATTATCATATAAATGGAAGTTGTGAACTACATTAGTTGTTAATACAGAAGTTGTTAATCATTAACAAAATGCATTTCAAAAGGTTTGTGCCAGCAGCTAAAAAATTCAGACTTTCATGCGTCTTAGAAACAATAAAGATTCAGCGAATGGTAGTTTTCTGCTGGTTGCTCATGATATTCCCCCGAAGGTTCCTGAGCCAGAAATGACAAGTTTCGAATTATGATGCCTCAGGTTCGCAGGAAAGCTATTATTATGTACCAAGCTGTCATTTGCACTACTTCGAAGTGCCATACTGTGGATACGTGGTTCCAGAAATAGGCAAACAAAATTTCAAGTGGACACAGCCAACATAGAAATTGTAGAAACAATATCCCGGACTGATTAGTTAAAATTGTTGGGAAAAAAAAATAAGATTCAAGTTTTTCAAGTTTTGTTCTAAACATGTGTGAACCCAGGCACGTAAATAATAGGGGGGCGTGGGGGGCGTAACGCCCCCCCAAAGTTTGGAAAATCCAGTTACAGTTGGAAAACGTAACGGTTGACTTGGAATTTTTTTCTTAAGACCAAACTTGTGAATTTTATATTTTAAGAAGTTTTTTTATTTTAATTTATAAAAATTCTAAACATTAAAATTCACAGGCTGAAGCTGATCCATCCAATCGTTTTCTATTGTGAATCCCGTCTCCACTGGGTCCAAATTGCACACTTGCCCCGTTTTCTTTTTCTTTCTTTCTGACGGGAGTTGAATCAAATTACGAACAGGCAAGGTGAACTTACGGATAAGAAACTTGAAACTTACAGTTTGGAATAATAATACCGGCATTGATCAGAAAATATTAGAGTGGGAATTTTTTTAGAAACTACGAGTAGTTAATTCAATAAAAGATTAAGAATCTTTCAGTACTAAAAATTCTCAACGCTTCTTATAAAAAACGAGTTTATGCTAAACTCCCCCTGTTATTTGTTAATGTCCTTGAGTCCTTATCATAAATTCCTATGACAAAACTGCTGTGGAGCAAGAACACATTGCAAAAACTGCAGTAGAAGTATTTGATCAAAGAAGAGTATTTCATCTTTCGAATCAGGCATATGCACAAGTTTGTTCTCAAATCATCATTTCATTGTAAAGAATGAAAAGGCATTTGGCCCTCTGAAAAGTTTAAAGGTAGTTTTCTTCGATCAAGAACGAAAATAAAAGGCCCAAATTCTTGGTGCTTCTATATCGTGAAAAAATGTATTTTAGATAAAATTGATCAATTGATCTGAAAGAATACTACTAATCATTAAGTATATCTAATACTGGTTTTGCTTAAATGTTGCTTTACTTCTTACAGTATGTTTAATGTTTGTTTCATGTTAATCAAAATTTAGAGATTTAGGCTTTTATGCTTTAGGCTAATTATTGAGCAAAGATTTGGTAATTATAAAGAAAAAATAACTATGGTGCTCGGGCTATTTACAAATATCAATTTGGTAGGTACAACAGATCTACTGGTCGAATGAAAAATTTATCACTTGAAGTTGGAATTTTCATACTTCCACGCCCCCCCAAAATTAGCAACTTGTTTTCGTCCCTGTGTGAACCGGCGGCCTTTCGGTATTATTATGTAAAAAGACGTTACGAATG